TGGTTCTATGATATCGTCCCAATAAAAGACGTACGTGCATTATCAGACTGTCGTAGCGAGTATGAGACCTGAGCGGAGCATTCCTTCCCGCTAAGTCTCGCCGCGTAATTCTTGAAGGCGGGGAAGGGGGATTAGTGACGTGAACGGCCGCACCAACTCCCCGGACTTGAAGTCCTCGTAGATGGTCTCGTCTAGCAGGGGCATATGCGGGGCGGCAGCGTGCTCGGGCAAATCGAACTTTATACCCCATAGGGGCCCAACGAACAAGCAGTTGTGGACCAAGTCGATAGCCAATTTCAAGACCCGAATGTCTGTGAACGCTGTGAGACGGATGTGTGCGCAAGACGTGGGTATTACTGACCCAACGGTGACTCAAAGCGCTCGAACCACCAGCACTCTAACGTCACGCTGTCCACCACTCTGCCCGTTATCTCAACATGCATTGCCTGGTCCAGCCCTATATCCTACAATCGGGATGCACGTTAGAAACCGCCTTTTGAGATGAAAACGGAACTTACGTCCGGTGCAGCAACTTCGATGCATTGCTTGTCGACGGTTTCTAGTATGATCATCCCATCTGGGCCATGAACCTATGAGACAGTGAGTTTAAGACCATGTGTAGAACGACAACATACACCTAAGACCTGCCCTGGCACACGAACCGAGCGGTTGAGATACTGCGAGAACCGCGCCGCATTGATGCGAGGGGCAGTGCCACGCCACATCGTGCGTGAAGGTCGAGACGAAGTAATCATTGAAGTCGAGCGCGAGAGAGGGAGCGAGTGCGACGAGGGAGATAGCTGGGGGTTGACGGGCTGGCAACGAATGGTGCAGAATGCTGGGGTCTCCAAGGTAGAATCAGAGCACATATATATACCGGATTTGACCGCAGACCACATGGTGTGACATTATAGGCTGCGGTTGCGAAGTTAATTCGAATCGCACTTTGGTACGTACCACGCATGCCTTGAGGTACCAATGTCGGGGACGTCCCATGTTATCTCGTACGTTGGCCTTTCTAGAACATCAGGGACGTACTTTCTCGGGTAATTGCGCCTTAGAATCCAAAGCTTATCGACTACCGTTAGCAGTGCGTCTCTGACAATCTGCCCAGCGATGATTTCTGGTACCTGGATTCTGCGCCAATCCATTAATCAGTAGGACGGGGGGCAGCAAAACCCCGGTATCGGTGCCGTCCCAAATGAATATGGCTGCAGAGGTCTAGGCGTCTATCCCGCAGGGGGCGGAGCTGCCAAATCTTCATGTCCTTATTTCTTAAGCGGTGGTAACACCTCTTGTTTTGGAACTACGCTCGGTACGTCCCCAACGTTCATGTTCTCCTATGGCATCTTCTTTATCAAAGTGCTGTCGATTTTGTCAATGCCGTCACCGTCTTGCGACGTCAAGCACACAAACTGCGGCGATCTCGGCGGTCATTGACCTGGGAATCTTCCCATCCAGGCCGTGTCTAGTTTCAAATTGTGCTGATCTCTCTACGTGGTATGTCCCAATATTTTGGGTTTATCGGTAACGCTAATCCTGCGCGATTTCTTCGCTGAGCATGGTGAAGCAAAGCTGAAGTCGTTTATACAGGCAGCATCTTCCAACAACAGCACCTTCAGCACTCTCGTTTGTTATCCTACTGTCGTGGAGCAGTAAGAACACTCCACGGCCTATCTTCTACGCCGCGGTGAGCTCTCTTTTCGATTCTTTGCTCGGTATGTCCCCGACGTTCATGTTCAGCCATGACAGCTTCTTTGCAGATGTATTGTCGCTTCTGTTAACGCCTTCGCCGTTTTACGGCACCAAGAAAACGCACTGCGGCGTCTTCGGTCATTGACCCGGAGATTATCCTGACTTGGTTTTATCTTGTCCCAAGCGGTTCTGATCTACTTTACCCGGTACATCCCAAAGCGTCTGGCTTATCGTCGACGCCAAAGTTGTATCGAAATTAGCTCCTGATCATGCCAACCGGCGCCGCTTTTTGGTCTCGATGCGGCCGTGTACTGGCTGTTATTCAAACCGACGGAGCTTGGCCAAATTCAACTGTGGGCGTGTTTCCGTTTCGAAGGCCAATCTTCTGACGATGAACGGCCCATTGGATATTCTGCGCCAGTCATCGGGTTCTTGGGTTTGACGATAATATGATGAGGTACATATTGATCTGATACGGACTATGCTGAGGGACGTATTCGACATTTTGAACAGTCAAGTCCGTAACGGTAGTTCCTCGCACCTCATGTACAGGCTCGACTCGTCCTTTTGGGTGTAAAATGGAGATGGAAACGTTGGCCTTTCCGCGACGGCCGTATATCGCTACATTGCACGGCGATGAGCTGCAAGCAGTAACAGTTTAGCCGAGAACACTGACCCTCCGAGATCTCCGCTCTCTAACGGGAACCCTGGAATGTTGCGCTTCGCGTTTGGCCGCAAGGACCTGATCGCGAGCTCACGGCCGAGCTGGGCCATGAGATCATCACCAGGCGTGCCTGATCAACAAGAAGGACGACGAGGAGCAGTTTCTCGGAGGAATGTAACAATGACGACATGATTCACGGTCATGCAGTTGTGGATACCGACCGTTTGCGCAATGCTTCCCTGCTGGTGAAACATTACCTGCACGACAAACCCAGATCTGACATGGACCACAGTAAGCGCGGACAGGTGTTGTTACTCCATGTTGTAATTTGTATAGACATTCTGACTGAGAATGACATGCTATACATGTGCAGGCTACGCTGGACTTCAAGAACGATGGAAGAGCGGTGAGATCAGTTCATGAAATAGAAGATATACATTAGGCGATGATCATTCGTTTAATGTTCTTAATTTTCAAGACGCAAGACGCTAGCGGAACATGCTAGTCGAACGCATGCACATCTGACACGCATCATCTCATAGGGCTGACAATCGACGAGGACCGTCGTAGCCCTTTGAATATTCACCACGCAGGGGTTGCCTATAGCAGTTTGGAGGTCTTGACTTTCAGTTGTTCATGTCTACGACATCTCTTTGACCGTGTCAGATAAGATTCGCTCAAGGCGCGTGTTGAGGAATGAGTTCGTTAGCAATGATACCTTTCTGCCACAATCTAAACTGGAAAGCGTCGGGTACCCCGGTAGCTCACATGCAGATTGAGCTCAAATTTAATGTAACCATCTAATCAATCTGTATAACCCACCAGGTCTTGAGTTTGAACTTGCATATCCTCTTTGATCTAGTCTCAGCATATCTGATCAGCGTGAGCGTCACATTAGACGCAGTAATGAGCTTGGCACTACATATCTCATCTCTGACACTTTGGTATACAAGACGCTCCTTCAACTTCACTTGGGATTACCCCATGCTCTCGCGGTTGTGACTGGGTCGGCGTGGCATACCGACTCTGATGTGCATGTATACAAATTAAGGACTCGAAGCATAAAGCAGAGCAAATATCTGCGTGCATCTACGCATAGTCTAGCTCGATGCCACGCCGGTGCCATGTTCGACATCGCATCATCAAACATTACCAGTTACAAGATACTACCGATATTCTTGCTAACCGTGATGAACAACGGGTCTCCTGTACATGTTAGTCGATAGGCCGCAAAATATGTACCTGCAGCGTGGATCAAGCATTGTGGAAATGCAAGGTTAAGTACTACGTTCCGGCATTTGCATTGCGCGCGAACGGATTTCTGTAATCGACAATATACGGTTGGCCCCGAGTTTTTGAATCACGGATTTAACTCGATTGACGTTGTAGGCATGTGGTAACAAGAATAGGCGATGCGACAAATTTCTACAGAGTATCTACGAGGTCTCCGTCTCCGTCCCCGATCCCGAGCCCTCCTCCTCCGAATCGTCGTTCTCGTATATTTCATGTGCCGCAAAGAACGCGAGGAGAATCTCTCCCGGATTTGGTATGTAACGTCGTATCCCCTTGTGTCGCTCGCCCTCGCCATTGCCATCCCTATCCCAAATCATCTCGAATGTGATGGGGATGGGGTTGAAATTGTCGGCAATCACAGGGACCAGTTTTTCGTTTGCGGGTACCCAGGTCCCGCTCCATCTATAAAACAAGTTCTGAAATCCCGATTCGATAGCCTGTGATATCGGGCGCTTTGTGAGTGATTGGTGTAATGTTTGGCGACGGTTTCTTACCTTTGTTGCCTTCTTGTCGTACTGGTCGGAGAACAGGAAAGCCAAGCCCATCACGTGTTGGAGGTACTGGTGGCCGTTCACTCCGCAGGTCCGTCGCAAACGGTGGAAGTTCGTCATATGGTAGTCAAGGACACTATTTTCCACGAACTCCTCCAAACTATCGGCTTGCAAGGTATGAGCCAGAAGTTCACGCGCCTAGGCTCACTCAGCCAAACATATAGTATTACAGATTATCGGGACTCATACCTCGGACTCTCGATTTCGCCAGGATCGGAACCAAGGGTTTCCGTCCGTGGCCGGCCAAAGCGCCCCGGAAATGTCATGCTCTACCTCTGGCATACGCCACGAAAGCGTACTCTCGCGGTCCACAAAGATACTTTTTGGCTTCATGACGCCCGGACCCGGCGTGCTCTCGTCGATCCTTCCAGGTATGAAGCGCTGGTACGCTTGTATGAACTCGCGGGTGACCGCCTAGTGAAGCAACTTAGTTCGAATAGCAAAGCTCGCATGATATCGGCTCACCGGGGCGTCAAGCGGCTCCAGCATCAAGTTACCAAGCACAAAGATCCACTTCAGGTAAGCGACAGGTGTCGTTCCATACATCTTTCTGTCGTAGTGATAACCGCAGAGGTGCTGCATCACCAACGAACTGTATTCCCACAGGTTCTCTTTCTTATCTCCCCGACACAGCATACCCGCGAACACTCGCGTCTATCAGCGGTCGCACGTCAGTCGGCGTTGCGCTTGAGGAGTTCGTTGAACTTACGGTGGCGAGCTTGTTGTTGAATATCATCGCATCGCTAATTTCTCCAACGCCCGATCCGTAGGTGCTGGTTGACATGTTGCGGCGTCGTGGTGGAGAAGGACAGGGTGGGTTGTCGGTTTGAAGGTTCGTTGCGTTCTCTCGAGCGATGTCGAGGGTAAGATGCTGCCCCCAAACAAAATTTTGTTTGCTGTCCGAATGAGGCTAAATCATGACCGTTTACTTCATAGAACAAATCCAGCAACGGCATATCCTCTTTTGATGCTCAACCTACCCGCCATAACCCCATTTTCTATGCAGGCTCGTCATCGGTGGCCAATCAGTGGTGCAGCATTAGATCTTCCTTTTAAGCATGTCGAATTTGGTGTCGCTTGCCGACAACACTGCTCACGGTACGTACCACTGCTCACCGTGCCCCCGCCTCACCTACTTCATGCCTGATGCCGTGCCAGATGTTACTGATCGATCGACGCAAATATCCGTGAATGCGAAGTCTGTCACCACGGTGAATCCGATTGCCATTCCTGCTTCCTTCGATTGCACCCGGGACTCAGACCGTCAGCAAACCCGCCCCGTATTTGCGCTCCTACTCGTCCCCCCGCACCCCCTCCCATTAGGACCATACTCTCGCACTTACGCTCATATCCGTCGCATTTGCCTTCTTGCACGAATGCCGGAGACTCGTTCTGGCAAACAAGTACGTTGCTTAAGTCTTATTGCCTGCAAGGAGACTCAACGGTGCTGGCCAGTCCGTTCGGGATACAATTGTATCTCTTCCACGCGCAAATACAGGGAAAAAAAAGGCGCGTTGAATAGTACCTCCTCATATGGATTGCTGACTTCTGCCGCAGAGGCAGAATATGAACACAAATGACCCTTCGCCGCCACCGTCCGGTACACCGGCCCAATCCGTGAGTGTTTGAATGCCCAGAGCTTTGGGAGAGGACAGCTCGACGAGGATACTCACTTCTCCCCAGGCTCAAGCGGAACGATTGGACGCAGTCCTGGCGAATACGAAAACTCCAGTGCCTAAGGTAATCCATATTGCGCTCATAGCACTCGTCCAAAACTGATACCGGCCTTCCACTATCAGAAGCCGAAAAAATCCTCGGTCTCTCGTCGCAAGAAGGGGGGCAATCGTAAGGTGAGATCTTTTATTGCATAACGAACCAACTTAGTTTCTGAGTAAATCTGTTCCAGGATACGCATGCTGAGACCGCCCATGAACATACTGGCACCGGGGACGATGCTGGGACAACTAGTGGGGCGGTAGGGCAGCCAACGGCTCAAAATACAAGGCCATCGCTCGGTGTCGCATCGCCGAGCTCGTCTCTTCTGTCGCCCTTTCCGAGTGACACTAGCGCTGAAGTTCGTATTGCCGGTCCGCTACCGCCGTCGGATGCTCCGGTGACAAGCAACGCATCCGCGGAAATGGCATTGCATGCCGCCAATGGCGAGCAACCTGCGCCGGCTTCATCAGGTCATACGACGCTGCATGGTGCCATAGCGCCTGCGGGAGCTACATCAATACACGCCCAACACGGATTAACATCCGACAACACGTCATCGCTATTCCCAATCAATGACACTGTTGACATGTTATCGTCACCGGCTGGTCCATACATGATGCGTCCGCTCGTACCCGACACTCTACAGCATGGCGGGCCCGACCGCTCGTCATGTGTTTCTGACGACTTGTCATCTGGAGCTGGACAAGCGACCTCATCCCCCTTCTCTGCATTGCACGGGCAGGCCTTGGATACAACAAAGCCGTTGGGAAGGTTCCTGTCGACCTTGAATTTGGCAGAGATTGCCGTACAACGTGATGTACGATTCTATCCTGTGTTCTTTGTAACGACTGAATTGAACCTTCATGCTTTCCAGATGAATGGCATTGCCGGTTCAACGTCGGCATACGGGAACATGATGCGATTTCCCCCGATGGCGCCCTGGAAGTCTGAGTTCCTCGCCACGACTCAATCTACGGGTTAGTATATCCTTATGTTACTAGATGCAGTGACAGCAGGCTCACAATATTCTATAGCATTTCATGACACCAATGAACCTACGCACCCACATGTACAGCCTACCAACGATATGACTTTTGTCTTCCCGGATCCATTACCGACCGCTATATCTCTCGACCCATTACCAATTGCCACACCTACTCCACCGCCGGAGTCAAACGCAAATGATGCTCACAAGGTATGTGTCAGTCTCAAATGTAGACTATATAACTGACGCACACACCGGCGCAGATTGCCGCCTTCCCTGATTCAGCTCTTCCACGTGCACCCTCGGTCCCGCTCGCCATGTCGGATTTCAACAGAAATATCCCTGTTATTGCAAGCGGGAATGGCACGCCATCAATCCCGCTCGCCGCGCCAAATTTCGATGGAAATGTCCCTGCTATTGCAGGCGGGAATGACGCGCCCTTGGTCCCGCTTGCCGCATCGCATTTCAACGAAAGTACCCCCGCTATAGCAAGCGGGAATGACACGCCCTCGGTCCCGCTCGCCGCATCAGATTTCAACGGAAGTACCCCCGCTATGGCAGGCGGGGTTGACACGCTCTCGGTCCCGCTCGCCGCGTCAGATTTCAACGGGGATGTTCCCGCTATGGCAAGCGGGACTGGCCATAGCGATGATCATGCACCCCCCGCGCCTGTCCTTGGTACAGATGTCGAGAATGATGACGATTGGGAAGATCTTGACATTGCAAGCGATTCTGAGTCCGAAGATGACAACGAGATCGTCGACGGGGACGGTGGTGACGGCGCCCAACGTTCTCGCCCTGGACGGATCAGCGCCAAGGCAAAAGAGAAGCTCAAGGCTTTCCTATCGTATGCGGATGCATTTAAACGAGAACTGGCGGCGGAGACGGGGAGATCGTTAGATGTTGTCGCGAGATGGATTGGTCGGCCGCCGCTCATCATGTCGCGGGCGGAGAACCGTTGGCAAGTATGGCAAGCGTGGTATGCCGTACATCATCCGCAGATCAAAGCTACCTTAGATGGGTCGGTAGAAGGTAAGCGTGCCTACTCCCGTAAACATGTTATCGCTTGATGACCAACAACATACAGCGGAGGACTCGGACACGTTTGCACGGCGTACAAGGCAGGCTTATCACCAACGTCTCGCGGGCTGCAAAACCTGGAAGGAGAAGAAGGCGGTGATGCAAGACTGCTACGATTGGTGGCGCGCAATCCGGGGCGAGTATGTGTGCTCACTCATCAAGAAGGGGAAGACTGGCAAGTTGGTTACTCTCGCTGCTCGTCAGATCAGTGCTATGGTGAGAAATGCAGATATGATGCATTTGTCGCCTTGTACTTACTGTGAATCAGTCCGAACATTGGCACTCGCAAGCCGGACTTCATGTCATTGGCATCATCATGGACACGACCCGCGGCGACTATATTATGACAGGGGGCTCCCCTGTCTGGCCGCGGATGAAGGATAACTTCTCAACGAATTTGCACAAGTACATGTTGGAGTGCCGCTCGCTCGTGTCGTATGTATGACTTCGTTACCAAATCAACTATCTGCTCACGTACTATCAGGATCCTAGAGCAGAATCCAGATGGCACCCCTGCCGTCACTGACGAGCAACTGAAGGGGCTCATACCCATGAGCACGATGGATTCTCCGGACGGCAATCTTTCGCTGAATATTGGACCCGGCACGTCAGAGGTCAAAGACGATAAGCGCGATGGTAGTGACAAGGAGCTGCGACATATCATGATAACGCTGTACAATAGTAAGTTGCTCTGGCTCTTCGCTTTAAGCGACGCGCCTCATATCATTGCTAGAGCATGTGAGGAAGCCAGTCAAAAAGTTCAAGTGGGGTACGATCTTGGAGCTCTGCGTCTTGAACAACCTCACCATATACAACTGGAGCCCGAAGGCGACCATGACCATCATGAAACTCCTCGACAAGAAGACGAAGGTCCAGAAAGAAACTGTCGCCTTCAAATTTCGAAAGAATGGCGACGCAATCGCGGATCTTGTTGCGAACTATAACTCCGGGAACGCGGCGCTGGCCATCGAGAAATGGTCAACAGGCAAGTATTCAATCGCGTTCGTAAACACTGGCATCTCACCCACCTTCCAGCTGAACAACAGAAACCATGGCGCGCACGTGTGGGGATACCCATTCTTCTTGCTTTCGTTCCGAAAGACATGAAGAACACGGGCGGCCTGGACATTATCAACACGGCATATGGTCTGCAGATCGTCCTGTATCGCGCCGGGGTTACGCAGGCATATCTTGAAGCCGTTGCCGCAGAGGAGGCGGGTTTGACTTGTCCTGGAAAAGGTCGGAAAGCTTCTGCCAAGAAGACGAAACGTACGCCCGAGTCGACGACGGAGCGTACGGAACCTTTAGAGCCTGCTGAGGCCGGGCCGTCGTCTCGGCCAGTGCCAGCACGCAATGACGGCCGCTCCGCAAAACCGTCCGCGTCTTCATCGAAGAGCGCACGCAGAGGGCATGTGTTGGGCACGATTGCCACGACTCATCACTTTGATAACCCACTCCTCAAAGGGCGGATGAAGATGAAAAATATGCCCTACGTCGAGACCAGCGACGATGAGCACATCGGCGCTCCTGGAACCGACATTCCCGGACGCGTGCCACCATCCGGCGTTGCTACGGCACTGCCCTACTACGGCCACTTGCCTACCGTGCTAGGGGTACGTGACTCATACTTGTCAAGTATCATGCACGCGCTGATCTATTCGATATAGAACCATATCGACATTCAGACGCAAAGCGATGGCGATGGTCGTTCAAACGACACTATCACTTCGCAGCAATATCTACCCCGCGTCGAGGTGGAGACTAGGGTAGATCGGCATGGCATCCGCAACGATGAGGACGAAAACGAGGACGAGGGCGAGGAGAGCAGTGACGAGGATGAGGAAAGCAGTGACGAGGACGAGAACAGCACTGATGAGGACAGCGAGGACAAGAGCGAGGACGAGGAGGGCGACAACGGTAACATCGAAAGCGAGGAAGACGAGGGGAACGGAGCTGAATCCGGCGCAGGTAACGACATCTACATTCGCCCCAATGCTGGTGGCGATGTTGCGGGGATGCCCAATTTAATCCCGATGCCGGTATGTAACTGGGCCAATGCTTACACCGACTTATTCTTGATCTGATGTTCTCTCAGAATGGTCCAGACGCGGGCGATTTCTCTGACGACCAGCACTATGCCGCGTATGGGCGCGCTGACAACGTTGCTCAAGGCTATCCTGATAGCTGGAACTTCGACATGCAATATCAACATCAAGAATACCCGTTTGCTCAAACTCACGCAGGCCCCACGGCGACGGATTCCCTGCAAGCGATTGCCGAGGTCTCGGGTGAGTGATTACAAGCGTCCCAATTCCATTCACTCACATAGAGTACAGAAGCATCCACGGAAGCCAGCGCGAGTTTGGAGTGTGGATCTCCGATGCGTCTACTGGACCAGAACGGCGATCATGGTGGCGATTGCGTTGTACCCCAGTATCCGCCCCAGGTCATCTTGCAATCTATGAACAATCAGAACCGATCGTGGCCGGCGAACGACCCTCGTGCCATGTACTATGGCATGCCTGCACTATACCCACCATTTCGATATCCTATTCCATATCCGAATGATAGCCAACCCCCGCTGTATCACGCACCCGCTCAGCACATGTGGAACGCCGGACTACCGCCGCCTCTCGATCGCCGCGTTCATCAATCGGTCCCAGATGATTCCCAACATTCCCTGGTCAATCAACCTCGTGCGCCTCGAAATCATGCCGCCCCGATGAATCGCCCTTCACCGGTATCGACCGCAGGTAACCATCGGTCTCCCCCATTTCATTCTCAACCACCACTTCGACTCTCGGAGGGCGTTTATAATCCCCAGCTTCCTGGCAAGCCCGCAACCATAGCAGCGCACCGGTCCGCAGGTTCCGTAGCTTCGAATGTACACCTTCACCCATACCATCCCCCCCAACACGATGTCCTTCACGCTCATGGGACACATGGTCAGTCATCTTACCTTGGGGCCGGATCTACGCATGTGCCGACACGCACTGTCAACGAGCTCGGTCAATCATCCTCGTTGGAGCCGACGGCGAACGGCTTCCGAATGCCTATTCAAGGGCGTTTGCCTTCCGCGAATTTACGGCAAGAACGGTCCGGTACATCTGTGCCTAAGCCGCGCAAGAAAAAGCGGCAGCGAACTGAAGGTGAGAGCGAACAGGTGGACTATGATGCGCAGCTTAGAGCTGAAGGTACGATACGTGCGACCATCATGCAACATCGTGAAGCCAAACGTGCACGCATCCGTGATGTCTAACTTATACAACAATATTTCGCCATGAGACTCGGACTAGATATATAATATTCTGCTGTGCATAGCTGTAATGACAAATGGTGGTCGGCGAACATAGAATCACAACCGGAATAGATATTGCTCATCGCCCAGGTTACGCGTTTTCGTAATCGATATATGTTGACGGCTAAGGGCGTGAGGTACACGTATGGGCAGTTACAGTCTGGTAAGTACGACAGAGCACTGGGGAGCTGAGTAGCATGCAGCGGTGATACGTTCCAATGCCACAGAGTTAAAATCCAGCTTATTGCCTTGTAATGAGAGTACGTCTCGTCATGCCGCGCGCAGCGGCGGTACGTCCCAGCGGTCGCTTCGCGGAAAGGGTACGTCCCGATGGTCGCTTTGCAGCGCAGAGGAGGTAAGTCCCAGTCGGGCCAATCGACGGTGATGGTACATCCCAGGTCGCCCGCACAGGGTTACATCCCGCCGAGTCACCTGGCGACGGCGGCACAGTTCTCCTATTCCTTGTTTAATGATATCCTGCACGTTGGATTACCATCACAGCGCGGGCGATGTCCGCTGAAGGCCTATGCTAGCATGCTGGTATCATGGCGCATTGGAGGTAAGTCCCGTCGGATAGTGCGCAGCGGCGGTCGCTTCGCCGCGCGGAGGGGGTACGTCCCGGTGGGATGACCGAGGTGGTGGTAAGTCCCAGCCGGGTCGATCGGCGGTGATGGTACGTCCCAGCTGGTATCATGGCGCGTTGGAGCTAAGTCCCGTCGGATAGTGTGCAGCGGCGGTCGCTTCGCCGCGCGGAGGGGGTACATCCCGGTGGGATGACCGAGGCGGTGGGAAGTCCCAGCCGGGTCGATCGGTGGCGATGGTACGTCTCAGATCGCCCGCACGGTGGTACATCCCGCCGAGTCACTTGGGGACGGCGGCACGTCCCGGCAGTCACTGCGGTATGTTTCGGTGGGTTGACTGGGATGTTAGTACGTCCCGGTGGGCCCATCGAGCGGTAATGGTACGTCCCGGGGGCTGCTCGGCGAGATTGGTAAGTACCATGATACATCTGCCTAACTGATACGCACGCGGGACATACCACTGCGCGCTAGCGGGCTCACGGCGGGTTTGGGGATGTACCGCTGCCCATTGGCAAATCACAGTACATCCCGCCAAGGCTGTTGGCACTGGTAAGTCCCAGGTGAACAACAGTGACAGCCGATCACCCCCCTGAGGACGTACCGATTTGCGGACATCTAACAACGATACGCCCATGGGAAGGCCCATGGAGAGTATCGTCCGCTTGAGTCGGCCGGCAACGTGGCTACACACTCCAACTCAAGGACCCCCGATACGAAGGAGGTATAGATTTTCATATTGCAGAACGCAGCAAGCACATCACAGTCTTCTTGCATCTTATCAACTTCCCAGGTCTCATCTCATCTCACACTTTCAAACTCCGGAAATGCATCTCTTTCATTGACAGAGCTCACTTAAGTGTTTGTATAAGAAGAAGAAAAAATTAACGACCGACCTTGGGACGCGGCTTGACCACTCCACGAACTCCAGAAACCGGCACAATTTTTTTGGACATAACTGGCGGTTTATGCTTTCGAAAACCTTTTCAAACTCTGATCGCCGGAACTTGATATATGGGACATACCGATGGTTCGGACTCTTTGTGTGTGAATGAAAAGCCGATCGGCACGGGTGCGGCAAGGGACTCGCACGCGCGTCGCCTTGGAACATCTGATCACGTGACATATTCGCTTCGTGACGAAACGAACGCCCCAGTGACATTTTAGCGGGGTTGGAAACTATTCGATAAATCGCGTGGGGCCCGCTCGACGGGAGGGTGCGTTCCAAGGGACATACGTCAGGACTCGGTCGGTACGTACCCAGAGCAGGGCAAGCTGCATGGGAAGTTCCTAGAGACACATGGGTGCATACCAAGAGACAGGCAGCCTATCGGGTCGAGGGGCGCAGGAAGTACCCGAAAACGGGTAAATACCAACCCGGCAAGGCCTTAGAGGCATATCATGGGAGGGGGGATTTCCACCTTACAAGGACGTGCCTAAGGGGTGGCTGAGGTGTGGTAAGATCCAGAGTGCTGACTCTGAGCGAGGGGGACGAGAAAAACGTTGGTGGACGCTCAGAAAGGCAGCGATCGCTTTATCGTCTTCCACCCCGGTCCTCCCCGCGTTCCAATCTCATCATCCGGGGTGCGGGGTAGCGAGCCCAGGGATACCTAGGGGAACGCGAGCATGCCATGTGATTATCGTTCGTCGGGTCGGGCTAGGGAGAGTGTACCGCCGGCGTGCACATGCGAGATCGCGGAGAGGGCGATTGTCGGGCAGCTGCATACATGGTATCGCCTTGCAGCAATGACGAATGGTGGATTGAACCGGCGCCTGAGTACACGGTTCCGCGATTGGATGGTCTGGCTCAAAATCGGGCGATTCGGATAAGCGCGATTTTGCGGGAAACAGGGGCGTAAGTATTACTGTACTCAGTACTGACGGAGGCCCGTTGACGTTCAATGTTCAACGTTCAACGCTCGTCATACACAACACGAGAGCATTCCGATGTGATACGACCCCTCAGTCATATTCTCGATCGAGACCATATGGGCGAGATGCTGATTATTGCAACCTCTCGCAGTGTGGCAGAAGCCAACGATGTCTGTCCAATTTGACGGCGTTGGACGTATTGGTGAAGCTGTTGTCGCTCTCCGAACGCAGGAAACAATGGGGCTCCTGCCCCAGCCTTCAATGGCATAGACCAGGAAGCGCACTTCCATACGGTCGACGGCGGGCTTCAGCACGTACGGCTGTAGAGGCGATGGAGGTCACTCACACCAGCCTATGAACATGAAGCAACTGGGCCGTTGACATATCATCGTTAAAGACATTCAACGACGGCGATTGGAAGTATGGGGTACCTGCAAGTAGTGCTCATGCGACCTTGCAGGTCCACAGACATTTCATCATAGTTTGAGGCACAGCGGGGCCTCCATAATATGCGGGCGTCGCTATCTCGAAGATATCTGGAGGTACATCATGGTCTTCAAGAAACCAGGTCTACTTGTGAGTTTGAACCATCATTGACGGTGACGAATCGGAACAGCTTATGTGGCCCTCTCATTTGATTGGTCAGGAATGATTTCAATGCAGTGCTTACTCGTCTTCGTGACGTCTTTTGCGCTTACGTCCTCCCGTCATCGTCACCCTCACCAACACGTGATACTGGCAGCAGTGAGATGTTCGACTGTATATCACCAACCTCACACCGCCTGCAATCCACAACCTCGAATCTACAAGATCAACATGGACGCTGTCAGAAAGCAAACCCAAGCGGAATGCGAGGACGTCTTTGCAAACTTACCAGTCAGTGAGTGAAAACCCTCATAGAAAGAGCAGCTCGACGTCTGACGAGGATGGTCCCTCCCAGCCATTCAAGCCTTGTTACCCGCCGTGCTAGCTCACAAGGATAAGATCCTCAGCGTCGAGCGCAAGACGTACCAATACGGAGGCACCGATCGTCACCAGGTCCGAGTCCATACCTCTTCTCTCTTCCTTGCACTAACCCGAATTCGTACGCTAGCTTGACATCTACTACCCGCCTACGTCCTCCGCATCCCCACGCCCGATCCTCTTCTGGGCCTACGGCGGCGGCTTCGTCTCAGGCGAGCGCGTGCTGCCCGAATCGCAGGGGCTGGTGCACACCACGATCGGCGCCTTCTTCGCCCGGAAAGGTTTTGTCGTCGTCATCCCCGACTACCGCCTCGCGCCCTCCGCCCAGTTCCCGGCCCAGGCTGAGGATATCCGCGACGCCATCCTCTGGGTCATCCAACACGCCTCTTCCACACTTTCCACCCCTAGCGTAAAACTAGACGCGGAGACGCTCGTCGCGATGGGACACTCGGCCGGTGCTGTGAACGTCGCCACGGCTTACCTTCTCCCGGAGATTCTGCAGGGCACGGATATTGCCAGACGCACGAAGGCGCTCGTGCTGCAATCGGGATTGTACGTGTTCGAAATCGACGGTGTTGCGCCCGCCGTACCTCCCCCGGTCCTCGCGCAGTATTTCGGTCCGACGGAGTTGCAGAAGAAGCGCGAGCCGCTCGCGTTACTCCGCGCGTTGTCGGACGAGCAGGTCAGCGCGCTCCCGCTGCTGCTGCTGGTGGACGCGGAGAAGGAGCCGCAGGGAGTCGTGAGGAGCGAGGAGCTGTTCAGGCAGCTGTGGAAGAGGAGGAGGGACGAGAGCGAGGTGCTGAGGATCGTGGCGAGGGGACATAACCACATCAGTGTTAACTGGGTGTTGGGGACGGGCGACGGGGAGGAGTGGGCGGAGGAGGTGGCGAAGTGGTTGGGCGACACGTTGTGAGAGCCATTAGCGAGTCGGTGCAAGCAGAAGTACTTGGTCCAGGCCCGGACATTTTCTTGATAACCAGTGATGTACTCTACATGCGCATCGGATATATAGACTCAGTTGTCATACGTCTCGGCCTGCATGGCACCTCACGACAATCCATATAACCTTCGGACTTCGCCTCCGCATCCTCCCGTGCGAGTCCGTAGACGCGTTGAAGCCCAGGCAAGCGCGTTCGAGACAATTGTTCACAGCACCGATAGGACACGCCATGAGTTTGCGCCGAGGAAGGCATCGCTGTCAGCTCATTGCCGATAGGTGGATACAACGAAGACGTGGCTCGGCGCGAAAGGTAGCCGCGACTAGCCCTCACGCCTGTGATCTACGCGCAAAGACATGGTAAGCATCGCCAACACCGTACATCGAACATATGTGTGACTCGCCTCCTTGTCCACGCACGTCCCCCACCAGTGGGACAACGTTTGTCAACGGAGGCCTCCATCCATGCGGATCGAGTCCATGGAAGCTCTCCTCCCCTCAACGACGCGATTGCTCTTCGCAACTTCACGCCACGCCGTGCCCGTCATTTCCTCCCATGTGGTCTGAAGCGGACGCCGAAACGTCCTGGCGAGGATAACACCTGCTGGGCGGTGCAGGAACGACCGGATGGTGGCGCAGGGTAAGACACGTCAAGCCTGAAGAAGAGACCGTCCGTGAAGGCTTTCCTCCGAGATGCGCCTGTCATCCCATTATTCTTGTGTGCGTATGCCACAGCCATGGCTATCCAGAGAACATTGCGTCGCAGAGGTGGGTGACCACACTGGGCCGACGAATACAGAAACGGTCCCACGGCAATGCAGGAGCACGTCCGCGAACTTCGGCTTGTCGGAGGTTGAAACCATGGGTAGCATGGACGCTACTCGCGCTGCTGTCGATGATGCGCATTATCCTCAAGCTCTGCGACGCACAGGATGAACTATTCAAATGCTCCACCGAGCGAACTGATAACGCACGGTGCCAGTGCACCCTGGATCTCATGTTCCGGCCAAGCGCCGGCACGCTGTTCATGCTCTATTCCGAGGGAAACAGCGCACTATCGCCATCCCTCGCCCAGAATCGGCACAAGCATACTTGCCACTTACGGCCTCTCGCATCGCCTCGTCCCGAAATGACTGCCCACGCGCAAGACGTGCTGTGTCTGCTACTAGGCTGTACACGGATATATGCCCGAGCGTCGTCAATTTTGAGACCCCAACGCTCGCTCTTGTCATGGCTTCCCCTCCCCAGCCCGCGGTAAATCCTTCCGAGGAGCCCGAAGTCGCAAATTACCAGAAGCGACTGGATCACGCCCTGGCGAATGGCGAGACGGTCTTATCCATCCTCGAGGCTCTCACGGAGGGCGTCGTCATCTGCGATCCTCTGAAGGGATCCGTCAAGGTCGCAAGGGAACTCATCAAGATGGTACAGGTAAGTCGTGCACTCTTCCTTCATCCGTTTCATATTGACACGCTGTTTAATAGAAAGTCCGCAAAAACCGAGAAGACTGCGAAGAGTTGGCCGGCCGTGTATTCAAGCTCACCGGCACCATGCTCGGGATCCTCGACGGTAAACGGGACGAGGACGTGCCTCCAGACCTGAAGAAATGTCTAGATTCGGTCCACGAGTACGTCCCGCAGCCGCAGAACAAGATATCGCATCGTGCTGACTTCTCTCCCTTAGTACATTGACGAAGATAAAGAAAGGCCTAGAACCGCTCAAACTGTCGAGGCGATTCTCACTTAGAGCTTGGTTCCGGGCTCTCCGCAGGAGGGAGTATATAGCGGATACGATTTCGGGCTATAACACCAAGATCGATAGATGCCTCCAAGAATTCACGGTGCGATCGAAAACGGTGGCAGATTGTTTGCGATCCTGACGACATTCTTTTTGCTCCCAGGTTGTCGTCACCAGCCAGGTCCGCTTAGGGTTGATGACATTGAACGCTGCGGTGGGCGTCGTGTACTCTCGATTGGACGACGTTTACTCGAAAGCGACGGACATAAGCTTGGGCGTGAAGAAAGTTCACTCTGACATGAAGGATCTCCGCTTCATCATGACGGAGATATACACGGAACTGATCCGGGTCAAATCCGTTGGACAGCCCTTGGCTCCACTGGTAGAGGGGATTTCGAGTGGTGCGAAGGCCGATGCCTCTGCGGACGTAAGGTTCGTCAACCGGCTTAGTCTCGTATGATGAGATATGCCGACGCCATCGTATCAGCCTCCATTTTGTCCCTGCCCCTCCCCGCCTGTATGGACGAGACACCGTCGTGAATGACGCAATCGACCAACTACGCGACGCACAACGGCACCATATAGCCATTTTAGGCACCGGAGGTATCGGCAAGACCTCCGTAGCGCTTAGCGTGGTCGACGCCGTCAAGGACCAGAGCGACTGCTACTTCATCCGTTGCGATACGCTCGTCACTGAATCATCTCTTATCAACGCTGTCCTTCAGGCTGTGGACCGTAGTCCGTCGGTGAACGGGGATCCCATGGAACACCTCAAGGCGAAATTGTCGGCTGCGGGCCGTCCCGTCGTGCTTGTTCTCGATAACTTCGAGAGTCCCTGGGACTCGGACACTCCCAACATCAGGCAAAAGCTCACCGAAGTCCTCAGGACATTAGCGGCGATCTCGAAAGTCCGGCTCATCGTGACTATGCGAGGAGACATTCCACCCGCCGATGCGGATGTTCAGTGGACGCCCATGCGCCTTGCTCCTTTAGGTCATATCCCTGCTCGTGAGCTCTTTCTGTCCATAAGACCAGAAACACCGCAGAAGGAATACCGAGACCTCGACCTGCTCCTCGAGAGATGCGACGGTCTGCCGCTTGCCGTCAAACTTCTCGCCCAGCTCAAGTCATCGTCAGCATGCAGCCGTCTACTGCAGCGATGGGACAAACACAAAAGTACGCTATTACAGACGGACCACATATCTCCATCCCGCGAGACCAGTCTGCGTGTCTCGATATCGATGTCGCTGCAGTCCGCACCGATGCGCCTCGTTAAGGAAGCGATCCCGTTGCTCGCCGTGATCTGTCGCCTGCCCGACGGTGTCCTTGGTGGAGTCGAGCAGCTCGAGAAGATGGACCTGGGCTTCGACGACGTCGACGTGGCTTTGGCGACGGTCCTAGGATCTGGCCTCGCCTTCAAGGCTGAGGACCAGGGAATCAAGGTGCTTGCTCCCATCCGCGAGCACGTCAATAAGCACGATGTCACCACTTCGCCGCAACCTCTTCTTGCCCCGTGCCAACGCGAAGCACTGCTGCGATATTACGTTCAGCTGGTCGAAAAGCACGCCGGTAAGAAACTCGGAGATGCCGACTTCCAGTCAGCGTACAAAACCCTACTCCCGGAAACGGGTAATATTATCTCCCTGTTCAAGTGGGAGCTCGACCGTCTAATAGACACGATGCCGGGTGTCGCGCAAGCAGCATTCTTGTTCACCCGCTTCCAGTGCCACCTGCGACCCTCGACTGAACTTATCTCTCAATTACTTGATAACTGGGATCTTTACGCGATAGGTATAGCTCGCGCTGAAGGTCTGACCGCCAGGGGGGAGCTCTTGTACAGAACGGACCACTACCAATTAGCAATGGAGGACCTTGAGAATGCTTGTGAAGAGTGCAGTCGTTCCGACAACAGGAAACAGCTAGCAGGAGCTTTGCGTCGACTGGGCAATATTCATCTGATGTGGGACGCGTACCCCCAGGCGATAGAGAAGGTCACCCAGGCGCACGATGTGTACTCCGAGATCGGAGACCGACGGGGCATGGCGAATTGCCTGAAAAGCTTGGGCAACATCCATCGCATGCAGAACGAGTATCCCCAGGCGATAGAGAAGCTCACACGGGCCCTCGACGTGTACTCCGAGATCGGAGACCGACAGGGCGTGGCGGATTGCCTGGAAAGCTTGGGCGACGTCCATTGCATGCAGGACGAGTACCCCCAGGCGATAGAGAAGCTCACCCGGGCCCTCGACGTGTACTCCGAGATCGGAGACCGATTGGGCGTGGCGGGTTGCCTGAAAAGCTTGGGCGAGGTCCATCGCATGCAGGACGAGTATCCCCAGGCGATAGAGAAGGTCACCCGGGCCCACGACGTGTACTCCGAGATCGGAGACCGATTGGGCGTGGCGGGTTGCCTGAAAAGCTTGGGCGAGGTCCATCGCATGCAGGCCGAGTACCCCCAGGCGATAGAGAAGCTCACCCGGGCCCTCGACGTGTACTCCGAGATCGGAGACCGACTCGGTGTTACGAGATCTCTGCAGAGCTTAGCTGATATTGATCGTGTCCAAGAGCGGTATGACCAAGCCGCGGAGAAGCTAGGGCGCGCTCTCGACCATGCTTCAAGCATCGGGAATCGCTACGAGATGGCTTGGTGTTACATTTACATGGGCTTACTCGATCGCGACCAGCGTCGGTATGCCGAGGCTGTTGAGCATATCACGACCGCTCGGGCAATGCTCACGGAGATTGGACAAGAGGGCTACGCGGATTACTGTTCCCGTCTCCTTCGTGAGATTCATGAGCTCATGGTGAGATTGTGTTCGCTTGCGATATCCATCCGCCTCTGACCCGCGTCTAGATCTCGCAGGATGAAGGTGGCGAAGGTTCCGCGATAGCCTCCGACGCGCGCGAAGCGACGACGAATTAGAAGGTGCATGAGATGCGATGTACGACACTTTTGTAATCAACATTTTTTACTCGTGCGCTGCTACAAAGTCGATGTTCCCCGTGACACTGCGGTTGCGTAGGGCACTCGCGCCACGTGCCTTGAGCGCCGTGCAGGTGTCCCTGGGTGGTTCTTACGAAGTCTGTCCAATCATATCAATAAGTTTTTTCTTCTGTCTAGTGAAACCGGACAGAAACCCACATTACTAGATGCCTATGTATTGTCGTCGTGGTTTGTACTTACTCGCCATATGCACCGCAGCTTACTTCCCTGCGTATGCAGAACTTGCGACGATCTCATCCGCTACTTGGCAGAGCTTCGTGAGTGGGTGCCCCGGGCTGGCTCGGGAAACGGCGGCGCTCTCGCGACGGATCGCCATGAACTTGCAGGTTTCGAGGCGACGGCGGAATTGATGCATATGGACGTCATCGAACGGATGGATTGTAGGCGATTCGCATCCTGCCCGGCACTGGATAGGACTGAATGAATGCGGATGGAGATGACGTCGTCTGAACTCACGATATTGCCAGTAGAACAGCTGACTGCTGTGACCGTGTCCTGCCTGCGTGTCGAATAGTGAGCTGAAGTAACAACGCGTAAAGGAGCGGCCATGACGCACCTCATGCCCCCAAATCAAGCCACGGGCGGCGCTGAAGACTCGCGAGGCGCGGTATCATTGCGACAAGCAGCATGATAGCGTTGAAGCGTCTAGAGGTTTCCAACGACGGTGACAGTGAGCGCAACGTGCATGGGGTAGTAACGCGGGCATAATCGAGGAGGGCACCACGGTCGCGCCGCGTAACTAGCTGATGCTCATGAAAGCTTAACACACGAAGGCTTCCAGATTTGATACCTGAACACTTGAAATGCAATGACATTCGTACGTGCAGGATTGGCACCTCCCACGACGACGCAACTCCTATCCCGGAGTGTTTGTTAGAGTACGTCCATTCGCGTTAGACGAACCGATGTTTTCCGTGCTTGCGATCTAATCTATGATGAGTTGTTCCCACCCGTCTACTTATAGACGAGGAGGGCCGAGTTCTAGCGTGGCCACGCCCGAAAGCGCGTCAGGGTCAGGGATCCCGCGTCCCGAAGACGAAAGAAACACGGTACTCGCGACGATCGATGGCCCCGGACTCGCTGGACCTCGGCAAACGTGCGCGCGCCCGACGGGCCGGACGTGGCCGGGCGCGCCAGCCACCGGTCTCTCTTTCGCCCATCATCGATGACGACAGGTCGAAAATGGTCGCGCCCCGGCCAGGAAGGGGAACTGACCAGGAATCCATCCCCATCTCATCCGCCCTCCTCGACGACCGTGCCATCGCGCACAACATCCTCAACATAGCCGCCATCCGATAGCGCCCCAGGGTGTCCCCGAGCATACCCCGATCTCACCACTACTAATACCACCCGCCCACCCCCGCCCAACCGATGCCCGACACCACCCCCACCCCCGCAACCCCGTCCTCGTCCACCGCAGACGCCATGGGCGCGACCGACTTTGGCGACTCGTCGCACCTCATCGTCGTCTCCAACCGTCTCCCGATCACCATCACCAAGGACGCCTCGGGCGAGTACCACTTCAAGATGTCCTCCGGCGGCCTCGTCTCCGCCCTCTCCGGCTGCAAAAAGTCGCTCACCTTCACCTGGATCGGCTGGCCCGGCTTCTACATCCCGGTCAAAGACCGGCCCATCGTCGACAAGCGGCTCTCGGACGAGTACAGCTGCCAGGCCGTCTACCTCGACGACGACGTCGCCGACCGCCACTACAACGGCTTCTCCAACTCGATCCTCTGGCCCTTGTTCCACTACCACCCGGGCGAGATGAACTTCGACGAGGCCAACTGGCAGGCGTACCGCCAGGCCAACCTCGCCTTCGCCCACGCCGTCCGCACCGTGATCCGGCCGGGAAGCATGGTCTGGGTCCAGGACTACCACCTCATGCTCCTCCCCATGCTCCTCCGCGGCCTCGTCGAACCCAACCGCACGAAGCAGGTGAGCGGAGATCGCGCGCGCTGGGAATGACACGCGTGATAGATCGCTAACGCCTCGCTGTTCTTTTTGGGTGCAAGGGCGCGAGCAGCACGACGACGACGGAGCTCGAGCGCATCACGGAGGGCATCGAAGGCGACGTGCCCGTCCCCTCCGAATCGGAATCGCTCTCGGGCGTCAAGATCGGCTTCTTCCTCCACACCCCCTTCCCCTCCTCCGAGATCTACCGGTTCGTCTTTCCCCCTCCCCCCTTCTCTCTCCCTCTCTTTCTCTTGCGCGCGCGTGTGTCTGTGTCTCTCTTACTCACGTGTCCGCGCTTTAAAGCATTCTCCCCGTCCGGCGCGAGATCTTGCTCGGCATCCTCTACTCGGACCTCATCGGCTTCCACACGTACGACTACGCCCGGCACTTCCTCTCCTCCTGCACCCGCATCCTCGGCCTGCCCACCATGCCGAACGGCGTCGAGTTCGAGGGCCGGCTCGCCCACGTCGGCACCTTCCCCATCGGCATCGACCCGCAAAGCTTCATCTCCGTAAGCACCGTTACCCCCATCCCTTTCACCCTCTCTCTCCTCTCTCTCTCTCTCTCTCTTTCATTCTCACCAGCGTTCTGAGCGCTAAAATTCACCCCTCGCACGCGAACACACACACACACACCACCAGAACCTCGAAAAACCCGCGGTCAAAGACCGGCTCGCCGCGCTCGAGCGCCGCTTCGACGGCGTCAAAGTCATCGTCGGCGTCGACCGGCTGGACTACATCAAGGGCGTGCCCCAAAAGCTGCACGCGCTCGAGCTCTTCCTCTCCCAGCACCCGGAGTGGATCGGCAAGATCGTGCTCGTCCAGCTCGCCGTGCCCTCCCGGCAGGACGTGGAGGAGTACCAGAACCTGCGGAGCACGGTGAACGAGCTCGTGGGCCGGATCAACGGCCGGTTCGGCACGGTCGATTTTATGCCGATCCATTTTATGCACAAGAGCTTGCCGTTCGACGAGCTGTGCGCGTTGTATGCGGTGTCGGACGTGTGTTTGGTGTCGTCGACGAGGGACGGGATGAACCTCGTGAGTTTTTTTTTTTCCCTTTTTCCTTTTTTCCCTTACCCTCCCTTTCTCCCTGTCCTTCACCCTCACTCTCCGTGTCCTTCACCCTCTCTTACTCACGATCGGCCCGGTCGTTAGGTTTCGTACGAGTACATCGCGTGCCAGCAGGAACGTCAGGGCGTGATGATCCTCTCCGAGTTTGCGGGCGCGGCCCAGAGCTTGAACGGCTCGCTCGTCGTCAACCCGTGGGACTCGCAGCAGGTCGCCGACGCCATCTTCGAGGCGGTCACCATGCCGGCCGAGCAGCGCGCGGAGAACCACCGGAAGCTGTTCAAGGTGCGCTTCCTCCCCCCCCCCTTTTTTTTTCTTATTTTGTTGGCGTCTTTCCCGCTTTTTCTTATCTGACCTTCCGCGATGCTCGTGTAGTATGTCAACAAGTACTCGGCCGCGTATTGGGGCACGTCCTTCGTGCGCGAGATGGGCAAGCTCAACCCCGAAGAGGAGATGAAACGCCTCCAATCCGACGGCGCATGACACTAAACCGATCCCCTGGTCCTCCGGAACAAAAAAAGACACTTCTGGTTAGATGGGTTACAAAACCGTTTATTGCATTATATGATATGCTCTTCTCGACCATGACGACGACGACGAAGAAGAAGAAGGGAATAAAAACGCAAAACAAATGTATGTAGTATGTACGCACCCCCCTTTTTTTTCGGTACTTCACACGCAGCACGCCATGGCCCGTAGCTGCTCGCGCAATTGTACGAACCTCGAAGAATATGTTTTTTTACTTGTAATGCAATAGATGGGCACAAATGCGAAATATATACGGGTTGATTGCATCCGGGGGTCGTTGGCGTGGAAAGGTCGTGAATCAAGAAAAGTTGCGAGTGGGCATTGAGGGCCGCGTCTCGATGCGTACGAGTATGGAGCACCGGTGCGTCCACCGGGGAGGGAGATGGGCGTTCGTTCAGTCGAGGGCGCGTACGAGCGCTTCGGCCTTGGATGATCTTGGTTTGATGGAACAAGGGAAGGGTTTCGGGTAGCTGGGCCGCAGAGTCGGCACCGCGTGAGACACCTCCGTAAGCGTTAGGAGGGAGAACGGCATTTACCTTATGACGCCCGTTGTGTGCTCCTCTTTCGGGATGATCGCGTTCCCGTCCGCGTCGGTCGCGGGGGAGATGGAGAGCGTCGCGAGGGACATGGCGACAGCGAGGAAGACCCAGGAGTCGGCGAGGTTGATGCCTGGCGCGTAGAAAATTTGAAAAATGGAAAGTCGATAGGGCAAGTCAAGAGGGGGCTTAATTGCTCGGAGAGAAGGCGTACCGGGACACACGCGTCTTCCGAACCCGAACACGAAATCGCGCGGGTCGCGCTCGGGCGTCGGTCCCAAGAAGCGCTCGGGTTTGAACGCGAGCGGGTCGGCGTACGTCGCCGGGTCGCGACAGAACCGCCTGAGAGCACACGCGGTCACCTCTCAGCGTCGCTTTTTTTATATCCATATCTTGCCCCTCGGGAGATGGGATGAGGAAGGGGGGGAGGGGGTAAAGCTCACCAGATGTTGGCGATGACGTTCGCGCCCTTGGGGATCCGGAAACCGGCGTAGACGTCTTCCTCGCGTGACACGTGCGGCAGGCCTTGAGGGATGGCGGGGTAGCGCCGGAGCACCTCCCGCGCGAGGGCGTCGACGTACGGCAGCATCGGGCGGTCGGCGAGCGTCGGTAGCCGGTCCGGGCCGACGACGCGGTCGAGCTCGGCTTGGGCGGTGGCTTGGGCGGAGGGGTGGAGCGTCATCGCGAGGAAGAAGGAGTGCGCGTTCGGGATCGTCTGGATAAGAGGGGTATCAGTGGTGAAGCAGAGGGAGAGGAGGAGCAGGAGGTGCGCGTACGGTGTCCGACCCGCCGGTGTAGATGATGGACGCGGCGGCTTTGATGAAGTCTTCGTCCGCCGAGGTCACGCCAGGTTGCTCAAGCAGGCTCGCCGTGAAGGACGGCTTGGCGGTGCCGTGCGCCTTTATCGGGGACAACACGTCGGTACACGGGAGACGCCGATAACAGAGTGGGGTGAGGACGTACGAGCTGCTCTTTGACGCGGAGAAAGGGCGTGTCGACGAGCTCTTCGCGATGCCGCCGCATCCGCGCCGCCACGCGTTTGAACCCGGCGCCAGGGAGCCAATCGGGTATGTGGCGGACTTATCAAGCATCCCAGTCAGTCCCGATAGCGAAAAACTGTGTGAGGAGAGAGGACGCACGGAGGGGTAGGGAGTCGACGAGGTACGCGCCCGGCGTGAGGACCTGCACGAGCTCCTTAAGCGTCCCGTCCGCAAGGCGAATCAACGGGTCGTCCTTCTCCTGCACCTCGTACCCGTACGCGATGTCCAGTATAACGGCGGCGATCGTCCTTTCCTTTCCACAACGCAACGTCAGCTCGCGGCGAGCGTACGCAAACAGACAGAAACGTATTCACGTCCGGATGTGCGTCCCCAGCCGTTCCGACTCCGGATCGTCCAGCACGCGACGCAGGAAGCGCTGCACCTGCGTCTGCAGTAGGTCCGCGTAGCCACCGAGGTTGGTCTTGCTGCCGAGCTGCTTGGTGATGAGCCGCCGAAGCTCGCGCGTGCGTTCATCATACGGCGCGATGTCGAGCAGAGTCTCGCGCCAGCCGACGAGCTCGGACGACATCGTCATGTACGGCCGGTCGCAGTAGATGCTGCCCTTCTTCTCGAACAGATCCTGGGCCGCCTGGGGGGAGTTGAGCACTACCCAGGGGTCGCCGGCGAGGTTGCAGTAGACGATGTCACCTGCAACGTTTACCCAAGCATTCAGGCTGTTGTAAGGTACAGATACAAGAGAGGGGGAGGGGGGAAGAGCACGGACCGTATGTTCTCCGCCACTCCGCGAACGTCTTCCAGCCCGCCTCTTTGGGCCATTGCAAGATATTGCCGAGGATGGGCAAGCCTTTCGGTCCAGGCGGGAGCGGCTCGCGTCCCCGCTTCGCTTCGAGTTTCTTCAGTAGGTAGGCAGCGAGCAGGAAGACAAATCCGCTGATTATTTGGAGGTGCAGCGAGGCCACCATCGTCGTGCGCGTCCGCAAGGGACTTTCGAGAGGCAAGTCGCGTCGGTGGCGTTGATACGCACCGTTGATACACACAGATACATGATGCCCCCTGGCTAGCAGGCATGGACTACGGTCCTCACCGCAGCGTGTCGCGACCGTGACACAATCGACACGCTACGAAGCCGTATACTATCGGGACTATTCAGGCATCTCGACGTCTTCACGTTGAGCGACCGTCAACTGGATCACTATCTCACAAGCGCCGGGATGCATGTCACTTTCAAGTTTCCTCTACCCAGCGTTGTTCCATCATCTTCGCTATCACTGGGGCCGGCTCATCGTAAGGACAGTTGGAACCTGCTGGCAAAGGTTGCCATTTGCCTTCGAGTACCAAAGGCGTAACTGCCAAATTGCTGGGGACGTCCGGAAATGGGAGCTTGAGCGTGTACTCCCGAGTTGAAGGATGAGAGATCTCTTGCCGGTCGCCATGCACAAATTTGATCTCTATGCATACTGCCTGCAGTGTGTCCGGTTGCATTTCGGTAGCGAGCAGCTCGGCGTCTCGATTTGTCCTGGGCATGCTTGTTTTACCTGCATTTGGATTGTCCCCTGGAGGTGTTACGACAACAATGGATGACTTCCCGTAAGGTCTGTAGCTGCAGAATAACTCCTGTCAGAGTATAAAAAAGCATCGCACACATCAACGCCCCTGTTGATAAACACTCGAAGAGCAGCTCCCTTTATTACCAACCCCAATGGCCACAGTTGACCAGCTTCACCTCCCGGTTGACTCGGCCTTGGCCTCCGAGTCAGACCAGGCTCATGCGATGGCCACGTATGGGTAAGCGCTGTGGTAGCTCTTTGGATCGATTCGACACACATATTGCCGCCGGTGCCGTGCCCAATACAGGGAAGCGGTCTTTCCACTAAGCCCATACCCAGACAAACCCGTAAGCCGCAGCCACGATGACTGTCGGGCGAATGATCCATTCTTGTTGTGTTCACATGCAGTTCCAATTCCGATGACGATTTTGTATACCGTTTTGTATAGCGCGTGCATTATGATGGATATAGCCCGTTGACGACGCATTGCATCGTGAATGGCAAAGCGAAGCGGCCGGAACGAATTTCAATGATCACGTTATGTGTGCTCAATGGATTTGAGTGCGGGCGCTCGACCGGCTCTATGCTGCAGCTTGCTTGACTCTTGCCGCCATAGCCTTGAGCTCGCGTAATGCGTTCTCTAGTTTTGCATGCGCTTAGCTCCCTGGAGACGACCCATTGTTGACAGACGGCCTTATTGTTTCCCCGATGATCTGGCTTTACCGGTTCCACGAACCCAGACAACCCGTCCGTATCCCAGCATGGCCCACGGCTGTGCTGCGACCTCGGAATAGTCTGTCACCGTGACTGAGGAGCGTTGTGGAGCCGGAAAGACACGCGCGGTCGATCCTCAGCCCGAGATGAGGTCTGGGGCATGCTGTGCACCCCTCTGGCCAGTGCAGGGTGGCCTAAGATGGACAGCCTGCGATCGTAGGCTGCGCGAGCTCGGAAGGCTGAAGCCACGAATTGCCATCGCGTTGCACAGCACATGGTCACGCGTGTACGGTGGCCTCGGGGTTGCACTGAGTATAAAAGACGCTCTTGTCTGGACACAAACATCAAAGCATTACAACCAATCCCTCGATTTCAGAACCCACTGCTCAACTACATCGCATCTCGCCTTTCTACCATGCATCCATCTGCACTTCCGTCAGTCTCATAACTACGTTTCTGGTGGATGTTGTGCTGACGTTGATCCGGAGTACAGTTCCGTCCAGGCCAATCTCTCACCCCTGCGTGATATTATCGCCAACGAAGGGGACCGCCTTTTACACCAGGGTCAAGACGAGTCCGGCCCCGCTGAGGTTGAGATTGTCCCGTGGACCTTCGGGTGAGCTCTACGCTTCCTCAGTGCAGATGAGTTGGAGAACTGACGGTTCATTGCTTGTCCTGCCTGTAGACCTCCGAATCGACCGCCTCCGGGCAAGCCCGGACCTAGGCCCAGGCCGAAGCGCGCATGATTCGGACCTCGACAACAACTAGAATCATATCCTTGCATGTGTGCCCCAAATACCACCATACTGGTGCAGCCATTATACTGCCGCCATCATAGCTTGATAATTACTTGATGTGCCTATGTACTCAGTTACCATCCTATAGACTGGGGATATGTATTGCATAGGATCCTAGTACATCCCGTCCTTCACCATATTCAGTTAACCACCGCGTTCGTCTGCGTTGTAGATGCGAAGCCCATTCTTTGGTTTGTCTCATCAAAGACGCTGTAATACCTCTCCAGGAACGTGTACCTATAGGAAAGGCAACAATAGTCCATGAGACAGCTGTGCCACGGGGTACTAAGTATCAACATACCCGAGTATGAAATCGAGGCCTGATCCGACGAGTGTTCCGATCTGCGCGGGGTATGAATGTGAACAGCTTTTAGAAGGATACGGAGAGATCGCACGTCGTTGACGATGAGGTACAAGGAGTCATCCGAGCCTCCGATTTCGGCATTCAGAGCTCGTGGCCAGCTGAACAGCATCATTCATAAGCATCCGGGGTATACGAACGAGGAGCTATGACTTACACTTGCGCATTGGGCGTCAGCTTGAAGTTTTGACCTCCGATCACGATGTCCAGGCCCAAGAGATTCTCATACCGGTCTGGAGTGATGCTGAGGAGTCCAGTGGTTGAGTCCAGTGTGGCGCCGGTTGCGTTCTGGTATTTTGCAAAGGCGTCTTGACAAAGACCGCCCATCAGTTCGGTGACGGAATTCAGCCAGCGCAGACTCACTTGAAGCGATGTAAGTCTGGCAGGATGAGCGACTATCAGCATTGCAATAAAACTATGAGCTATACGCTACGCACCAGTGTGGTACCTGCGTATCACGTCAGTCAGCTGTTCTCATGCCATAGGAGATGAGTACTTACCGGTATCAACGATGCCCGCGGTCTTCTCCAGCACAGCGGAATTGTTGTACGTCAAAGCTGCGTCAATACCCCTGAGAGGTCCGCCTGAGTTATCCTGGTCACATTCATGAGGTCGTCAAATACTGACCAGTAGTATGCCGCCGGCGTGGTCGTCGTGAGTGGAACGTAGGTGACGGCACTTTCGCATTTGGCGCTGTCCACGCCACCAATCGTGAGCTCGCCATTCTTGAGGCTCATGGTGGTAGTTGGCTGGAAGTAGATCGAAAACATGTCCGAAGGTATTGTGCTGACAAATGTTCAGGGCCTCAATGTCCAAAACAACTGTATCGTGCAGTGGACGTACCCTTGTGCCGCAAGTTCGTCGATGATGGTTGGGATGTAATCTGTCATGCCGTCGACGGTACCCCATGTCAGAATCTTGGGGCCGATGCCGAGCAAACCGTCGACTTCGTCGAAGCCTTCGGTAACAAGGCCATAGCCGACGGACATATTGTGCACCGCCATTTGCGGAGACAATGCTACGGTATCCGTGCCTGGTGAAGTAGACAAGTCAGAACAGCGTCAGCATCAAGCCCTTCCCACAAGGACGCACATACCTCGCCGAAAAAGAGGCCAGAACCGTAGTCTACTTCCGTGAATATGCCGGACGAGCAGTTCGTGGTGCTAGTACGGGTATACGGTTTGGCAGAACCAGCCCACGTGTTGCTGCTCCCTGAACCATGGATTTCTGTTGAGCCGCATAGTAGGAGGTAGATAAATGGAATGTGCTTACCTGTATCGACCAGCACACTGTACTGTTCACCCTCCGAACCGATGGTGATCGTTGTGGTGTATACAACCTGCGCGCTTGAAGTCAACATTGAAATCACTGCATAATGTGCTGTCGGACGTACAGCAGCGTTGGTAGCGTCGACGGAGTATGCGCTGGCCCGTTTATGGTTGCCGCTTTTGATGGCATGGCCTGTGTGAGCCATCGCTTCGATACGTGCACGATCGGCCCTGGCCAAGTCGAACTTCTGGGTGCCCTTGGTATTAAACTTGGATGTGAAGGAGAGGCCAAGGTTCGGCGTGGCACGCGGAGCGGGAAGCGCAGCGGCACCCAATGCAACGGTAAGGAGACAAAGAGAGGTCGATCTTGACAGCATTTTCGCAGCCGTTGAACGCAAAGTGCACCAGCTTAGCGGAGAGAGGGAGCCGACGATACGCAACGAAGACGTACGATTGGGCGTTTTATAGTGAAGACCATGTAGCATCCGGGTCAAGCCAGGTGATGTATCGCCGCAGGTCATACACCGCGTCACAGACTGAAGTGGAATAAAACTCTCGAGCAGAGACTATTGAAAGAGTGAGCGGAGGCTTGGCATGCAGAAGCCGCGCTAGCACCCCGCCGCAAGGTTAACGTGGTCAAAAGGGCCATAACCTGCTGGCCTTTCTTCGGAAAGTTAAGTTGTCGACGTGTTTGGTGGAAGCTCTTGGAGATAGTATAGAGCGCTCTCATGTTGCAAAGAAGCCTTCAAGAGCGTGATCCCGGGAGCGAACAGCCTAAATGAGGAAAATCGCGACTAAAGGGGAGAAACAGCGGAGCAAGCCAACGGAACGAGCCAAGACCATAAATAGCAGTCAACGAGGTTCTCAGATAGATATGGCATCCAGAGAAACTCCGAGATAGTTTTGGCTTGTCCAGGGATATACGATTGCACCTCTGCCGCCGAGAGCGAAGCCAAACTGGTATTATACGACGTAGAGATGTGGCGCTCATGAATGCATGTGCCTATTCCGTTCGTAGGCTTCAATTGATCGTCGAGTCCGTCTCCGCCGTTGTCGCAAATCCGACCTGTTCTAATAGTAAGTATGAGAGTCCGCAACGACAGTGGCATCGACAGACCTGGTTGTTGGTTGTGTCGTAGACGCTAAGCGACGGTAAGAGACCAAAACATAGAACGTGAGCTGGGGAAAGAGGGGCTCACCTGTAAAATCGCTCCAGGAAAACGTAGCTGCGAGATAGTCATGCACGGATTGGTACTGATGGTGAAGAGCGACACTCACCCATTGATGAAGTCCATGCCTGATCCAGACATTGTTCCAATCTAAGAAATAAGACGTCGAGGACAAGTACGCTCGGAAACTACGGCGACCTACGTCGTTGACAGCCAAATATACGTAATCGTCCGAGCCCCCGATCGCTAAATACACCTGAACACAAGCGAGGATCGCATAGATCTTCGTACTTACCAGCGTTCATGGTACGAGGGAAGATTTGCCCTGTAGATGTGATGTTCAGCGCCAGGCTCCTTCATTGGAACTTCCCGTACATACCGTTCGGAGTCAAACTGTAGGTGTTGGAACCAATCATGAAGTCGAGGTTCTTCAACGAGTTATACTGCGCAGGGGTAATGCGTAGCAATCCGGTAGTCATATCGAGGGTGGCGCCAGTGGCGTTGACGTAACGGTTGTACGCATCTAAAGATCGTGAGGATATGCGGGACGGTGATGTTTGTTGAATATTTACCAGAAGCGCTACGAATTAGATCGCGTAAACAGTCAACATACAGTAGGTGGACTATACTAGAAGAGCACCTACAGGTAGAGAAGCGTTGTTCCTGCGAACAAGTTGAGTACGTTCCGAGCCTCGATATGTGCCGTTGCGCTCACCAGTGTCAACAATACCGGCGGATGTGGGAAGGATCTCTACATCGCCGTACTTGATGGTCTCATCTATGCCAGGTCAGACCGTCACGCACGATAAAAAGTTAACACTCACCGATACCCCAGTACGCGGAGGCTGGGGAGGTGGTGGTTATAGGCACGTAGGCGACGTCGCTTGTCGTCTTGCTGGTGTCCACTCCGCCGAAGGTCAGTTCACCGTTGGTGGACTCCTCTTCAACGCTCGGGGCAAAGTAGACGGAGACAACGTTGGATGATATGGTGCCCTACCAGAACGCGTGTCAGAGATTGCACATGCACTCAAGAGGCGATCGATATGTGCACGTACTTGAGAAAAGAGATTATCGGTAACTGTAGGAACTGTATCCTGGCCGGTAACAGTGCCCTCAGTAAGATCTACGGGCCCGATGCTGCGGAAGAGATGTGAAAACATCAGTTCGGATAGAGTGCCGAAGGCGAGCAAGGATTATACCCCAAGATCCCGTCAATGCCATCGCCAAAACCTCTTGCCTGGAATGCCGCGCCGATAGACTGGTTGCGAATGACCAACTCTGGCGACAGAGTCACCGTATCCGAACCTGAGGTAGAGATTCGGTTAGAGAAACGGGTTGTGATGAGCTACGACATACATTCTTCGCCAAAGAACTCCCCGGACCCATACGTAACCTCGACGAATTGACCAGGCCGACAGTCCGAGCTGTCCGTCTTCTTATACTTCTTGTCGGCACCAACCCACGTATTCGAAGATCCTACCAAAGAAACGATGAGTTAGGCTCGATACACAAGGATCACAGGACTTGACTGCTTACCGGTGTCGACGAGCAGGTTGTATTGCGTGGCAGGTGATCCCACGCCAACACTGGCCAGGTAGGTGACGGCGACATTCGTGACATCGGACGAGAATACGCCGGCCCTCTTGCTCGAGCCCTGCGCAGAGACGCGGTTGCCGCGGTCCCTCAGAGCCTTAATGCGAGATCGGTCCGCGTCGACGATCCTGGTCCCAGGACGATACCGCGACCGAACGGCGAGAGTAGTGAGAGAGGAATCTTGTGCCATTTGTGGGCCAGCGTGGACGTGGCCGACAGCCAGGCTGGCTACCATGAGCGCGTATAGGAGGGTGTTCTTCGTCATAGCGATGTGTGTAAGGATCGTAGGGCGTAGCGATGTGTGCGCGCTGTTGAGGGCCGGCGGACAAGCTGGTCAAGTTGCGTAGATCGCTCTTATAACCCCACATGGTCGAATGTGGCGGGTATAGAACCGCCCGCTGGAATGACATTTGAACGTTTGAACATCACATTGGTGCGGCTGTCTCCGCGGGGTTCCAAGAAGAACCTACTGGCGTACCCTCAGTTTGTTTCACGTGAAGAGACTAGGAAGGACGAACCACCTTCGGACAGGATACACGTTACCAAAGACACTGTGGAGAAGTGACTTCGTGCTCTGCGCTCGAATGACTTGTCCCGTCCTGCAAACCCGAGCGGGAAAGGCTGACTTACCTTGAATGTTGAAGGGAATCAGTCATCCCGGATGACGTGCATCCCGTACAAGGTGATACATGCATCGGATGGACAAGTGTACGATGGTTTGGAACTCACAATACGCATACATAAACAACAGATCCTGATATTCACTAAGTGTGAAACCCTTCACCGGACGCTCGAACCTCCGAATCCGGTACTTCGCCGCATACTCCCGAGGTTCGACGGGCCCTCCCCTCTATCCTCGCTCCACCTCGATCCGGACGAGAACCCTCTCGCCAGCGGCCTCCGGCTCCTCTCGCGCTCCCAGTCGTACTCCCTCGCGTCCCGCCACATATCTCCCGATGCCGCTCTCCGGTTTCCCTGACCCATCATGTACGCCGCAGCGGCGCCGAGAGCGGTGCCGGTCCAGAACCCCGGTCGCCAGCCCTGTTGGGTAGATGCCTTTGGATCGGTGTTCGACGGGGTGTAGGGTGGAGGAGGGTCGGTTGGGCCGCCGAGACCGCCGCCAAAGCCGCCTGGGAACCATCCTGAAGGTCGTTGTGGGCTGGGTCCGCCGGTTGTGCCGTTGGGACGTCGTCCGAGGCACGACTTCAAGAAGCCGTACAAGATAAACAGCAGAAATCCCGTCCAGACGATGGTGAATAGGATAGACGCTATGCTATCGGCTGGTAACGATACGTGAGCGAACAGTAGCAGGGGTAGTGGACAGTATACGTACAGTTGAATCTCCGCGCGGACCAATCATAATCGTTCTGATTTCGGAGATTATCTGGGACGTGGACCAGACGGTACTCCAACGAGCATGAGCCTGGACCATGTCGTTCAGCCTCCGTCGCATATCGTTGATCAAGAAAAGCACCTTTCAGCACGTATGGATCCCCTGGTCCTGACCAGCCCTCACAAGACACTTCCACACGCCCGAGACGCAAAGACTCCGGCAAATCCGCCTCGCACTGTAATCCGAGGCGTCAGTCTGACCACATGCCCGCGATGAAAGTCGGTATTTACTACCTTCCAGTTTACATCCGTGCCAGAGCCTCCTGCATTTCTACACAGTATCGCATCGGGCTGGTACCAGCCGCATGGTTTCCCGACGCAGATCAGTTGCGGAATGGGATCCGTTCTTCTTGCAGCGGTAAGGGCATCTCGATAGAACGTCAAGGATGGAATGTTAGCCAGGGCTACTTTGGACATTGCGTCAAAGAGGATGGTTTCAAAGTGAGATCCGCCGTGGTCCGGCGTAAGAGTTGCGAGCTACGCATGGTTTCGCCCGACAGTGCTCGAGGATGCTGGAAAGGGCGCGCACTGCCTTCGAACACGTCAGTGCGTACATACGATCACGTGGTGCGCCCTGTCAATGCACGTGGCTCATTCGCGGGACGAGGATCGCGCAACGTTTTCGCGTCGACCAATACTAACGCCAGCTCAATTCCAAGGCGCTTCATTTAACTCCATTCCAGCAGCATCTTGCTGCTCACTTCCACTCATTTTCACTGAAATGTTTTGCACTGTTTTCGTCGTTGCGCTGCTTGCCGCACAAGGCCCGTATGCCGCCGCCACCCCAACCAGCCCGCGATTCAGCCTTCCTCTCGCTGCAAGGTTCGCCTCCGACGGAACAGCGCGCATCGTTGATATTGACCGGGCACGCGTCGCGGCCATGAAGACGCATCATCACTTGCTATTGACCGATAGGCAGGAGGTGCCCGCACGCCGCGCTCATCCGCAGACGATAGCAGTCACCAACACGGCGATCAACTACATTGCGTCTGTCAGTATCGGCCAACCGCCCACTACTTGTGAGTCTCTGGCAATTCCTTGCGGTATGGGCTTGGAATGACCATAATTCAATATTCAGACAATCTTCTGGTTGATACCGGTGAGTTGTAACACCTTGCGAGAGGTCCTCATGATAAACGTTATGTCCTACACACAACAGGCTCGGCGAACACGTGGATCAATGCATCCACGCCTTACAGACCTACCGACTCCAGTATACGTACCGGCGAGTCTGTCCATCTGACGTACGGCACGGGCGGCTTCTCCGGTACCGAATGTAGGTCGTCGCCATCAACTATGTGCTTGTTGGGCTCACTGCGACTCCTTCCCTAGATATGGACCAATTGTCGCTTTCCCCAAATCTTGCTATCAAAAACCAAGTGGGTGTTTCTCACAGCCCACGCTGACTCGAATATGCTGATCGGAAACAGTCGATCGGGGTAGCGAACTCCACCTACGACTTCGACACGAGCGGAGCGGTACCCGTAGATGGCATATTAGGGTAAACAGATGCATTACTTGCGAAGATCACGCACGCTCATACGCGAGGACAGGATTGGCCCCGTCGATCTCACCCGCGGCTCACTGAGTAACAAGACCGAGACGATTCCAACCGTCGTCGACAACCTATACTCACAAGGCCTCATTGCGGAAAATCTGATCAGCATCTCCTTCCGCCCTTCCGCGAACGGCTCCACCTCGGACAAGAACGGCGAGCTGTCCTTCGGGAGCGTCGACGGTTCGAAACACGTCGGCTCTCTGACGTACGTACCCATCACGAAGCAACAGCCGGCGGGGGTCCACTGGGGAATCGACCAGGTGTGCTCTCTGACTGCCGTATCATATGCGGTCGAGCAGCAGCATGCTGAGGACGATCTCAGTCCGTCAGATATGACAACAAATCGATATTGAACAGCACCGGAGGCGTGATCGACTCTGGATCGACGCTCATCTACCTCGCGTCAGGCATGTACTTATCACCTTTCATATCCACACCGGTAATCATGGGATCGATCCTGCGCAGATGCCTACGACGCGTACAAGGTTGCAACCGGCGCAACGCTTGACAGCACGACCGGACTCCTGCGCATCGAGCCGTCTGCGTACGATAAGCTCAAGAACCTCGACTTCGTCATCGGCGGGGAGACGTTCACGCTCGTTCCCAACGCCCAAATCTGGCCCAGGCAAGCCACATCCCATCACGTTCGACGCGAAGATTTGAAAGACTGATCGATGTTTGTTATCAGAGCTCTGAACACCTACATCGGCGGCTCGAACGACTGGGTGTATCTTGTCGTCAACGACGTGGGTATCCTTCGTTAATGCGCATATACTATCGATCAATTGACCATTGGCCGTGTATGTTGCAGCTCGGAGAACCGTCTGGGAACGGCCTCGACTTCATCAACGGCTATGCTTGGATGGAGCGGTTCTATACCGTGTACGACGGCGGTGCGAATCGCATGGGCTTTGCCAAGACCTCTTGGACCAACGCCACGACCAACTAGCGCACGGACGTACATTCATTCTCTTTGCAACCTTTCGATACGCTATCTTTTTTTTAGTTCGCATGCTATCCTGTTCATGATGTCCCATGGAATTCTTAATCACGCTATCGAATGGCCGATTTCATTTTTCTTAGCGCGCTGACAAAACCTGTAAGAGGAACGAGCCTGGTCAGTGACGTACTCGTACACCGCTGGTAGGAAGCTTAAAATACGAGTTTACCGAAACGATCACAAATCGTGCACTCCCAGAACACTACAATATGGCATTGCTCATGGCGCGGTGCTAGTAGGATGATACAGAAAAGGTAGCTACAGATACAGGGTATGCGATTTTGGTTTTCGGGGGACGCGAAGTGCCCCGCGTTCCGGTCTATGTGTGCAAAGTCCATGACAAGAAAAGTGCCGACGACGACGGTTACACGGCGTACGTCGGCCCTCCTTGGCCGTATGCGGGCTGGCCGTATGCGCCGTGGGTGCCGTCTGTGGCGTACGACGGTCGCACGGAGCCGTTGGTCTGCGCCATGAGGTTTTCGCGACCGAGCTGGCCGCGGTGCATGCCTTTCGACATGCGGAGGTCGTACCAGAACGTGAGGAGGTAAAAGGTGAAGCCGAACGCGATCGTCCATTCGAGTACGGCTATATGCGCAACATTGGTCAACAATCCGATTCACGCATATATGCGTGGAGATTATGGAGCGTACCGTCGACGTTGTCGGCCTTGGTACCGTTTTGGGTGAGGAAGACGGCGAAGACGATGGCGAGGATGATGAGGATCCCGGCGATGAGCGCCTTGGCGAGGTAGGTCGCCTTGAGCTTGCGGATCTCGCCAAAGTCTTTGGAGATCCAGCGGTACTCGAGGATGGTGAAGATGGCGGAGAGCGCGACGCCGACCATGAAGACGAGGAGGAAGACGCGGTGAAGGGACGTGTGCCGCTTCGTGTCGAAGATGGTGAGGAGGATGAGCCCGGCGCCGCCGATGAACGCGCCGAGGACCGCGAGCCAGTTGAACACTTTTTCGCGTCGGCGCATGTTGGGGATAAGCCTGCGTTTTTCGTGTTTCGTCGCGTGAGCAAGGACGATTCGGGCGCATACAGTAAGGCGGGGTGAGTCGGCTTACCGTCCGGTGTGCCGCAGCCAACGCTCGATGACGAGCGAGAGAAAGAAGCCGACGGCGGTGATGGAGCCGCCGACGATGAAGAGCGGTTTGAGGATGTCGGCTCCGATGTCGCTGATGAACGGTATAGTACCGTCTTCGCTCACGTAGATCGGCCGGCCTTGCGCCGCCCATGTGATGATCATGGCCAGTAACGTGGCGCACTGTATCCGACGAGACTCGGTCAGAAAAGCGGGTTCGGAGCGAGCATGATGCGAAACGCGTACTCACCCACATGAACGCGGCGAGCGCGGGTATCCAGACGTACGCCCAATGGTGGTGTTGGTGCGAGAACATGATCGTCGTTGGCCGCTAGTCTTGATTACTGTAGTTGTGATCGTGCAACAGGAGAAAAGAGAGAGAAAGGAGGCTTGGCGACGTGGTCGTGTGCGCAGTGCCGGCAGGGCGGGAGGGCGGGAGGATAGCGAGCGGCGCGGAACGTTCTTGTTGAAGCTTTTACGATGAAGCCGCGTGACGTCATGGGTCGCCGAGGTTTCGCAGTGCTGGGACCTTTGGACGTCTCGTTGGAGCGAGCCCATGCTGCGCCCTCGCCGGTGCAGCCGGATGACTTCACCTGGACGTCTCGTTCCCGGCTGCGAGGGGCCCGGGGAAACAGGAATAATCTGTGTAAGGTCATCAACGGGCCATGCTCCGCGTAGGTGTGCTCACCTCGCAAGTTGAAGATGAATGCCGGTATGAGATTCGGTCTGTGTTGACATCATACTACGCATGTTCTTTCCTTGAGACTGATTGGCAGGATGATACCTGGAGAACAGAGATATATCGTTTGCGAATCGCAATGACCGTGCCGAAGAAGGCGGAAATTTAAAGGCGGAAAGCGCCGCCAAACGCGATCACGTGCAGCCATTAAGTAGTGGCTTTTCCGTTTTTCGTAAGTAAATATCATCGGACTACGAAGAACCTCATACTGTTATATACTGGCTCAAACCAGCAACTCGACTCTGATGCAGACGTACGAGTCAGCAATAACACTTCTTAAGCGTGTCTTGGAGACCCCGATGACATCTGCTTCGTCCAGTCTCAACTCCGGCCGTGCAAAACATCACTCGTCGCCAACGCTCCATGAAAAAACGAAAGGCTATTGACGGCCATATCCGCGTACTGCAGGAGCAGATTGAAATTTGGCATGAGCGAATACGCTCGCTCCGCGAAAGCCGTAACCAGCTAGCTGCCATCTTCCGCCTCCCACTCAGGCCGACACGTTTCTTTGTTCCCTTCCAGCCACTCCTTCGCGGATGTATGTCGATGGTGGCGACAAGTGGCGCTCGACGCATTCCCGACGAGCTGATCCGCGTGTTCCAATCGAGGTCTAGGAACGCACCGCTATCTCTCTCCATCACGTCGAGCAGGGACTGTCCTTCCGCCGAAACAACGATCGCAACTCTCGTGCATATTAACGCATGCGGAGCCTCACCTCGCTCTGCGAGGCGTCGTCGATGGCCTCATACGCGAAGCACCTCGCACGCCCCGCCCCGCTTCTCGTAGACTGCTCGATCGAGAGCTTCCCATTCCCCACCGCGCTGCCGAGTGATTCCTTGGGCTCGTGTGCCCCACATCTGCACCATCTTCACCTAAGTCGGGTATAGGATATGTTGCGCCGCGCCTCGCTGATTCGAGCATTCCAGCCTTAACCTCAGCGGGCAGACCACCAACCGCGTAACCCAACTTCACTGTCGATGTTCCTCAAGGATCACTGCACGTGCCGAGCGGCAGGCCCCCGCATCCAACACATGCACTGCCGAATTTTCGACCGTTCGTACCAATCCGTCGCCTCCGCTGTGCCCGACGACGACATTCCGTTGCTCACCCTCCACGTCGAACACGAGTGGTTCCCCGTGTTCGTGACCATCTACGGCCTCCAACTCGACGGTTTCACCTGCCTCGCACTATAAGTCGGCGGATGAAAGGATCTCGCGCCCAACCATTCCCTCGCGCGCTGCGGAAGCGTCACCGCCATCCACGAAACACCCGGGCGTCGTCCGACCCGGTGCTTCTCCCGAAGCTGCGGCACCTAGCTTTGGACTTCTGTTTCGGCGACGCTCTCGTCACGGCTTGCAGCAATCTCCTATCGACCAGGCACCGGAAATTGCACGTTCAGCTGAGGTTATCTTTTTACTGGGCTCCGACTGTATGGAAGACGATCATGTGGAGAGCTTCCGCCGGATGGGAGCTTCGCGGATCTGGGATCAGCTGCGTTGGGTGCTGTTACGAAGTTTTGTCCCGGACACAGTAAGTAGCCAGGAAGCTACCTCATGGATCATTAACATCACGGAATCGGTGTTCTGGAGATTTTTCATTCGATTCCGCTGCCGAGTCTCCGCTCATTCGAACAGAAATCCGAGTTGCCTCTGGCCATGGCGACGGCGGGCAATCTTGACGTCGTTCAGCGGCATGCGCGCGTGAGAAAGCCAACAGCCCCCTCCCACGTGCGCCAACATCACATTCCTTGTCCTTTCAATCCGCCCCAGACCTATGCTAGCCTCTCTGCCATACGAGCTGTTATATCCCATCGTCGAACAGGCTGCTTCGACAGATCGTGAAACAGCATACAGCCTATGCCTTGTCGCGCCTTGGTCGAGGGAGATCGCGGAGCGATATCTATACGCGGTTATCGAGACGCATCACGAGGGAGGTTCGGACCTGTTCAGGCGCTGGCTCAGGGAGGCCGTGAAGGGAACTGTACCATCGCACGCACGCTACGTCCGACATCTTTGGCTGGAGGCCCTCTTCCAGGGTCCCTCGACCACGGATGAGCTTCGCCAACCTGAGCGCGAGCTCGACCCCGAGTTGCTCATAAATCTACTCTGGTTCTTCCCCAATCTCGAGTCGATCAGCTGGGCGCAGCGATCCGTAACGGAGTTCAGCGAGCCCTGGCGACTTCATGGACACGTCATTCGCGCGTCGCTCTCGTTACTGCGTTGTCGCTCGCAAGTCGACGGTCCGGTGAACGGCCCGACCCGTCGCGCTCGAGAACCCGGGATAGGCCTTCAACTCACGCTGAACTGCAAATTGGAGCTGTATCAACCTCAGGGTTCGCTTCAAGATGGAGACGTATTCGGCATGATCACTCACTTGCGCCTGAACGACTGCATATGGGTCCCGCCCCGGATTTTGAGCAGCTACCGCAACCTTACGCACATCGCGTTGACAAACGACGGTGCAGTGGACATGATGATAGCGTTGTACCGCCTGTTCCCGCGCGCTCTTTTGAAGCTGGAGATGTATGTCATCGAGATACGTGGACGCTGCTCGCACGAAGACTGGGTACGTTGTCTCAAGAGGGTGAAGGAGGAGCGCAACAGCGGTGAACCTATTTTCACGCTCATGCGTCACAAGTCATTGGAGAAGGACTGGGAAGAAGCGTTGTTGGATGGAGGACAGAGCATCTGGGACCGCGCGCGGACTTTCACAAGTACGCTGGACCGCGAAGATTGGACACCTCCGCTTCCATCATCGAGATGAGAGTGACAATAGCAACAATACACGACGCGATATTGACTGAGGGGTGAATCCTGTATGGAGAGGAGTGGGGTTGTCGCGTAAGGCACCAGTGCGGGTCGAAATATATATCACCGTCCATCGGGGCGCGCCCAGTACGTAAATATGACTACGAGTGTTCAGGCCACCGCTTTCGGAGCTTTTCTCGGCGTCGGGGGCCTACCAGTTCGCTCGGTCCAGCATTTGTGCCCGAATCCTTTCGATCGTTCATACCCAACGTGATACGCTGGACCTTGAGACGCCCTAGTGACAGCGCACCGCGAGTCTTCAGCGCTGCCAGTGGCTTGATTTGGGGCGTTCCGTGCGTCGCGGCTGCTCCTTTACACGTTATTACCTCAGCCCATTATTCGACACGCACGCAGGACACGGTCACAGCCGTTCCACGGTCGATGTTGTGAGTTCAGACGACGACATCTCCATCCGCATTAATTCAGTCCCATACAGTGCCGGGCGGGGTGTGCGTCGCATTACAATCCCTTCCTCAAGATCCGTTCGATGACGTCCATATGCGTCTCCCACAGGGCATCCGTCCATCGAACTGCGATAGGACCACATGCACGTCCACAAGTCCATACAAGAGTGCTTACGACACGACGTGAACATGCCGCCATACGCGTTCGCTCGCGGTCACAACAGATCCGTCAATTCTGCACCGCCGCCGTCGCCTCGAAATCTGCAAGTTCATGTCGATCCGTTGCGAGAGCGCCACCGTTTCACGGGCCAGCCTCTGCCAAGTTGCGGATGAGATCGTTGCAAGTTCTGCATACGCAGGGAAGTAAGCTGCGGCGCATATGGCGAGTAAGTACAAACCACGACGACTATACGTAGGCATCTAGTAATGTGTGTCTCTGTCCGGTTTCACTAGACAGAAGAAAAGACTTGTTGATATGATTGGACAGACTTCGTAAGAACCACCCGGGGACATCTGCACGGCGCTCAAGGCACATAGCGCGAGTACTCTACGCAGCCGCAGTGTCACGGGGAACATCGACTTCGTAGCAGCGCCCGAGTAGAAAATGTTGATTACAGAAGTGTCGTACATCACATCTCATGCACCTTCTAATTCGTCGTCGCGTCGCGCGCGTCGGAGGCTAACGCGGAACCTTCGCCACCTTCATCCTGCGAGATCTAGACGCGGGTCAGAGGCGGATGGATATCGCGAACGCAATCTCACCATGAGCTCGTGAATCTTACGAAGGAGACGGGAACAGTCATCCGCCTGGCCCTCGTGTCCAATCTCCGTGAGCATTGCCCGAGCGGTCGTGATATGCTCAACAGCCTCGGCATAACGACGCTGGTCGCGATCGAGTAAGCCCATGTGAATGTGACACCAGGCGATCCTATAGCGATCCCCGATGCTTGAAGCATGGTCGAGAGCGCGCCCTAGCTTCTCCGCGGCTTGATCATACCGCTCTTGGACACGATCAATATCAGCTAAGCTCTGCAGAGAGCCTGTAACACCAAGTCGGTCTCCGATCTCGGAGTACACGTCGTGGGCCCGTGTGAGCTTCTCTATCGCCTGGGGGTACTCGTGCTGCATGCGATGGACGTCGCCCAAGCTTTCCAGGCAATTCGCTACGCCCAGTCGGGATCCGATCTCGGAGTACACGTCGTGGGCCCGTGTGAGCTTCTCTATCGCCTGGGGATACTCGCCCTGCATGCGATGGATGTTGCCCAAGCTTTTCAGGCAACCCGCCACGCCCAATCGGTCTCCGATCTCGGAGTACACGTCGTGGGCCCGTGTGAGCTTCTCTATCGCCTGGGGGTACTCGTTCTGCATGCGATGGACGTCGCCCAAGCTTTTCAGGCAACCCGCTACGCCCGTTCGGTGTCCGATCTCGGAGTACACGTCGTGGGCCCGTGTGAGCTTCTCTATCGCCTGGGGGTACTCGTTCTGCATGCGATGGACGTCGCCCAAGCTTTCCAGGCAACCCGCCACGCCCTGTCGGTCTCCGATCTCGAAGTACACGTCGTGGGCCCGTGTGAGCTTCTCTATCGCCTGGGGGTACTCGGCCTGCATGTGATGGATGTTGCCCAAGCTTTTCAGGCAACCCGCCACGCCCAGTCGGGATCCGATCTCGGAGTACACGTCGAGGGCCCGGGTGAGCTTCTCTATCGCCTGGGGGTACTCGGCCTGCATGCAATGGATGTTGCACAAGCTTTTCAGGCAACCCGCCACGCCCAGTCGGTCTCCGATCTCGGAGGACACGTCGTGGGCCCGGGTGAGCTTCTCTATCGCCTGTGGGTACTCGTCCTGCATGTAATGGATGTCGCCCAAGCTTGAGAGGCAATTCGCCACGCCCAATCGGTCTCCGATCTCGGAGTACACGTCGTGGGCCCGGGTGAGCTTCTCTATCGCCTGGGGATACTCGTCCTGCATGCGATGGACGTCGCCCAAGCTTTTCAGGCAACCCGCTACGCCCGTTCGGTGTCCGATCTCGGAGTACACGTCGTGGGCCCGTGTGAGCTTCTCTATCGCCTGGGGATACTCGTCCTGCATGCGATGGACGTCGCCCAAGCTTTCCAGGCTACCCGCCACGCCCGTTCGGTGTCCGATCTCGGAGTACACGTCGTGGGCCCGGGTGAGCTTCTCTATCGCCTGGGGGTACGCGTTCCACATCATTTGAATATCGCCCATTCGACGCAACGCATCTGCTAGCTGTTGCCTGTTGTCGGAACGACTGCACTCTTCACAAGCATTCTCAAGGTCCTCCATTGCTAATTGGTAGTAGTCCGTTCTGTACAAGAGCTCCCCCCTGGCGGTCAGACCTTCAGCGCGAGCTATACCTATCGCGTAAAGATCCCAGTTATCAAGTAATTGAGAGATAAGTTCAGTCGAGGGTCGCAGGTGGCGCTGGAAGCGGGTGAACAAGAATGCTGCTTGCGCGACACCCGGCATCGTGTCTATTAGACGGTCGAGCTCCCAATTGAACAGGGAGATAATATTACCCGTTTCCGGGAGTAGGGTTTTGTACGCTGACTGGAAGTCGGCATCTCCGAGTTTCTTACCAGCATGCTTTTCGACCAGCTGAACGTAATATCGCAGCAGTGCTTCGCGTTGGCACGGGGGAAGAAGAGGTTGCGGCGAAGTGGCGACATCGTGCTTATTGACGTGCTCGCGGATGGGAGCAAGCACCTTGATGCCCTGGTCCTCAGCCTTGAAGGCAAGACCAGATCCGAGGACGGTCGCCAAAGCCACGTCGACGTCGTCGAAGCCCAGGTCCATCTTCTCGAGCTGCTCGGCTCCACCAAGGACACCGTCGGGCAGGCGACATATCACGGCGAGCAACGGGATCGCTTCCTTAACGAGGCGCATCGGTGCGGACTGCAGCGACATTGATATCGAGACACGCAAACTAGTCTCGCGCGATGGAGATATGTGGTCCGTCTGTAATAGCGTAGTTTTGCGTTTTTCCCATCGCTGCAATAGGTGACTGCAGGTCGACGATGGCTTGAGCTGGGCGAGGAGTTTGATCGCGAGAGGAAGACCATCGCATTTCTGAAGGAGCAGATCGAGGTCTCGATATTCATTCTGCGGCGTGTCTGGTTTCATGGAAAGGAAGAACTCGCGAGCTGGTATGTGACCTAAAGGGTCGAGGCGCATAGAAGACCACTGGACATCCATGTCGGCGGGTGGAGCGTCTCCGCGCATAGTTACGATGAGCTGGACATTGGATATCCCAGCTAATGTCCTGAGTATGTTGGTGAGCTTTTGCCTGATGTTAGGAGTGTCCGAGTCCCAAGGACTCTCGAAGTTATCGAGAACAAGCACGACGGGACGGCTCGCTGCCCTCAATTTCGTTTTGAGGTGCTCCATGGGATCCCCGTTCACCGACGAGCTACGGTCCACGGCCCGGATAACAGTGGCGACGAGGGATGCATCAGTGACGACTGTGTCGCAAGGGATGAAGTAGCAGTCGTTCTGGCCCTTGACAGCCGAATCGTCAATGACGCGAAGCGCCACGGAGGTCTTGCCGATCCCTCCTGTGCCTAAGATAGCTATATGGTGCTGTTCCGCGGCGCAGACTCTGCCGACTACATCCTTCACGATGACATCTCGTCCATACAAGCGGGGAGGGGCAGGAACGAATTGGAGACTGGTACGATGCCGTCAGTCTATTTCATCACACAAGACTAAACTGGTCGACGAACCTTTCGTCCGCAGAGACACCGGCCTTCGCACCACTCGAAGTACCCTCTACCAGTGGGGCCAAGTGCTTCTGCACGACGGAGTCGATCCGAATCACTTCCGTGTATATCTCCGTCAAGACGGAACGGATATCCTTCACGTCAGAGTGAACTTTCTTCACGCCCAAGCCTATGTCCGTCGCTTTGGAGCAAACATCGTCCAATCGAGAGTACATGACGCCAACCGCAGCGTTCAATGTCATCAACCCTAAGCGGACCTGGCTGGTGACGACAGCCTGGGAGCAAAAAGAATGTTGTCAGGATCGCGAACAATCTGCCAGCGTTCGATCGCACCGTGAATTCTTGGAGGCATCTATCGATCTTGGTGTTATAGCCCGAAATCGTATCCGCTATATACTCCCTCCTTCGGAGAGCCCGGAACCAAGCTCTAAGTGAGAATCGCCTCGACAGTTTGAGCGGTTCTAGGCCTTTCTTTATCTTCGTCAATGTACTAAAGGAGACAAGTCAGCACGATGCGATATCTTGTTCTGCGGCTGCGGGACGTACTCGTGGACCGAATCTAGACACTTCTTCAGGTCTGCAGGCACGTCCTCGTCCCGTTTACCGTCGAGGATCCCGAGCATGGTGCCGGTGAGCTTGAATACACGGCCGGCCAACTCTTCGCAGTCCTCTCGGTTTTTGCGGACTTTCTATAAAACAGCGTGTCAATATGAAACGGCCGAAGGAAGAGTGCACGACTTACCTGCACCATCTTGATGAGCTCCCTTGCGACCTTGACGGATCCTTTCAGAGGTTCGCAGATGAAGACGCCCTCCGTGAGAGCCTCGAAGATGGATAAGACCGTCTCGCCATTCGCCAGGGCGCGATCCAGTCGCTTCTGGTAATTTGCGACTTCGGGCTCCTCGGAAGGATTCACCGCGGGCTGAGGAGGGGAAGCCATGACAAGAGCGAGCGTTGGGGTCTCAGAATTGACGACGCTCGGGCATATATCCGTGTACAGCCTAGTAGCAGACACAGCACGTTTTGCGCGTGGGCAGTCATTTCGGGACGAGGCGATGCGAGAGGCCGTAAGTGGCAAGTATTCTTGTGCCGATTCTGGGCGAGGGATGGCAATAGTGCGCTGTTTCCCTCGGAATAGAGCATGAACAGCGTGCCGGCGCTTGGCCGGAACATGAGATCTAGGGTGCATTAGCATCGTGCGTTCTCATTTCGCTCGGTGGAGCACTTGCACAGTTCATCCTGTGCGTCGCAGAGCTTGAGGATGATGCGCATCATCGACAGCAGCGCGAGTAGCGTCCATGCAGGTAGGTTTCAACCTCCGACAAGCCGAAGTTCGCGGATGTGTTTCTGTATTCGTCGCCTCCCAGTGAGTGCCCACCTCGGCGACCCGATGTTCTCTGGATAGTCATGGCTGTGGCATACGCGCACAAGAACAATGGAATGATAGGCGCTTTCGAGTCGGACGGTCTCTTCTTCAGGCTTGTTCTGTCTTACCCCGCCCCTCGATCCGGTCGTTCCTGCACCTGGTGTTATCCTCACGGGAACGTTCGGCGTCCGCATCAGACCGCACGGGAGGAAGTGACGGGCACGGCGTGGTGTGAAGTTGCGAGGGGCAATCACGTCGTCGAGGGGCGGAGAGCTTCCATGGGCACGATCCGCGTCTGGCCCACGGTGGGGGGGGGGGGGGGGACGGTGCGTGGACAAGGAGGCGAGTCAAACATACGTTCGATGTACGGTGTTGTCGATGCTTACCATGTCTTTGCGTGTAGATCACAGGCGCGAGGGCCATGTAGTCGCGGCTACCTTCAATCGCGTCGAGCCTAGTCTTCGTTGCATCCACCTCTCGGCAATGAGCTGACAGGGATACTTTTTTCTGGCAAACTCATGACGTGTGCTACCGGTGCTGTGACCAACTTTCTCTAACGTGCTTACCAGGGATTTAACGCGTCTACCACGTCGCACGGGAGGATGTGGAGACAAAGTCCCCAGGTTATACACGATTAGAGGCTATCGCGTCGCCGAATTTTGGAGTGTTTCTACGAGTTCAATCATGTCTGCGTATTGGATGCCGCCGAAGACCATTGCTTAAGCGGCCGTGGGCCTCATCACGCAGGTGAGTCGCGGGTGTCGTTCGATGATATGGGCCACCGAGCACGCCTATTCACCTCCGAACTCGCCTGTCCAAACCCACGTTCCAGCCCATATCAGATCTACGCTCTGTATCACGAGCGGCTCCGGATGTCATGAGCAGGAACGTCGACGCTAGTTCTGGCCGAGCGGTAGCTTCAAGGAACGCAGACGACACCGACAACTCGTGCCCGCCTCCGCTGGGCTGCCCAACGCACCAAGGATGTTCGGAGTCCCGACGCTACGCCCTTGTCGTGGACAACCTTCGAGGACAGACGTGCCCCATCCTGCACTGGAGTTCTCACTCCGCTACGCATTCCTGTTCCTAAGGACTGGACATGTGCGTATATATGCCAAATATCGATGCATGTCTGCGATTCCGGGAAGGGATGCTGCACTGCCCGCGATACACAACGTGCTTCGACCTGAAGCCGCGTGTAAGATAGTTTCCGAGAATTCCATTTGCATTTATTGCATGTTCGACCTCGAGGCGCGTCCGGGGTAAGGTTTGCCTCGTCTTTCGAGCAAAACGATCGATTCTCCTGCGACGACATTGGTCTATCTATATACATACGATGCCTTGTGCCGTCGGTTCTCCCGACACAGTGGCGGCAGACGGCGAGGTCCAGCCACGTTCTCGTGCATAACGCCGAGCCTCTCCAAGACAACGTCCGACTCGATTTTGCTCGTGTTCGGGGTGTAGAGGTCGCATACTTGGATCGATAGCGTGCGGTCGTCGCGTGGAACCATCTGCAGAGTCCAGACGAGCAGACGAGCTCGTCAGCGCCGAAGTCGCGTCGGTACCGCTGCCGCTGCCGCTGCTCGTAGGCCACCAGATAACCCCCAGAATCGCGTCGGCCAAAGCGAAGCCGCGCCGCGATTCGTGGTACGATCCGTTACGATCTTCGATGTTGCCATCCCACCTTGCCCACTTCCTACGGGCTGATCGACGAGAGGCGTCGCCGCATCGTTGAGCGTGGTGTCCTCCGTATCGTGGCATCGATCACGGGAACGTTTGTCCAACGGGAAGGCGGTGTGCGCAAACCCGGGTACTCGGTGCAGCCCAGCACGAAGAAAAACAGCATGCATGCTGTCTTGTCCAAGTCCGAGTGTGAGGCGTACGGCGCCCGGGGGAAGCTTTCGTAGCCCGTGCCTCTCCTTGGGACGTCCTCGCAACAGTGACTGGAAATGGCTGCCTGGGATCGCCTCATATCGCTCCGCTGCCCGGTCCGGGTCACGGGTCAAGGGTTGGACGCAAGTTTTACTGTCTGAGAGGGCAGGGGGCATGATAAGCTGGAAGATAGGAGGGTGGGAAGCGTGATGCACCGGGTCTATGCAGGCTCGCTTGGAGAGGAGAGGTTGATGCGTCGTCATGTCAAACGGAGTGGAAGCAAACAGGAGGCCCTGGAAAGAGAGACCGATGGGCAGGTGGCGGCCAAGGTGCTTGCGGCTTTGAAGCGGTATCGTTCATGATGAATGACAGACTGGGTCGAAGGGTCAATGGGTCTCATCCCGTATAGATAGCCTATGAATGGTAATTTACTAGAACAACAAGACCGGAAGGCGTTCCCGAGACGAACGCTGGAGACGGCGGTAGACGAGAATAGTGCACGAGCAGCGACGCGGATGACGGCCAGATCGTCCATCTGACGCGATCCATGTGAGTTATTGGGCCCGCGTCCGCCTGAGGGACCTGATGTACTTCTGAAGCCGGTATCTTGCGTCTACGGAAGCTCCGCCATCCATGCATTTGGCGCTAATACTTATATGTCCCGGGGAGGATGGGAAAGGTACGGCGCGGTCTCGAAGAGGGCATCTGGTTGACGAGCATAGAGGACCCCGCGAGCGATGAGAAAGGGGAGTTCCGTGGAATGCGGGTGTGGATCTGAACAGCACCAAGCGCGGAGGTGGACTCAAACGGCGAACGCGACAGTCCAGGCAAAAGAACAGCGCTCTGCCAAAACCTTTCGACTGAGATAGCGCCACCCGTGTTACCATATTTGGACAGCCAATCGCCTTTGCGGCCTGCGGGCCTGGGGCTTGCGGGCTTCTTGCGACGGGTCGATGACAATGCGAGGCAGAAGAACCCCAGCCGAATCGATGCTCGACCAACGTCTATATAGCGCCCGCTCTCTTATGCTCGCGTTGCTAGCCGACACGCCGTGCCCATTGTCATCGTCGTTCGCAACCTCGGATAATGAGCTGAAGAGGATCGCGACGGCACTCGAAGCTTTGCCGTGAACGGTCCAACCGGGCGCTGCTAAGCAGTCGCGAGACGGAGGATCATCGAGGCGCGGATATCATAGCACCTCGCCGCCGCGACGCGGGCAGAATGTGGTCAAAGCTACGCTCGTCGTTAAACGTCGTGGATCCAGATGACGACGGCCCCATCTGCGTCCAGTTTCGTGCTATCCAGTGGCGGGTAAGCCATAAACGTTTAAACCCTCAACAACTCCTTCTGGATGATCCGGGCGATCGTCCATCTTCCATAGGGGCATCCGTTCAAAATTAAATAGCACCCATATGCCCGTCCACAAGCTCATGCGAGATTGCTCACGACACGACGCGAACACGCCGCCATACGCGTTCGCCGGTGGTCACAACAGATCGCCAACTCTGCGCCGCCGCCGTCGCCTCGAAACCTGCAAGTCCATGTCGATCTGTTGCGAGAGCGCCGCCGTTTCCCAAGCCAGCCCGGGGCACCCACTCACGAAGCTCTGCCAAGTTGCGGATGAGATCGTTGCAAGTTCGGCATACACAGGGAAGTAAGCTACGACGCATACGGCGAGTAATACAATCCACGACGACAATGTCAAGGCATCTAGTAATGTGGTACACGATTTCTACCCGGTTCCGCAAGTCAGAGAAAACTTGGTTACATGATTGGACAGGACTTCGTAGAAACCACCCGGAACATCTGCACGGCGCTCAAAGCGCATAGCGCGAGTGCTCTAAGCAACCGCAGAGTAACGGGGAACATCGACTTGGTAGCAGCGCACGGGTAGAAAATGTCGATGACAGAAGTGTCGTACATTCTTCTAAGTCGTCGTCGCGTCGCGCGCGTGGGAGGCTATCACGGGCCCTTCGCCACCTTCATCCTGCGAGATCTAGACGCGGGTCAGAGGCGGAGGGATATCGCAAGCGAACGCAATCTCACCGTGAGCTCGTGAATCTCACGAAGGAGACCTGAGCAATAATCCGCGTTGCCCTCTTGTCCGATCTCCGTGAGCATTGCCTGAGCGGTCGTGATATGCTCAACAGCCTCGGCATAACGACGCTGATCGCGATCGAGTAAGCCCATGTACATGTAACAGCAAGCGATCCTATAGCGATGCCCGATGCTTGAAGCATGGTGAAGAGCGCGTCCTAGCTTCTCCGCGGCTTGATCATACCGCTCTTGGACACGATCAATATCTGCTAAGCTCTGCAGAGAGCCTGTAACACCGAGTCGGTCTCCGAGCTCGGAGTACACGTCGTGGGCCCGGGTGAGCTTCTCTATCGCCTGGGGGTACTCGGCCTGCATGTAATGGATGTCGCCCAAGCTTTGCAGGCAATTTGCCACGCCCCTTCGGGATCCGATCTCGGAGTACACTTCGCGGGCCCGGGTGAGCTTCTCTATCGCCTGGGGATACTCGCCCTGCATGCGATGGATCTCACCCAAGCTTTGCAGGCAATTTGCCACGCCCAGCCGGTCTCCGATCTCGGAGTACACGTCGTGGGCCCGGGTGACCTTCTCTATCGCCTGGGGGTACTCGCCCTGCATGCGATGGATGTCGCCCAAGCTTTCCAAGCAACCCGCCACGCCCTGTCGGTCTCCGATCTCGGAGTACACGTCGAGGGCCCGGGTGACCTTCTCTATCGCCTGGGGGTACTCGTCCTGCATGCGATGGACGTCGCCCAAGCTTTTCAGGCAACCCGCCACGCCCTGTCGGTCTCCGATCTCGGAGGACACGTCGTGGGCCCGGGTGAGCTTCTCTATCGCCTGGGGGTACTCGTTCTGCATGTAATGGACGTCGCCCAAGCTTGAGAGGCAGCCCGCCACGCCCAGTCGGTCTCCGATCTCGGAGTACACGTCGTGGGCCCGGGCGAGTTTCTCTATCGCCTTGGGGTACTCGCTCTGCACGCGATGGACCTCGCCCAAGATCTGCAGGCAATTCGCCACGCCCAGTCGGTGTCCGATCTCGGTGTTCACGTCGTGGGCCCGGGTGAGCTTCTCTATCGCCTGTGGGTACTCGTCCTGCATGCGATGGACGTCGCCCAAGCTTTTCAGGCAATTCGCCACGCCCAATCGGTGTCCGATCTCGGAGTACACGTCGTGGGCCCGAGTAAGCTTCTCTATCGCCTGGGGGTACTCGTTCTGCATGCGATGGATCTCGCCCAAGCTTTTCAGGCAATTCGCCACGCCCTGTCGGTGTCCGATCTCAGTGTTCACGTCATGGGCCCGGGTGAGCTTTTCTATCGCCTGGGGGTACTCGTTCTGCATGAGGTGGATGTCGCCGAACATCTCCAGGCAAAGCGCTGTTGTTGCTCGATCCCTGGCTCTGCTTGTTTCAACAAGCGCAGCAGTCAAATCATCCTTCGCTGCTGCGTATTCATGCATATTCATCAAGAGTCTCGCCCTGGACATGAGTCCCTGCGCAAGGGGAACCCTCCACCCGTTTCTCCTGATCACAATTCGCTTTACTCGAGAAACTTTCATTCTATATTGTGGCCGTTGATTGAGTAGTTCGTCGATGAGCTCGGTCGAATGCCGTGTGTAGCATTGAAACCGGGAGAACATGTACGCGGCCTGAGCAACACCATGTGTGCATCTTCGAGCCTGCCGGAGCTCTTGCGTGAACAAGTAGATGATATTGCCTGTTTCCGGAACCAAAGCCTCGTACGCCTGCTTGAAATCGCCATAGCCAGGTGAAACCGACCCATATTTGTCTAAGAGGTTGACGTAATATTGCATGAGTGAGTCATATTTTGGCTGCGGCAGGTCGTGATGGGCCATGACGTGCTGACGGATCGGAGAAAGCACCTTGATGAAACCCCCAGGGGCGACGTATGCAAGCGCACTGCGTAGAAGCGCCGCGAGCGCCTCGTGGACCTCGAGGCCGAGGTTCATCTTGACCAGTTGATCGGAACCTCCGACGACGCCATCGGGCAAGCGACAGATGACCGCCAGCAGCGTGAGGGCATCTGGAGCCGCTTTCATCATCTCCGAGTTCAGCGACAGCTTGATCGAGACGTCTAGACTGGTTAATCGCGTCGGAGATCGCGTTTCCGTGGTGAGCAGTGCGGTAGATTGCGATTCCCATCGTCGTAGCAAGAAGGAACAAGGAAGTATCCCCTTCTGCTTCGCGAGGAGATCGATGGCAAGCGGTAAACCGTCAACCTTCTCAAGCAATGCGTCCATGTCTGTATATTCGGCGGGTTTGGTGTCCGGACACATGGTTAGAAAGAGCGCTTTCGCTGATTCCGCATCCAAAGGACCAAGTTGAACAGGGGTCCACTGAACGCCTCCGTTGGCCGGTGGATGGTTCCCTCGCATCGTCAAGACGATTTGGACCCCGGGAAGGGACGAGAGGGAGCTGAGGACCTTCGTCAGCGAGTCGTGGGTTCCTCCAGCGTCCCACGGGCTTTCAAAGTTATCCAGGACGAGGACGACCGGGCCCACGGCCTTGATGCACCCGATCAGCCTTTCCATGGTGTCGCCCTCACCTGAGCTACCGCCCAGAACCTGGAGAATGGCAAGGACGAGAGCCGAGGCCGAAAGCAGGGTATCACACGGCACGAAACAACAGCGGTTCCGAGGTTTGATGTCCGGATGCTCGAGGATCGAGAGCGCAACGGACGTCTTGCCGATTCCGCCGGTACCGAGGAGAGCTACGTGATGTTGCGTTTCGCTCGCGAGCTTCTGGACCACGTCATCGACGATATCGTCTCGTCCGTAGAAGTACTTTGGCGGACGAGGCACGACGGATGATATCTGTAGTCTATAGGCTAATATGAGAAAGGCGTCTTCTACACATGCGCAAAACATCGAACCTGGGTAGGGCGGAAGTGGACGGCTGGGAATGAGGGCGTCGTTAGCATGCGAAGGCACGATCGATAGGACACCGACCACGGGGGCATGCATTTCCATCCTGATATCAGCGACGATGGCAAGCTGAGGATCGACCAACAGCGACGTCAGTTTTTGTCGTCAGCCGAAGAGCAAACGGCGCACGTTGAATCGTTGGAGGCAGCCGGTGATCTTCTTCCTATGCCCAGATAGCTGATCCGCCACATATTCGCGCCTGAGAAGCGCCCTTCGCCACGCCTTGAAGGAGAAGTCTTTTTTGAGTATCAGCGGCTCGAGGTCGGATTTGATTTTGAGCAGCGTGCTATGCAAAGTCGTCACGACGTGTCGTGTCATCGAGCAGAAGGAAACGCACTTGTACACGTCATCGACGAGGTAGGTCTTCAACCGCGCGGGTATCTCGTCGTCTTGCCTTCCTTTCAGAAGTTCAAGGATTACTTCCATCAGCATGAAGACGTCGTCCGCCAAGTCCTTGCACTCCTCTTGGTTCTTGCGGACCTTCTGAGGGACGAATATCGGACTCAGTGGACAAATATCTTCAGAGATTCCGCAACGCACCTCCACCATTTCGAGCAGCTCCTTCGCCAGCTTGACCGCACCTTTGAGTGGCTCGCATATGAATATGCCCTCGGTTATAGCTTCGAGTAGAGACAGGGCGGTCTTGCCCTGTCGGATAGCCTGGTCGACGTGAGGATTGGCCTCCCATTCGTCATCAGGCTGTCTGCGCCGGGTCGTCCGTCTTGATGGGCTGACCATTGGAGCTGGTGTCTTGAGATGTACGGGAGGAGAAGATGGAACGAGAGGAACGAGGCGAAGGCAGAGTACTTGAGCAAACCGAAGACACGTGTATAGCACGCACAAGCGCCTACATGGGTCCAGTTTCGGTCTCAAGAACTATGCAATGCTGTTCAGCGCTCAACGCTTCGGGAAACCTGCACAGGTTAACGGGCGGTCCAGAACGTCAGGCTCTGCTGTCAAGCAATGCATTCGATATTGAGGCGGGGCGAAGTGCAGTTCGGAATTAAGCAGAATAGTCCATAATTCCATTGATCAATGGTGTCGAGCGGATTTCGGGTCGATGCAGCTCGAAGTATGTAACCAATATGTAACCCCAATGAACTTTGGCCACTCGCTCGTGGCGGCTGTGCAGCTTGTCCTAATTTGGCCGAAATCGCACAGCCCTTCATTGAATCACTCGCTCAGGATGCCCGAGGAACCTTCGTCGATTCTTCTTCTCGTCCACGTATTCCAGAATGTCTGATTCTGCGCCCTGTTTAACAATGTCGCGTTGTCAATGTAGCTTGGTCAGATTCTTGCAGGATAGCCGAGAACCTTTCCACTGACATTGTCGCACTGCGGGTCGGTCACATTGTCAATGTCACACGGTCCTGACATTGTCAACAACAACGCACGGCGACCGTGCCCTCTCGCCGTTGGTATATAGCATGTCCTACGAGATCGTGTCCCCCAGCTTCTTGCACACAACGCCCTTACAATGCTGTCCTTTTTTCTCTACGGGCGACAGCACCTCGGCCCACGCTATGCTACTCCACCAGCCCAACGCTAACTTCCGCTCTCGTCTTTTGAACTCTTCATCCGCCTGACGATTAACTCAAGCCTCGTTTACTTTGGTCGCATTCTACGTCTTGATCAAACGCACTTTGCGTCTCCGGCCGGACTTCGTACCATAAACGTGATCTGGAGTTGGGCAATGGTATGTATCAGCATCTGTTGGCTTGTTCGCTTGCTCTGACATCTACTCAGTGCCGGAGGCCCGTAATAATGTGACCTTAGGGAGCGAGGATGCATTGCCCTCATTTTTAGTACATCACAGTTCATAATTGGAGCTTGCTGGCAACATTTCGACACGTGTTGTGATATTTACGCAGCGCCGACGACATTCGAACGCGCCTACTATGCCTTCCAGCAGCGCATCCAGCGCACGCTGCACAACCCCTTCCCGTCCGAGTTTTACTTCAAGCAGGGCTCGCCGCTCGAGGCCAAGGTCAACACGGAGGAGCGCGAACGCGAGGAGCGGGCGTACATGTGCCGGGGACTCAGGGACTTCATGGTGTGTACGTGGTACGCACGGTGCCTTGCCGGATGTACCGTTCGAAGCTGACAAGAATCAGAGTGTCCATAACAGACAACACTCGCATTTACGGACTTGAACACGGTGCGCGCACTTCCGGCCGCTTCTCGGAAAACTAGCCTACCCGACCCACTGCAAGTAGCGAGCTCGTCTTGAACCTGTTCCTCCTACGTTCGCGGAAGGATTACCATCTCGACCAGCAGTCCCAGCTCGTCGTTGATACTAGTGATGTACGTCAGATGTCTGATCACGCACCTTGTCCCACAATATCACATTGTCAGTGTTGCTTCGTCGGATTCTTGCACAATAGCTTCCAACGTTCCCACTGACATGATCGGATTGCGGGCTGGTTACATCACGGTGTCCTGCATTCTCAACAACAACACGTGGCGACCGCGCCCTTTCGTCCCTGTTATATACCTCGTGCTACGAATTAGTAACCCCTGAGCTGTTTCTCTACCCCCCGTGCTCAGCCGTACTTCTACGCTGAATTGCACTGTGTGCACAACAGCATATTGGCTTGCAATATGCTACTTAGCCAGTTCACAACACTGATCGCCACCGATCCACTATTGATGGGCACACTCTCACTCTCGTCTCTCGTGCTCTTCATCCGCCTAACGACCCATCTCAAGTCGCGCCTACTTTGGTCATGTTCAGCATCTTGGTCAGGAGCACCTTTGCACCTTCCGCCGGAGATCGTGCAGTTCTTATGCCGGGCTCTGCATGCCAGCGAAGCTTTGGTTGTACGGTGCTGGTCCGTACTCCGCGATCAGATATGGGAAAGTGCGGATGCCTGTGGCTCTCACAGCGATGAGCTGTTGCCTATCGCGGGCGACCTTCTTGATATATTCCTTCGCCACGGCGTGGATTTGGGGATCAGTATGTACCTCGTGATCTATCAGCTCTTCTGCTCCATTCAAGTTCCATGAACATATGCCTTAGGCGCATACGAATTCTATCCGAGGGAGCGAGGATGCCTGGACCCTCGCTGTCAAGTACGTTGTAGGGTACAAATGGAGCTTGCTCGCGAGATTCCGATGCGTGTTGTGGTCTTTACGCGGGAATGGGGTGCCCTGCCGGCCTGGTCACACTCTGCAAGGTGTCCTCGTGAGTAGCGTCAGGCAGCACTGTGTTCGTGACCTTTCTAACATGATCGGTAAAGGCTGCCTTACACGATATTATCCGACATATTATGTTGTTGACCGAAAAGTGCGCGTCTACCACCGAGGAGTTCCGCCTTTCATCCATGTGGCCACGCATGTCTACATCGAACAATCAGTGTGTCGGAGGTTCAGGGACTCTATGGTCTGTGCATGGTATGTAAAAAACATTGTGGAATTGACCGCTCAAAGCTGATCGGGAATCAGGGTGTCCGCAACGAACAACGCTCGCATTTACAAACTCGAACATGGTGCACGCACTTCTGGCTGCTTTCCAGACGACTGGCCTGTCCGGCCCTCCATGACGAGCGAGCTGGTCTGGGATTCCTTCTTTCTGTGTTCGCTAAAGGACCACCATTTCGAGCATCAGTCTCAGCTCATTGTAGATAATGATGTGTCTCAGGCTGATCGCCTGAACACTGCACTACGTGTGCGCAACTTGATGATGATGGGTATTGGGCAGGAAGAATGGAACCATGTCTGTAAACTCTGCATGGATTTCAAGGAGCCAAACCGTACGCCTTTGTTTTTATGTCCTTGTGATTTCCCCACAAGAATAACTTCTCAGATATCATGCGAGCGGTTGTCATCGATGGCGTTCAGATAGGACACCCGTGCTGCAGTGTCCATGACTGTAAGCAGCCTCTGGTCACTCAGCGTGCTCGATTCTGCCTAGTACATGACTCGCAAAGCAAGATATGCGCAGTTGTGGGCTGCACGGCGTCGTGCGAGGAACCTTTCAAGACTTGTGCAATCTCACAGCATCGTGCCCTGGAGAGTGCAGGAGATGAGCGACGCAGTGCCATGTTTCAGCTACGGAAGCGCTTGCAGGCCATCGGGTCTGTTTCTACAGATGATCTGTTATCCCGCGCCGATGTTATCATGGACATTCAACCTGACGGCGGCGCTCAGGACTGTTCTGAGAAAGATGAAGCTGGAAATACCATCCCAAAAGCAAGGTTTGGTCGTCGTCGGACACACAACGAGCAACTCTGTGTTGCTACATGCGGTGTTATCCTCTCGCGGGCAACATTCTTTGGCTCTGAAGGAATCGATGGTGTTCGGGTAAGCCCTATCTGCGTCAGACACGGATGCCGCAGATAACTAACATACATACATCAAGCAATTCCTACATGCGACGTTCCCTACCGAGCGTTCGGTACCTCAAGTGATATTCTACGATACCGCCTGTCTGCTGAAGAAGCGTCTTATGACGGCCCAAGACCATCATTTTGACCGGTGTGCCCTCCCTGTCGACGTATTTCACATGAAGTCCAAGCACAAGGAGTCGGATGAGTTCTGTGGCCGCTATTGCAATGCGGCGCAATTTCCGGATCTTATAGTAGGAACAAAGTGGAGATTCAACTCATCTGCAGCAGAGATGACGAATGCATGGTTTGACGGATTTGCTGCTATGGTAAGGGAGATGCGAGATGACCGCTACGATTTTTTCTTGGATGAGATGATAAAACACCACAACCGGTTAGTAGTGCATGAGCTAGTGGGTCGAAACGCCAATCCTCATCATATAGACCGGCAAGTATTGTTATCCTAGTATATGACTATCATAACTATGTACTAGAATAGCGATCATCAAATGCGATATATGCTCTCGCACAGTGTGCGGACCCGCGTCACGGTACATCACACATTACTTGTGCATGCATTGATATCTTGATATCAATGCTGAAGGTGTTGCATACAACAGGTAAGTGGTACGTGCAAGCGGACTCAAAGGTAACAGAATCACACCCGTCTGTGATGCACATCCGCCAACACCGCAGGCATTACATCCCATACTGCAGGTGTTCCATGGCTGTGGTATGCTTGCGCCGTAGGCGGTCAAACCGCCCACAGTGCAACGTGCACGTATGGCAACATGGGGTACACACGGCGAAGAGATACCGGCAAATGCACACAGTTCTGTCTAAGTCAAGTGAATATAATTGAAATATAATTGGACATGTCCGGAGTCAGTAGGTGCGGGTGCGAGACGGAGGCAACCTTGGGCTTTCAGGGAATCCACCGTCCACCCTCGGGCACGTCTGCGTGAAAAAAGGGGAGAGGATACCGTTGGGTGTGCAGTCGGTACTGTATTTATATGCTCACTGGACGTGTCAATGCGACGCGTCCACAACGCGGTCATTATGCACATGTGACCCCGTTTGGGTGCAGCCGCGCATGCCGACACACTCAAATCCATGCACGCCAACTCGCTCAACGCCGTGCAAGCCCAACACGCTCATGGCGACGCGCTCAACCCCGCACACGTGGATGCGCCCAACCTCGCGCACGCCGTAACCTCAGTAATGTCCAAGGTCAAACCCTCGCTTTCCAACATAACCCCCGGCCCTCACCATCCAATGCACCCCGGGCCAGTGCCATCCAACGTGTCCCGGGCATCCAACGCGCCATGGGCCGTCGTCATTCAACGTGCCCCGGGCCATCGCCATCCAACGCGCGCTGGGCCCTCATCATCCGACGTGCCCCGGCGATTGCGCATGGCACAGATGTACGGCAATAGGCACGGCATAGACGTACGGCGATGGCGCATTGCGTAGGCCCCCAGGAGTAGGCTATACAGAGGTATGATGCTCGGGGCATGGGCACGTCCTCGCAGCCTCTACCAGCTTATTGATCTAGTCGACAGCGTTCCCACTCCTCCTTCGCGGTCACAAAAAGGACCCCTTTAGCGGTTCCCTCCAGGTCCCCGACCCGGAGCAGATCCGCCCACCTTCCACTGAGTCAAGATGTGCTCACAACACATCACCCGCATGCCCAGTCCGATCGCCCTCATCGCCGCCCTCAAGCCCCACACAGTCCTCATAGAGTCTGGTTTTGTCACCCTTATCAAGTCCACCCCCACCGTCGTCGCCAATGCTACCATCTGAATAATCCGACTACTCCGCCCGCGTATACTCTAGTCTCTACTACTTCTCGCCTAGTCTCTCTATGCACCACCCCTCAAACGATATGCATGCCATCTCACAGTCACTCGCCCACTGCGGCCCGGGAGCCACTCGCTCCCGGGCGCGTTGGCAACCCTACGCAGCTCAGTTATCGTCTTCCGCTCGATCCACCCCTCACACTCACCCTCAACAATTCCTAAACACGCCTGCATCATGTGTAACAGTATCTCCCTCATCCCCAATTACAACGAAACCAATTTCCTCCCTCTGTGACCCACGAAATCCCACCCCTCAACAACCTCAACCGCGCGATGTCCACGCCCAACTCCGCGAAATCCACCGCGTGCGCCTCGTCAACGGACTAGTCGGTGAGTCGTTGAACCTTTTTGCCCTTTTTCAAACGGCGTGGGTGGCACTGCTCGCCAGGGTGCTTCTTCGCTCGACCCCCCATGCCTGCCTACATCATCGTTCATATTTTCATTCCTTTCGCACGTTCAAGCTTGCTAATTAGCCTTGTTGTCTGCTTCTTTCAGACCAAGCCGTCGAGTCCCTCGCGGACATATGGCCCAAAGACGATATACCCGCGGTATTCAAGACGTCTGGACACGCTCGCGCGGCTGACGCGCCATCGACACCAGCTGCTGCTGGTCCCTCCCTTCGACCTCGGAATCTGAACATGCAGCTGTCGTCCCCGATTTCGCCCCATACGCGGTCGCCGGCCTACCAGCTGCACGTCGCACCACCGAATCCCCCCTCCGCCTCCGCAACACCGACACCCGTCGGGACCGGCAGCTCCACCGCGCCCCTTGTCCCTCTCCGACAATTTGTCCTCTAGGTTCTCCGCCGCTCAAAGACCTCCGCGACTGTCCTCCAGACTGCATTGTGCTGCATCACCGCCGTGCGACCCAAGATTCCGGAACTCGTCGCACGCGAGAAGGCCGGCCTAGGCGACGCTGACGCGACGCCGATGGAGGGACGCATCACTGTCGAGATACTGACCGACAACGAGCAGATCAACGTGGACGATGTCAACAAGGCGCAGAAGACCGCAATCAGCGGCGACGGCAAGACCGAATGTTACGTTGTCCAGCTACAGATGTGCACACCGCGATCCGAAGGGTGCGATACCATCCGCATCGCGGACGACGAACGCCCCGCGGGTCCAGCACGTGCCGCCAGCTTCAGTGCCGAACCGTTCACCCTCGCCAAACCAAGCAACGTCGACGCGTTCTCGACCTCTTCGACGTCTGCGTCCCAGACGATGCTCCCGCCTCTCCCCCCGCTCCCGAGCACCCTCCTCTGCCCGCGCCGCACCTTCCTAGCCGCGCTCATCCTCGCCTCCAAATTCGCCCTGGACAGGACCTACTCGAACAAGGCATGGGCCCGCCTTGCCGGCCTTCCCCCCCGCGAGATTGGCAGATGCGAGCGCGCCCTTGGCAGCGCTCTCAAGTGGCGCTTATGGGTCGGTAAACTTCCGGGCGGCGTCAACGCGTCCGTGTTGGGCAAACGCGCGGTTGGCAGATGCCGCAGCGAGAGCAACTTGTTCGCGAGGGCGGGTAGGGATAACGCGGTGCCCTCCGTCACGGAGGCCATCGACTCTGTCGTGCTTGCACCCCCGAATCCCAATGTCTGCTCCTTGCCGAACATCGGACGATCTCTTGGACGTGCAGCTATCTTGCCCTCTCTGTCGCTGCCCTCTGTGCCTGAAGGCTGCGTTGCGAGGCTCAATCAGTCGAGTTGCTCGTCGACGTCAATGTATGCGCAGGCCTTTTGGCCAGCCGCTACATCCGCCGCGCCGCCGCCGTACTCCAACGGCCTCCCTTCAGCCACGTCGACCCCGATGGGCACCAGCAGCACGTCCAACGCATTCACTCCACCGCTGACACTGTCACCAATAAGTATGATCTCAAGTTCGGGGTAGAAATAAGGATTATGATAATTTGTTTCATAGATTAACTGTACATGTAGTGTGCCGAGTCATTAATGAGATGCCGATTCTAAGTATATTAGTGATTTGTGGGATCCGTATTTGGGTCCCAGTCAATAAACTCCTGTAACAGTGCCATAGGATCCATAGGATCAAAGTCTGTGCTAGATAGTAAGCTGAAGTTGTTATTTTCTCCGGAGGCGCCAAGATCAAAGCTGAAGTCGTCAAGTCCTGCAGGCGCATTACCAGGTATGATGGGAATAGGGGAAGATACATATAGTTCAATGGCTCCACCCAACTCTTGGACCATTAGCGGAGGCATAAGGTATGGCTGCAGTGAAGGATCTGCAGCCCTTGGTGTGCTGGGTGCAGGGGATGAGGAAGATTCGCCAAAGTCAGCCTCCCATGGAAGCGAGACTTGCGGTGATTCATCGTGATCACGACCGGCTTTCTTCAATTGCACCTGGTAGTCTGCAAACAATCGACTGGAGCTTCGAAAACCTGCCCACATGTGCTCGTCGCCTTGACGAAGTTGGCGCCGAACCCGCTGATACGAGGAGTGTCCTCTGCCACTCCATACATGACCTGGCCACTGTTTCTGCATAGCCTCTGCACGGTTTTGCTTCCCGACCCCTTTTACCCGCTCGGCGAAGGCTACATTACACATCCCATCCCAAATGGAATCAAATGTGTACCCTGAGGGAAAGAGAGGGATATCCTTGTGCATGTGCGAGCGTGACATAGACCTAGTATGTGCGTGATTTGACTGCCTTGGGGTATGGATCCGGTTCGGAGGCTGAGCGCGAGCTGCTACCGATGAGCCGGACACAACTGGAATCCGTGATAAGCAAGGAGCAGCTCCGACTAACGCATCGAGTTCGGAACAATCAGAAACGGGTGGGGATGACAGTGTATCCGTGACAGGGTCTGAGCTCCAGAAAGAATCTGGTCTGTGAGTCCGAGTTGAAGCCGGTTGTCAGGGCACGGCTCCCACACTCGCCTCATGTCTCATTGTTCTCTTTTTCTGCTTCCGCTTCTGTCCCATTTCGTTCATTTCCCCTAATACTTCCGTCTCCCTATTCGGTCGCGCTCTCCCACGCCCCCTAATACTTCCGTCTCCCTATTCGGTCGCGCTCTCCCACGCCCTCCTAGGCTTCCCGCGCCCTCCTTTTGGCATCTCCCCTATTTCGTTCCGTCGCTCGGCGCTCCTAGGGCCTCCGCACTCGCGCGGCCTTCCTAGGCCGGTCCACCGGTCACGTGTCGGGCACCCGAGGACCCTCCCCTTCTCTCATTGGACCATCTTTCGTTGCGTTGATGGATTACTCATCTACTATATAGTCGCCTGTCGCACCAGGGAGCAACCCAGACTTGTTCTCTCAGTTGCCTCCCTGCCTTGTGCAACAGGTATGTGTATTCCCCCTCGTATCTTCGTATATATACTCAGTTGCCTCCCTGCCTTGTGCGACAGCGTCTCCACCGCCGTCCCGGGGGATCCGCGCTTCTCCTAGGAGCTCCAGCGCGTACTCTGACACCGGTGACACGGAAAACGGAGAGAGAAGACCCGGCGATGAGTGCACGCGCTTATGGCGTTTGGGAGCAGGAACATCGCCACTCGATGGAGACAGTGGCCGCATTCTGCGAGCTGGACAAATGGAATCAACAGCATCGGCGAGACCTGAGTGTTGCATGTTAGACCCGGATGTATCTTAACCTACATGAATCAAACACACCCTCGTACGCAGCATAGTCCTCCTTTGATACGATTGCTGTGCGGATATCTCCAGGTACAATGCGTAACAAAGCAGTACGTGCACCATCCTCAAACTTGAAGATGGTGTCTGGATCCTGGGTAACCCAGCGATCAACAGACGGGTTATAATACTGAATGAACGTGACATCCTTCAATAAAGGCACAAGCATGGTGTGATTCTGAAACTTCAGCTTGGAATATGAAGGTATTACTAAATCAATCAAGGTAGATGCCTTATGCAGCTACGGAACCAACACATGATGTCAGGAAATCCAGTACAAGAAAGACTGAACAAACGCACCGCCGTCCATATGGCCAAATGTACAGCATATTTAGCATCTTCCTTTGCTTCCTCAGCGGTTTGCTTGTGCTGCTGCCACTCCGTCTGCCGCCGCGGCACGTTGTATCCCGGCATCTCGTGATAGAGGCGCATTGGTTGCGCATGGACAGCAGGTGCAGATGCGACAAGTGTCGCAGGATTCGTAGCGCAGTCGACGGTTGGCAGAGTGACTGCGTCACATGAGGTATCAGGGCCGAAAAGGGCATGAGTGCAATAGTTCATGTCGTACCTGTAACCAGAGCACCATTTGAACCCGGTGCCGCAGTCGTAGGTACGGGATCTGCACTCTGAGGGACTGTCCGTACGTTGCCTGGTGCTGGGTTATGCCGTGCAACCGGACACCTGACGCGCTGCGCGTTTTGTGCAGAAGCGAAGGTTGCGGTCTTGACGCAGCAGGACCGGCACAGGTTATATTTGCAAGCCTGATTACGGTCACTGTCCTGACACGTAGCACAAGGCTCGCCTCCGCGCCCTGTGATGAATGAGTATACAGCCATCAACTTGCAAGGTTGAGTTAACGTACGTCGATTGCCTGACATAAAAGAGAGTGATAATGCGAGTGATAATGCGAGTGATTGGGTGGCGTGAATGTATGTGGAGGAACTTCGATGGAACGGTGACACGTCCTTATATATTACATCGGCAAACGTGTATCTACAACGTGACGGAACATCTCTCCGTCACGAACATCGAGGATGTTCCTACAATCGACAATGTTCGGTTCAGGCACTGAACATTGTCGATCATGTGACTGACAATGACAACGCGACAATGTCAAATCGGTCGCAGAATCAGACGTTCCCACGTATTCGGGATATGTTCGGAACGGACTCTGCTCTTGTGACATATGCGCTACTCCTTGCAGTCTTCACTACACACCCTCCCTGCACAGGAGGCCATGTGCGCGCGCTCACGGAGAATGTCATGGGCCCTTGGCAATGTTCGTGCTTCGATGGACGACCACGGCTCCTCGAGACTTTGAAATGGTCGCCCTTGAAGCTTATGGATCCAACTTGGATTCAACATCGCCCACCAACGGCTTGTTCCTCCCGATTATTCCACAAATTTGGCTACCTACGAGTGCTCACGAGACGAAACGAATGAACAATGTGCAAGTCGTAGCCAACGCGCAGGTGTAGACAACGGCGTCGTCGAGGTTTAGACAAATCTTCGATTACGCATACATGTCGGATGTCCGTGACTATCGATACTTTGGCAGTCATAGGCGTCAAAATGGGGAGTCGCAGAGTCTGGTCGACGACTCGCATCTAACCGTTTCTTGCGTCGGGTCACCGCCGGGAGAGACAGAAACCTGACGCAAACTTTCAGTCCGACATCCATAAAATCCTTCTTGGAACCCTTCACCGTGCGCTCGCTTTCCGAGCCACGAATCGGGGTTGCCACTTCGCGGACTCTTACAAAGCTGGAGATGTATGTCCTCGAGATGATCGAGCGATGGCCGTTCGAGAAAAGGATCGAGGGTCTCGAGCGGGTGAAGGAAGCGCGCGAGAAAAATTACCCTGTGTTCGCAATCGCGCGTCGCAAATCGTTTGGGATGAAGAAGTAATTGACGGTGGAGGAGGCGAGCCTGCGCAAGCGAGGTGTCCATGAAGATTGACAACGTCCTCCTTGAATTAAAACCAAGCTAGAGTAGTGACATCGGGGAAAGGGCAGGGGTCATTTTCACGTCCTTGGTATCTCAGTAGCTCTCTGCATGCTCGTTTATCCCATGTCGAAGCTTCTATCCCCGTCGGAGACCGTCCATCGACCGAAGGGATCACCCACTGGGGATAGGACATCATAGTATACACGTTCTCATCATGCACGCATCAGCACATGAAATCAGATCTCGCTTCACTTCGCTCATGTGTCGGCCCATGTATACTGATAAAGGCTACGACGCGGCCTTTACATGCGCAGTGTTGCGAGCGAAGTATCGTTTACCCCATGCGACGGGCTCTGATCCGCACGAATAGGCCACGACGATCTTTGCTAGTCGAGGCAACCACGGCCAGGGGCTAGGATTGACGAGGCGCTTCATCAGCTAGCGGGTTCGTCTTCGGCGGTTAACCCCTTGGGGCAGACAACAACGCATCGGGTTCATACCGCGCGTGTTATTACACTGTTCGCTTTACTGACCAGAAGGCAGAATGGTGAGCCGAATCGGTATCGGGACCCACGGCGATTTCCATGGCAAGCTTGAGCACAGAGGCAGGGCGGAGTCGGCGAGAGGAGGTCAGCCTGGCTCCTTGACGGCATGGCTAACGTCCGAGTCGGCAAAAAATGATGTCGCCATCTTTCCCGGCCTCGTCGTTGTAGTCAGCCAGGACTGCGTGCTACTCTGCCGCCGCCGCTCAGATTATGAAGCGATGCGTCAGCCGGCCTCATGGTGCGGCCATTCGCGAAGCAACCCCGCTCGGGATACGACCTCCGGTTGGTATCAGGATATGCATGCTGGCTGGATCGACGTGCGTTCATTCACGACAGGTGCATTGGAGCGTTTCACACAGCTTCTGGAGCGGCGCGCCATGTAGCAAGATCGGATGGCTGGTCAGAGGAGCGTACATAGGCTGAGTCGCCGAGTTCGGCCGTAACCGAGCAGCCGATATTTCAAGATCGGAGCCGAATTCACCAGGTCTGAGCATCCGAGTCGGAGGGACCCGAGTTTGTTATGTTTACAACGCCTTGTGAGCTCCGTAAAGACGCTTAGTCGTCCGAGACTCTGTTGCAACGGATCGAGACGCCGTATCGATATCGAGTCGACGCACTCAGCATTCGCTCAATTTGGGTTGTAACCCGTCCGGAAACCCGTTTGCAGTTCCAAGGCGGGCGGAGCGTTTTTTTTTTTGGTCGAGACACGATGTGGTGTGTCGACGGATGGCGAGCCAACGCTAGCCGTCTTGCGCCGGTGTCTGAGGTGTCTCGAGTAAGCAACGACGAGGGTTCGACAGCACCCAGTCGTTGCTGATGCCACTTCTCCCAGCGATACCGACTTCGCCAGAATCTTGAGAAGATCTGAGCAAGGGGCTCGCGTAAACGGAGATTCGTACGCAGAGGATTTCGCACAGATCTCATAAAGCTCGAGAAGCCTAGCGAATTCGACGTTCGTGACGTTGTAGAAGCTAGAGGAGACCGACAGCGTGTTCAAGACGTTTTGGTGGAGCATCTTCGACATGCCAGAACCTGGCCAAAGTCGCAAGGTGTAAGGACGACTCGGAGGGATACTTACATATGGCGGCAGATTTTCGTCATAGTATATCCATATATAGCAACGACCCCTGCCGACTGCGGTTTTTTCACCGACCCAATAGCCTTTCACCGATCGGTCATTATCGCGCGCTGCCCTGGCCAGATTGCGCCAGCCTTCGTCGGACAATAATATTGCTCACCAAAGGTGGAGAGGCCGAGGTTAAAATCGATCTGCCGAGGAGCCTCCATCCGTCAGCCAAAGAAAAAGAAACGATATATCCGGCCGGATGCTGTTCTGTGGAGAGCGGGGCGGATCCGAGCTACGCCGTGCGCCGGTGCAACCCATTCGTGGATGGCCGGAGTCCAGCTAGAGTCAACGTACGAGCGGAGACGGAGGCAGACGAGTCGCGAGGGAAGGTTCTTTGCTGTGCACAGCGCCGCATGAGCATGTTCCGGAAGGCGAAGATGAAAAAAAAGCTTCTCCGCCTGTCCGGTGCGGCTCGGTCATCCCTTCGTAGAAACCACGAGGCAGGTCGCATATGTAGAAGGTACGGAGTGCCTGCGGTGTTATCCAAAACGTCAAAGCTTGAGCCGCCTGCGGGGGCATGGGTCAGTCAGCAACCTGCATTTGGTGTCGGATTTCCCATCGCCCTAACCGACTCGGTCGACGGTAACTTGTCCCTTTCAACCGTTCATCCCCCCCTTCGTTATACGTCCTTCGTTCCTTCAGACGCTCTCGAAAGCGGGTCGGCGCCAGAGGGCACAACCAGAAGCAACGGGATGAATTACGTTACCGGAAGGAGCAAATCGAATCGATGGGCTCAGCGCAGAGGCAGGGTGACGAATAGGGGCGAAATGAGCTCTGCGCTGACTCATCACATGATTCGCTGATCCCAGCGCCGTTATGTCTGTGCCCCGATGAGACCGTGCTCACAAATACCCGGCTCACCAAACACGCACAGGTTCCCCTTGCTCCCGGGCCTTTGAATCTTACCAAGAGCTCGCCACCGGTCCACACGATATTTGTACAGCCTGCCCTTCCAGGCTAGGCGCCGTCCTCGACGTTCTCCGCAACGCAAACTTAATACACACAACACAACCTCGCATCCTCTCCTCTCCTCCACCAAGACGACCACGATGCAAAGGCCGCGGACGATCAAATTCACCGTATTCTCGGATTGGGTGCGCGCACACTCAACTCGTGGCGTGGCCGAGGATTACCCCGCTCACCCTCCTCTCCGTCCTTATCCTCCTTACAGCTCTGCCCGTGGTGCTACATCAACCAGCGCGAGCTCGAGATCGCCATCGAGCGATGCGCCGATCTGCCGCTCCAGTTCGAGATCGAGTACCGGCCGTTCCGGCTGAACGACGCGCTGTCGGACGACCTGCCGGTGAACAAGACGAAGCTGATGAGCGTCAAGTACGGCGCGGACAAGTGGGCGGCGATGCAGAAGGTGCTCGCGCAGCGCGGCGCGCAGCTCGGTATCACCTTGTGAGTAACACATTTTCCCCACCCCCACCCCCCCTTCCCTCCTCTTCTCTCCGTCTTCGAGGGCATGGTTGAGTGGGCGAGCGCGCAAGTCGGACGTTTGGCGTGTACGACCGTCCAGAGCAGAAAAAGAAGAGACAGCAGCAGCAGCAGCAGCGGCGGCAGCGCCAGTCGAAGAGGGATCCCCGGAGCTGCGAGTGCTGCAGGAAGATGGGCACCGCGTACATCTGCCGCCCCCCGTCGCCCCCGCGTCTCCCGTCCGTTTCCGTCGTTCCTTTCCCCTCCCTCCCGCTCGGCGTTGAACACCTCAGGATTCTTCGCTGACTTTCACGTAACCGACAGCTCGCCCGAACCGAAGATGATGCAGACGACGCGCGCGCACCGGCTGATGCTCAAGGCCTGGCAACTCGGCGGGATGCAGCTCCAGCAGGCGTTCGCGAAGAAGCTCTTCAAGGCGCTCTTTGAAGACGGCCAGCTCGCCGGCGACGCCGAGGTGCTGAGTGATATCGCAGAGCAGGCGGGCGTGATGACGAAAGACTCGGTATGTTTTCCCTCTCTTCGCCCCCCCACCCTTCATATGTCTTTTCTGCGTTGTCCAAAAAAGGAAATCGTGTCGCTGACGATGACAACGTCGATGACGCCACGTACTCAACAGGCTCTCGACTTCCTCGAAACGGACGAATGCCAGCCCGAAGTGGAAGCACTGATCGCCGACGCGCGCCGGAAGGGCGTCTCCGGCGTGCCGTTCAACGTTATCGATGGGAAATGGGTCATCAGCGGCGGACAGACGGCCGACGTCTTCGTCCAGGTGCGCGTCTGTCTACGTTTACTCCCTCCCTCTCTCCTGCTACCCTTCCTGCATGTATGTCGCGGCGTCAACGTCTGACCGGATATCTCGTCTACAGATCTTCAACAAGCTCGCCCACTGCGAACACTATGCCCCCGCCCCCGTCAAGGCGCACCCGGAGGCCGACCAATGCCCGCCTAGCCTGCTGACCGTTAAAGGCGCCAACGGGAACGTCGGCAACGGCGTCAACGGCCACGCCGACATCCCGCTCAACGGCAAAGTTAACGGCGCCACCTGCCCGCTCGGCAACGGTATCTGCGCCGCCTCATGATTCTGATGACCCCCCGCCCCTGCTTCCTTGTCCATATTCAACGTAGACAGACGAGCCAAATCCCTCCCTCGACCCTCTCTCCACCCATCCGCATCCACGCCAGCGGTGTTTACCTCTACCATTCCACCCACCCGACCCACGCGCGTCACCTCCCCCCCGCGCCGAAACACCTCCGCTTCCATCTGCGATGATCTACGTCTATGTCTCTCTTCTCTTCTCTTTTCCTTTCTATCCCCCTTTTTAGTACCGTTTTTGTGGACCCCGCTGCAATCAGTTCCGTGTCTCTCTTCCTCTTCCCCTCCGTTTCTCTTGTCTCTCTATTATCTTATGGCGATGTACGCGTAGCGCTCTTGCTGGAGATGATCGCTCTATCTCAATACACGAGCAGCCCATTGCAGAGCACAAGCTCTTCCCCCGTATTCTCGCCACCGCTCCCGATACATATCCCGCCTTCACCCAGTCCAGGCCAGATGCTGAAACAGGCACATCTTGAGCAAGTTGACCATATGTAAGACGTCGAAACAGTTCACGCGCATATATGCTCTTGGCGACGTTTCTTGCCCGTGGTCCGGTGCGACATATCTAGTACCCCTTCCATGCACCCGACTCAGACCTCAGACACATCCGCTCGTGATGTGCGACCCATGCATCTGCCGACGGGTACAGAATCACAGATGTGACCTCGCGAGCCCACTCACCGTTCCGTGGTACCGCGATGAGCCCGCACCATGCCATCATGCAGTCACACTACTATTGACATTCATGCGCACGGTCTTATGCATTGTGGAGACGATAGCGAGAATAGACCGGCGGGGTTAGGAGAGAGCCCGTGCTGGTCGGCTGTTCCGTCCCACCGTGCAAAGTGTAGTACCACCTGCTCCATTGAGCTCATCGACTCGGTTCAAACATAGCTGCTGCACCGAGATCCGCCAGAAGGTACTCCGTTTGGCTCGGAGATCTGCGTAGGAGCAAATGTCGATCGGTGTTTGATCAGCAGTGTACACGACATTCGCTTTCTTGCAGTTTCTATTCTTACGCGTACTGCGAGTGGGAAGAAGGGAAACCACACGGCGTTCAGACGTATCGACCGAGTGCGACGCATATATCCAAGGACGCCGGCTTGATCCCCATCGACGCGGTCGAGCTTTGCTTTTTTTGAAGCGATCAAGCCGCCTGTGCCAGGCGCTTCGCCACCTCGATCACCAGCGCCGCACCAAAACCCGTCGCGCGCTCGCCCCTAAAGCTCGGGCCCGCGATATCGACGTGACACCACTCGCCCTCCCATCCCTCCCCGATATGCGCCTCGACGAAGTGGCCCGCGCACGACGCCTGCGCGTTCGTCCGGCTCCGGACGCTGTTCTTCATGTCCGCCACCTTGCTCTCGAACTCCTTGAACAGGACCTCGGGCGCGTACAGCAGCGGGAAGCACCAGTCGCCCGAGCGCTGGCCCGCGGCGTATACCAGGTCTTCCCACCCCGCGCGGTTCGCCATGATCCCCGCGTGGTGCATGCCCGTCGCGATCATCTGCGCGCCGGTGAGCGTCGCCATGTCGAGCACGTGCGTGGGCGAGTGGTGCAGCGTCGTGTAGGCGATCCCGTCCGCGAGCACCAAGCGACCCTCCGCGTCGGTGTTGTTGATCTGCATCGTGCAAAAAAAGGTCCGTGAGGGGACGAGCGAAAGCAACAGGCATGAATAGGACGCACCTCGATCGACTTGCCGGACAGCGAGGTGACGATGTCGTCGTTCCGCTGCGAGTCGGGCCCGACCGCGTTCTCGGCGATGCAGCCGACGTAGACGACCGGGATCGGGAGCTCGAGCTTGACGAGCGCCTCGAACGCCGTCAGGAGCGCCGCGGCGCCGCCCATGTCCGTCTTCATCTCGCACATGCCCGCGGTCGACTTGATCGACAGCCCGCCGGTATCGTACACGATGCCCTTCCCCACCAAACTGAGCTTCGCGGTGGCCTTTGCAGGGGCCTGCCGAGGGGTGTATTCCAGCACGGCGAGCGCGGGCGGGGCAGAGGCCGCCTTGCCGACGCCGTAGAGCGCGCCGAGGCCGTGCTCTTTCAGCGCCTCGCCGGAGATGACCGTCGTCCGGACCGTGTCCGGGTACCGCGCGCCGACGGCCTCGACCTCTTTGACGAGCGCGGTCGTGTTCAGCTCGGCGGTCGGGGTGTCGACCAGCAGCGCCGCGTGTCGAACGGCGTCCGCGAGCAGGTCTAGCTCGGGAAAGTCCTGCGTGGACGGCTGGGAATCGACGAAGATGTTGACGGCGACCGTGCGCGGTGCGGCGTCTTTCGATTCCTTCTTCCGGGAGAATTTGGAGAAGGAGCGGGCGACGGCGCTGGGGTAAAGGGTGCGCGCGTCAGTGGGCGTAGCTGGTCATATGCGCGGCGTGGCTCACCTGGCGGCGGCGAGTACCTGGTCCTTGCCATCCAGGAGAATATTAAGCTCCACTAAACTTCAGTCTTCAGCGCCGGCGCCGGCGACGCGCAACGCGAGAGAGGATGGGGGACTCACCGTCGTCCTTCGAGTGGACGTGCTTGCGGACCAAGCTCTCGATCAGGTCGCTCCGGACGGGACCCAAGTGCCGGCTCGTCTTCGTCTCCAGCTCGGCGAACGTGTAGCTGCTGTCGGCCGACCACGCCTTGCCCGACTTTTCGCGCCCGTCCTCGATCTGCGCGACGACGCTCGCGGCCGCGTCCGGGATCTTGCCCGCGAACGGCGCGTCCTTGCGCGTGAGCTGCGCCTTTGGACCGATGTAGACGTAGTGTTTCGGGTCGTGTCGTGCGCTGCTGGAGCCGAATACGAGCGTCGTGGACGACATGGTGCGACGGTAGGCGAAGGAGAGCAAGTGTCGGGGCTGGGGTCGTAAGGAGGAAGTAGGTAGGTGGGCGTTGCGGGGTAGCCTCAGGCTCCAGCTGTTCATTCGATGAGACTTATATGCAGAGTGTCAGCTTCTTGTACCGCGTGCTGCAGCCTGCACAGTGGGCGACAATTGCCCGGAATCGGTCTTGTGCTCAACTCCCTCGAGGCTGGCGAAGGCGGAGACGTGTGTGCATGTGCCGCCACAGGCTGCCGCTTGCCACATTCAACACTCGAAAATCTGGGATATCTATCTCCTCTGTTCTCTCGTTTTGTATGCGCGCGCGATCTTGCTGCAGTCACGAGTATCATGATTGGACTATATAAACACCCAGACGGGCTATGATGCTCGAGCCCTGGAACATCGCACCCCTCATAACTTGTGGTTCAGGACAGCATGTCCTCATCAACCGATGCGTTGGGCGAGCCGTTCGAAATAATGCTCTGGATCTTCGGCCAGTACGTCCACTTTCCCGTCGTCCAAGTACCAACAGCTGACCTTCTTATCCAGCCAAGCGCATCGAGATCACGATGCGTCCTAGCTTCCGCCGCGCCGACATGTTCATGGACGAAAAGGATCGATTGATCGACGACCACGTCCCCAATATATTCACTAGCGTGCTGCACAGCGCTGCATGGAAATGCGAAGTCTGCGGTGGGTCTGGCTCGTTCGCCCGGCGATTATCGTCTCTTGTTCATCGCGCTCGGATCCTACTCTTAGGGGAACCTGCCCGCATGTCGATCGCACACGGAGGAAAATGGCTCCTCGAGTCGCCAGTAAAACTGCTCTCGTTCATACGACCATGTTCTCCCGCCTCCGAATTCCATATGCCAAAAAAAAACAAAAAAACAAAAAACGGTGCAGTCTGATCCGTTCCCCCTCCCCTTCTCAAGATGTGTTTGGTCTGTGGCGCCCTCCCGATCCCGTGTCGCGACGAGTGCCAGCGACGCTACCGCGAGCTAGCCAAGGTGCACAAGATCCCGCTGTGGCAGAGGCCCATGAGGAATCCACCTGCGGCGCCGAAGATGCTCGCCAGCTGCGCCGGGTGCAGGGAAGACCGCACGGCGGACCTCCCGCCCTGGAATAACACTGGCCTGATGAGGTGCTCCGGGTGCAAGGTAACGCGGTATTGTAGGTGAGCTGAGGAGTTCAATCGCTCTTCCTTCCTTCCGTGAGCAGCATGCTGACATTGGGGACAATCTTTGTTCGATAGACCAGCATGTCAGAAGAAAGCGTGGCCGGTGCATAAGAAGTTCTGTAAATGCATTGGCGTCGCGACTTATTTCGGTTTTCCGGAAATGCTGCCTTGAAGTAGCGTAGTTCGAATGGCTACCGTGGTTACGTTCATCCTTCTTGTACTTATCATTCCATGATCATGACTCATCGCTGTTTGAGACAAATCGGATCGTCCAAGCCAGTGAGGAGTACAACCACCCGAGTGATCTAAACTCGTTTTTCGTTGTACAGTCTAGACCTCGACTGGCTGGCGGAGCTCATCTGCTTAATCTGTCTTTCCATCAGATCCTGCGTAAAACTACCTGTGCTGAAGGGAAGCGCGCCGCCCGCGCGGCCTCTGCTCCAGAGAAGACGATTTCGGTCACTGGCGCCCCAGAGGCGTAGCCAACGTCCATCGCATAAAAGTAGCTCAGACAGCCGTAGTTCGGCGCGCTGTTGAAGAACGGGATGCCCGACGCCAGCCTGCGTCGAATAAGCTGACCTCAGTCAGATGAACAAAGAGAACGTTCGGGATCAGCGGCCTCACCGGAATCGACCCGGATCACCCGTAGGCCACAACATGACAGGCTCGGGGCGGTCGGCGCCTTGGAGCAGGCCGAGCGTATCGGTCCCGTTCAGGATCAGCTTGTCGACCCAGAGCGTGCCTGAGCGCAGGGAGGTGACCATCTCGCTGCTCGGGCCGGCGGAGGTGGCTTCGGGTGTCGTGAACCAGCGGCCGACGTACGATCTGCGCGCTTCGGCTTCGAGGAGAGCGTCGAAGACGGGCTGGAAGGCGTCCACGAGCTGCATCGTGAAGTCTTGCGAGTCCGGGTAGTCGCCGGTCATGAGCACGACGATGCCGTAGCCCGCGCGGGGGTTGATCGTCCACGCGGTATGGAATGCAGCGAGCTGTCCGACTGGAGTATACCGCGAAGGTTAAGGATGTAGCTGTTCAGGATGTGGAAGGGACGACGGGTGCTCACAGCTTTGGTACAGTCGTTGCGTCCGCTTCCACTTGTCTTTGCGCAAGAGGGCGATCCAGCCAAGCCCGGGCTCGGTGATGCCGTCGTCCCAAGCGTGTGAGGAGGACAACCATTGCTGCATGAGTGCGCTGGATAGCAGGCTGTCTGTGGTAGTGGGATCCAGGGACTTCAAAAGGGCACTTGTGGCTTTGGCCATGTCCGCCAGCGAACTAGACTGCCCACCGGCAGGGTTCATGGCGTTCCGGAAGTCCCAATCCTGTAGGAAGTGAGATGATAAGCATGAACTGTAGAAATCGTTGATTACATGCACGACTCCATACCGTAGCCTCGCTCAAGGATGAAGGTACTGCAATCCGTTCCTGCTCGAACGCGCTTGTAAGGAAGCCAGAGCTGGTCATGTTGAGCACAGAGAACACGTCCCGCTGTAGCAAGTCCGCGTGACTAGGTTTCTGTCCTGACTTCGAGGCGACGGCGGCGGAGTTGACCATGCCCAAGAACCCGTAGCCAGTGTTGGAATAGATGGGCAATGTACCTGGTGGGACCCCCGTAGAATATCGATTGATGCTCTCGAGAACCTCCTCGTCTGAGGGAAAGGGGCGCCCGTTCTCGGGTGGAGAGCCCGCGCCTTGCAGGGAGTGCGGCCAGGAGACCATGTCTCCCGGGGGCATATCCGACCCGACGCCTGCCTTGTGCGACGCGAGGTCACGAACGGTAGGCGAGTAGCACCGGTCAGAGGCTGCACACGGAGGAGAGTATTGCGGGATATAATCCGATATTGGGCGATCCCTGCGAGTTGAAGATTAGCGCCGAGTTCCGGATTGGGGCAAACCGAGCGGTATACTCACCATTCGAGACTCCCGTTCTGCACTAACAACCACGACTCGAGAGCTGTGAAGATCTTGGAAACGGACGCGAGTCGGTAAATCGTGTCGCGATCGACGCGTCCATCCGACGATTCATTCGCTTTTACGACCCCGTACGTCCCTTCGAACACGGAACCACCGGAAGTCACGACCGCGACCGCCAAGCTGTCCATATCAGCACGGGCTACACGTCGAGCGAGCTGCTGATCCAGCGCCCTTGCTAGGCTTTGGAACGCCGGCGTGTCGGGCGACGGGGGATTGCTCAAGAATTCGGCGGGAAGAGCACCGCTACAGCGGGTTTGCGATACCGTGACGATCTCAAGCGTGTAACGAGTCGACAACCATCTAGCTAGCAGGAAGACAGTCGCGTAGAGGACCGCGTATTGCAGCATCCGAAACGCTTTCGCGATGATATGTCGAGGTGGATATTGAGGGGCAACGTCGTGTTCCTTCACCCCCATGGCGGGTTGGACGAGTCCGAGCCAGACGAAAGGGCACTGAGTTGGTCAGAATCGTGGTCGAAAGTCAACGTGCGAAGAGACTCGTGCCGAATGATTCCAATCTACGCGGTGTTTCAGAGATGCTGCATGATCCTGGTATGTGATCTTTCTATTGAGTACAGCCATCATGGCGGATGGAAGAGAAGATGGATTTCCAATCTACGCGGTTTTCCGGAGATGCTGCATGATCCTGGCATGTGATCTTTCTATTGAGTACAGCCATTATGCATCATGGCGGATGGAAGAGAGGATGGATTGGCTTTTTGCTTCCGCAGCCTCCTGTCACGGTCACATTGTCCACGTGGCAAAAAAGTACGTGTGGGAGTCTTGCGGCTCTCGCTGAGTCGCTGACGACTCCAAGCGTTGCTCTGCGCTCTGTGTATGCAGATGACTCAAGGTCTCGAGAGTACGCTGCACACCGCCCATTCTACATATGGCGAGAAACTGCGGCAACACTGCGACCCTTACAATGCTGCCATGCCCGACTTCTATCGCAGATTGATGGTTTGCAGCAACAAATCCCGCGAGGGGGTCTTCTGTATCTGATATGCATGATACACCAAACCGTGAAGATCGGTTCGGGTGCTGTGACGCTCGGTCTTCTCATACAAGGTCGCCAAAACAAGCGTGACACCAGCGAAGGCAAGGCGATGCTCTCAGAAGTGCTCGCATGAGCCGTCACGTCGGTGAACGGTAAGCCATGCGGATATCGGGGTGTTGTTATTCACACCATAGCCGTGTGTACCAGTATTCACGGTCAGTTTCGGCCTTGAAGAAAAACCACACATTGACACGCACCTCACTAGACAGACAATGCAGCGGAGAAAGACGAGGACCGAAACATTCTACGTAGCTGCTGTGATGCTGCTCACAGCGGTTACGGCTGTTGACCTGTTCCTTCGCCTACGACGAGAGCAGCTTCCCACAGCGAGTGAGGAGCGCAACTACAGTGAGTATTCCACTATGGTCGCTCGGTGCATTTATCTTTCTGACTCGGTCTCCGTAGCATGGATCGGAAATGACCACCCTGCGCGCTTAGACCTCGATTTGCCTCCTGCGCGGATGCTCACGGAGGAGACCGTGCACTATCAGCTGGACGCGGACGCCGAATGGGCCTCCATCTTCCCTCTGGGAGGCGGATTTGTCAGGCTCGGGCCGCACAAACGCGCCTTCGGCCTCTCCATCTTTCACCAGTTCCACTGCCTCGATAACATCCGCCTCGCCATCATGGAGTCGAACAAGTCGCGCATCCTTCCGACCCACCTCGCCCACTGTTTCGCCTACCTGAGGCAGATGGTTATGTGTCGGTCGGATACGTTTTTGGAGCCGCTCCTGCCACCATACGAGGAGAAGCACGTCAATTCTTGGTATGATCACGAGTGTCTAGATTGGAGCGTGGTCTATGATGCCGTCGAGCGCAACTTCGAGGAATTCAATAGCACCCATTCTTCACGCGAGACAGAGGATGAGCTCCACTTTTTATAGTCTTGTTTTTTGTTGAGTCCTCGAGTTGCTGCACGCATGTCGTGACAACGAGTTTTATACGGATGAAGTGTACTAAATGATAGTAATAACGCAATAAACAAGAATTCTGTGCACAACATGACCTTAGGCGAAAACTAATCCCGACTCCGACTTCGCGGACGCGCTGTCCTTCGGCCCCGCACCTTTCAGCTCCAGCGAAGAGGGATTCAGATCCGTCTCCGTTTGTCGCAAGGTAGAGCTTCCGAACCGGATTTCGGACAGGCGATTCACGTTCTGGGCAGGCACGCTCTCCCCCGTGTACCCGGCCTCCGTGTTCGATCCACGTTCACCAAACTTCATGGTGCTCAAAGCGCCAGTGCGAAGCGTGCCACGGGTCAGGGCGCGTCCACGAGCGGCGCGGAACGTAATGAAAAGCGGTGCGATGCACTGAGACGTGGTGAGCGATGGCTTCATGGGGCAAGGAGAAGACGTGCTCACCATTGCTTGGCCCATGATTGGCAGAACAAGGTTCTGCACGTTACTATTGCGGGCATAACAGATGATGAAGATCAAGCCGACCACGGAGTACAGTGCCGCAGACTCGATGACGACAGTCATGACAGAAGTGTAGAGGCGCGCGTGTTCCGCGCCCAGTGCATTGATGAGCGTACGACGGGCCGAGAACAAACGGATGCACGTCAGAATTGTGACGACGAGTGTCAACGAGATTGTGGTAGACCAATAGCTGCGAACCATCCTGAGCGTCGTAACACGTCCAAAGGTGAAGCCACGTACGGGATTGCCACATTCACCGTCGAATGCGTCCACAAGCTCGCGGTCGGTTGGGCGGATTGGAACATGGTCAATATTCCGAGGACTGCACGCGAAAATATCAGGATTCAGGTCAGAGTGCGGCGCCACGAGGACTAGAACGCATACTCGTGGATGCCAGGAAAAGTAGGACGGGAATAATGTTGAGGTAACGATAGTAGTCCCAGATGATGAGACATCGGAAGACCTAGATATTACTATGTGAGTATTGCATGCGCCATCCACTCGTTTATCCCACTGACGAGGAGAGCATCCGCCAGGATATTGTCAAATACGAATGCAGCCGAACTGAGCGTATTAATCGGGTGTGAGAAATGTATTTCCAGGTAACCATTCGGTCCTCCTGGAACAAAGTCCCTATGATCGATCCATAGCATCTCGTTCCATTTGATGCCTGTGGCAAGGTTGATGGTCGCTCCTCCAAACAGGAGAGAGATGTAAATGAGCCAATAGATCTTGGAACGCCTGCTGGAGGCGGGTCCTCGCTTGGACTCCCGTATCAAGGAAGTGGCGCACTGAATGTAGAGAGTGACATGAATCCCTGGCGAGATGAGATACTGAGTGAGGGTTCATATTGAACTCGAAACGCGCACACAGACCGTATGCAACAGCACCGAGGAACCCTCCGACGAAGTTAGAGCGCTCAAGCCATAAATCTGCTGAGCTTTCGTTAGGTCGACCACTCGACGACATACCGTGCTGTGTCGCAGGAAGAATGAACGACGAGAGGACCCGAGAGCGCCTAACTCACGTACTGACGTTCTTATCTCTCCATTTCTCTGCGAATCTATCTACATCAGAAGGCTTTCACGACGAATTTGGTCACGGACTTACCCTCTAATCGTCCATAACACCCTGAGCGGCCCGCGCCCTGTCCGAAAGGTTCCAAACTCGCGCCCGAAATCTCGTGTTTCAGGAGCATCGAATGACGCTCTAGAATGGTGATCTGTCGCTATCATCTTGGCGTCACATAGCACACCGAGTGAAGTTTCGTGCCCGGGAGTATGCTTTCGGGCAACCGCAGTGATGGACAAATGAATCTAGGAAACTTCGGCCGGAAGCATTTACGGGTGCTGTCCCACGTTATCACACGCAATTCTTGCATTTCGTGGAATACTGAGCGAGAAGCAAGGCATGGCACATCAGTATCACGATAGAAGCTTGCTTTAGAGCGGCTGTATCCGGGAGGAGAAGTGGATGGATTAGGTCCTTCAGCAATCCAACATATAGCTATCGACGCTCGAAAGCCGTACTGCTGTAATGACGTGTATGAAAGGCGGATGCGCATGCACACTATATGAATACACTCACCACCTTCTAAATGTCTCCTGTATGGTTTGCGCGAAGTCTCCATTTGTTGTAGTTACTTTCCGCCGCGGAATATACCGTGCTCCAGTCCTTACATGTGTGTGAGACACCAAGCCCATCAATGCCCCGAATATGATAGGCCTCCCGAAGTCGCGTGCTCTCGGGCTCCAGGGTCAGGTCTGGGGTGCATAGTATCATCTCTCTCACATAGTTGATGCAGTGGTGCAGATGTTGGATGTGTGATTCGGATAGGGAAGGATACAGAACCGCTCGCTTCAGATTCTCCAGACAGTGCATCTGGAGACATATACTGAGTAATTTCATACAGTATGTGATGTAATACGACCGACGCACCTGATGATACATAGAGATCGCGAACGGCCGGTCAAGAGGTCCTAAGTGTACGAAACCTCCTCCTGGTGGGTACAACGAGGCCCATTCCGCATTGGAATCTTTTCCGCTCAGCTTGTAATGTACGGTGTCCTCTACTGTGAGAACAGCAGGCCCGAGAGGTTGTTCGAGAGGGAGGTGCCTAGGAAAGTCATCGCCGACAAATGCTTCGTGTACGCACACGTTAAGCCCTTTTCGAAAGACGAGAAATTGTGCAGCTATAGCTTACAGTTATTGAGGCTCGTAACTCTGGCGGCCCTGTGAGCTTTCCTCGTCCAGTATACGGAAGCTAAGTCGATGGCCAGGAGCATGACGCATATCGATAGCACAACTCGACGCAGAAACCGAGTACGGGAACCTCCAGGATGAGAAAGGTGCTTCATCATGAGCACAAATCGAGATACGTGGTGCAATAAGGAAGACGCAAGGGCTCTTGTTCTTGCATGATATATTCAATTCCGGGCATTAACTGCGGGACGGGAAGGACAAGACATGCACCAGCATTATCAAATTCCCGTGCTATGGACGCACGATTCTCACGGCGCGTGACGCGTGACTTGAGACTCATTCTCATTCAACCCCTCGAATGAACAGACTGGCCGCAGCCTCAGAGTCAACGCAATACAGAACCTATCACAACGGATACAACGACAAATGCAAGCATATAACCAAGCAACTTCGGGGGCACATAATCACTTCTCGTCGTCACATTGAAATCCAGTCGATCATCCCTACTCGCCCGTCGCGGCGAGGAACCAATCCGCCGTATCCGGTGGTGTCACTTGGAGAGACGTCAGTAAGCTTTGTCGTACAGGGGAATCATATGACTATATTACATGCTTCGGTGTCCTCAGGCGTGCGCGCCCGGAGGTCGCTAACACCGACCCCGATAACTGAACGAAATGCATGCTCGGTGAATAAAACATGGCCTCGATATGCAGATTGTGCTCACCAGCGGGAGCTGCACTGACTTGCAGCACCGCCAACAGCAATGCGATGTAGAAGGCAATGTACATGGTGTTGATGGACATGGTTGAACAGTGCGACGGGGAAAGCATATGCCTGTTGGTCTGACGATGATACGGTCCGACCTATATACTTTCTCGGACGGTATCAGAAGCGATACAATGTATCGGAGCAAGGTTGGTTCTTTGGTTCTGGGCATCGCATCTTGACTGCATAGTGACTAGACACACAGCGGCTGCGGTGTTCAGCGCCACGACGGTTTCCATTCATCCGATGTCCTTGTGGGAGTCGTCCACCTCGCCGAGTATGATGTGTTTTGTCTTCTATCACCCACGCGCGCCTTCCAGGCGGTAGACACCGGTTTAAGCCGCATGGGAGGATAAGCAGCACTACGGAGAACACAGTTCTATCTCAGGTAGTGAGAGACTCCTAGCTGTCACAAAAGAACCACGTTGACGATGATACGTACCACCATCTCACCCCCCCTCTAAATATCCTTCACCTCGCCTAGAAATAGCCGTTGAATGAGCTCAGCGCAATACGTCGAGCTATCCTCTATCGACGACGGGGAGATCGGACCACATCCGAAGGAGAAGACGTCGCGCTCCCCAGACTCAGCAACTTCACCGATCATCCTATTATGCGTCGCCACCGTATGCTTGTCGATCCTGAACTTGGTACTCGCCACCCGGCCTGCGCAATTCCAAGCAGCTATAGCAAAGCCCACGCCCACGCGCCCAAGCCTCTATATCGGCTTAGAGAGGGTAAACAGTACGGATGTTTTGTCGCAGATCAAATCCGTGTCGAACTTCCCTTCCGTTGTTGCTGCGATGGATCACGAACATGCCAGGCAAGTCGAAGCCACAGGTGCCAGGGTCTCGATTACTCCTTCTGTGAGTCTGCTCACCCCGTGTATACGGTGAACAAGCGAGGAATTGACGGCGTTCGATACCGTAACAGTCATCGACCGTCATGCAGTTCCGCGTTCACGATTACGGACTAGAAAATTGTTCCATCCAAAGCGTGATTCCCGCAATGGACCGCATGGGCGACAAAACGTTCACTTCTGCTAGAACGACTTCCATGGTTGAAGTCTGGCACCTCGTCGACGACGAGCTGGAACCAATGACCCTTTCCTGGAACCAGCGGCCTGCGAGAAGGTCTCTCTTCGCACGGCTGAATATAACGGTGGGCCAAAGGGGCACAACGCCTTTTTTCCCCTGTCGAACTGCGGAATTGCAAACGTTCGAGTTCGCTTGTGAACTAGGCGCGTCCGAGGATGACTGTTGGATAGACTTTGTCCAGGATCGGGGGTCCCCGCTGCTTGGCAAGTAGCGTCCCCTCGCCTTGCTATCGTACGAACACGAAGACTAATCTGTACTCGTGTTCATATAGCTATTCAGATGTTCCAGCACGCAGGATTCGCATCATAGCCAACACGAAATCAACCATTGACATCTGTCATCTACTACTTAGTGTGACGCTTGAAGTGCGAGTGTTCGATCTACAAGTCCCGCTCACCTGTGATAGCTCTCAGATGCTCCCTTCTCACAGATACTCACGACAGACAATGCTTCAGCTTTGCTCGCACTTCTTCCTTCATCGACGGCACGGGTCCATAAAAGGGTGCCCGATGATCAGAAATGGCGTATACGATCCAACCTGCGTGACATAGAGTCATGCGCGAAAGCGTCACCATCCCGCCTCCGACGGCCAGCGTAGCACATGTAGGGACGCATGGCCGGTTTAAGCCCTTGTTATCGAAGGCTGTTGGCGTCGGGGAGAGCGTAACGCCGCGGCCTTGGTATGTTGCGCAACGAGCGGAGACGAACACAGAACGTCGGGGCCGCCTGCGGTTGGACGCTGCTCGGCCTACTCCTGGTGTTCAGGCTCTTGCTCGCGAGGAGATATACGGGGCGTACCTGACGGCCGACTCCAGTGTCCAACTACGACGCTGAGAGAGTCCGGAGGTTCAGGCGTTCGATAACCTTGAATAGCGCGAGGTCCCGTCGGACATCCTTGAGACATGAGACATCTACCGTGCTTGCGAGCTCATCATCGAATGGGTTATGGAAGAAAAAATGAACAACCGTTCGTCGCTTACTTGTTGTGGGAAAGCGACATCTGAGCACAGAAAAAAAAAGATTCTGGTCGAGCTTCACGAAATCGAGCATAGTTTGACTGCAACAGGATTCTACCCACGTGTCGAATGGTGAGCTGAGGTAACACGAAAATGATCGCTACGGCGCACCTTACACTCTCAAAAGAGGTACCCAAGTACCCGAGCGATGTTAGTGGGCGAGACGTAGTATCATCGCGACAGCAGCATGATAGTCTTGAAGTGCCGCAAGGATTCCAACCACAGTGCGCAATCAGCGCAACGCATCGGGCAGCAACGCGAGCATGTAGAGTATGAGGTATAGAGCCAGTGGTCAAGCATCGTGTTGGTTAGAGCGCTTTTGGCTTGCACCGTCATTGATACCGTGGCCCATAGCGAGAGGAAGTATGTTGTACGAGCCGCAGAATCGCAAGATGAACGCGACGTTGAAGTCGTTGTCCTGTCCTTGGACAATCGGATCCGATTATGCCGACGGAAGTAAAGGCCCATGAATCTTGAAACGCCAGCACAGCTGCAATCCAGCACAAGGCCACCATGGTCCAGATCATCGTGCTCTACTTCGCTGCAGCATCGACCGCCACAAACCTTACCTCCGAGTCCATCACGCTGCCATCGCCCGATAATTCTGACTCGGACGCCGACTTCCGCTTGTCTTCCCTGCCCGCTCTCCTCGCCGCTCGCCATCCCGGAACCGGTTTGGACGAAATCTTGGCGTCTAGCCAGTGGAGCGTCGACGCGGAGATGGTCGATAAGCCTGAAGACGTGGTGCTGAAGGGTGGAGAGGAGGTTGCGGTGATATGCCCAGTCTCCGGTGGATGACGCCTGTGCTCTATGGAAGTGGAAGGCGCGGTCTGCGACGGGAAGAATGGCTGGAGGTCGGAAGGTGGTGTACGTGTGCTTGACACGCTCAGATGTACCGTGAGATGTGTACCCATCCCCATCGCAAGGCGCACCACGACTGTACAGCTATCTTTCCTCGACGAAAGACTTTGGCTTGCCCAGAAAACAATGCCGCAGAAAACCATCTTTACTGCGAGACGCCTGAGCGCGAGCACCTTCCTCGTGAACGAGGTCAACGACGTCTTTGACGAAAACCCCTTCCTCTACGCAATCCTTGTGCCATCCGCCAACACCCTCGTCCTCGTCGACACGGGCTGCGACGGCCGGAGCCGCACGCCCGACCCAGGTGTCACCCGCGTGCGCGACTTCCTCGAGCGCGTTCCCGTAGGCGCCAATGGCGATCGACCTCTGAATCCGCAAGGTCAACTGGGCTACGTCGTCGTGCTCACCCATTGCCATTACGACCATATCCGTACGCGCAATCTCACTTTCCATTTCGCGTGCGGTGTAGGCTCAACATAGCATCCAGTCGGTGTCGAGCAGTTCGCCCACGACTCGCAGATCGTCGCCTCCGGCCACGACCCCTCATTCGTCTCGCCCGAGAACCTCCCGAAACACTCCCTCTGCGCGCCTCTGGACCTTCCGACTCCCACATACACGCCGACGCTCGTCCCGCATTCGTCCCTCTTGTCGTCCCCGACGGGCACGTCGCTGAACCTCCGGGTTCTGCACACTCCCGGGCACACGCCAGATGAGCTCGCGCTCTGGCACGAAGAAGAGCGCATGCTTTATGTCGGCGACACGCTCTACGAATGCGCGCCGATCATCTTTCCCAGCGAGGGCTCGATCGTCCGCTGGTTCGAAAGTGTGGACGACCTGATCGCCTTAGTGCGCGACGCGGATAGCGATGGCGGGCTGCTGACGCGTATCAACGCGGGTCATCAGACGGCGGGAGAGCCGGCGATGGATGTGCTTCTGGCTTCCAAAGCCTTCATGCAGGACGTCGTGTCGGGGACAGAGCCTATACAGAGGCGGTGGCAGAAGCGCGGGGACACCTTCGTAGAGTATGCACAGAAGGGTGGTCGATTCAGCTTGCAATGCCCCGAGAGACTCGTCCTGCTGGCGAGGCGAAGCCCGATCTGAGTATACATCGCTGACGCAATACTCTATACACGAGTTTCTTTGTTCGCCCGTTTTGACCAAGGTGTTCCATGGCGAGTCACACTCCTGTTGAAATGCATAAAGACAAGCTGTGGTGCTCGATAACATCCGCCACTCGAAAGATTGAGGGTTGATTGGCGACATCCAGCATGTCTGGCTTGCTTGTGGAAACGCATATGGTCCTCTACGGATAGTACGTCTGTTATCATCACTTGGATGCCATCATCTTATTGACTTTGATCCTCAGCGATGGAAAGATCCTTCAGTTCCAAAATACTGCCCGCCTCCCTCGCCCTGACATGCACGATAGCGAGCGCAGACCGTTGATCCAGGAGTTCATGACGCAGGCAAACAGATCTGGGACACACAGCGGTCCTTGGCGCTGTAAATTCTGCGGTACGCCGTCCGTTTCCATGCGATAACGATAAGTGATTCAGAAAGTGACAATTGCGTGTGGCGTGCAGGGGAGCCCGCACGGATGGCACTCGGTGTAGGCCTCTCACATACGAGCGACACATCCATGAGTTTCCTCAACTTCGTATGGACGTTCCCTTCGTGCAGAGAGCATGCGCTGACGTTCCTCCTTGTTGAGCGTAGTTGCATGCGATATGTAGTCCCGATCGAGGCCCCTGCAGAACCAAGTTTGAGGATCTTCACACCGAGCTGGCGAGGAAGTGGAGGATCCCCAATATACCTCCACCATTGCCTGAGCCGGGACTGCATCATCCGTTCCTCGCGAGTTGCGCAGGATGCAAGGAAGACGATTCAGCCGACGTCGAGCCATGGAACAACGCCACACTCATGAGGTGTTCTGCATGCAAGGTAACGCGTTACTGCTGGTGAGTGATTGACATCCTGCATCCCGGAGTCTTTTCAGTAGAGGCTCACGCGCTTGCGCCGGTTGTCAGTTCCGCGTGTCAGAGGAAGGATTGGCCGGCGCACAAGAAGTTCTGCAAGACCCTGACGAACATCATCTGGGACGAAGATATCGATGTGACACCAATTACCGAGTAATAAAGGGTGCTGGGTCGAATGTACATTCGGCGATACTGCATTTGCGTTATGGTAGTGTCTGTAGCTTCGATCGTATAATCCAATCCAGTCGATCGCCTGTGAATAGCTCGAAGAAACCTCACGCTATTAAGACCCACCACAACGAATGTGTTGCGCATACAACCTCATACAACGTCAACCAGTATTCCGAGGTGACGTCGTCAACAGGAATGGTCATGTGTAATGCGCCGCCGCTCAAGATCGAGAAAAGATTACGGATTGCGAGCCAGGAGGCATGTCCATGAATAACAAGCTGGTAGAATCAGTTGGGCCCTTCGTACCAGCTGAAGGAGATTGCAAAAAGGTTCGCAACTCCCACCGCACCGCCCCAGACTGCCCCAAGCTGTGGCGATGAACGTCATCCTCATCGCCATGTCCGGCGAATCCGGTCGAATGCAAAAGCCTCAGCTCGATCAAAACCAGCTGAGAGCGCCATCAGTCGGCGGCGCGCGAATTGCTGGGCACACAAAAGCTGCCTATACTGCTTGGCATCGACTCACTTACTCTTACCTGCATGACTGAAATCGGTACCCTCGTCATCGTCGTGTTGAAGGCGAAGGATCTGCCCGATAAACATTTCTACAAACAGGTATGTAACGCACGTCGTTCGTATTCGGAGATCGGCTTCTTGAACACCGTGTTTCATTGCTCATCGCTCGGATCAGGATGTGTTCGCACAAGTGACGCTCAATGGCACGTCGAAACGCACGAAGCTCGACGTGAAAGGCGGCCAGCATCCGCTCTGGGACGAAGAGATCCGCTTCCCCGTATACAAGGACACGACGGCCAAGCATCGCACGCTTGAGGTCGAGTGTTTCTCGAAGGAGACGCGTAGCGATGAGAGTGTAGGCAAGGGATCGGTGGACATTTCGGACACGCTGAAGACCGGAGAATTTGACGGTACGTTGCACTTATTTCATTCCCTGTATCTATATTTGATTGACTTTGTGAACATGGCTGATCCATCCTTATGCATAGATTGGGTACCCCTCTCGCTCAACAACGTCCAACGCGGTGAAATCTTTCTCGAGATGACGTATTTCGCGTCGGGACCGGCTCCGATCCAGCGTCGGCCAAGCAAGATGAACCCGAGCGAGCGAATGTGGCGGCCACCTCAAACCAGTCCTGCGAAGACACCTCCGAAGGGGACTTCGCCTCAACGGCCTGAGCAGGCGGGTCATTCGCCGCGATATGGTGACAGCCATCTAGTTCCGCCTGGGAGAACGAGCGTGGATGCACCTCTTCCCCCTACACCAGAAAACGGGCATGCACATAAAAGCGGGGGATCAGCCTCTCCACCAGCTTCCAAACCCGCGGCCATCCCTCCCCTCCTCCGTCCCGGGAACCTAGCTTCTCCGCCTCAGCCCCTCCATGCGTCTAAGCCCCTCCCTCCAGAACATCCGGTCCACGCCGCACAGTTACAGAGCTCTCCCCCGTTTGCAACTGGTTCCCTTCCCCTTCCTGGAACCGCAAGCCCGCCTATAACCGCGAGCGCGTATCCTCCCGCATCAACTGCCTCGATCTACCCTGCTCCGCCACCTGCGTCGTTGCTTCCTGCAGGAGGCGCGCCACCTGCACACCGTTCTCCGAGTCCAGGATACTTCCCTGCTTCCGGTCTCGCGGAGCAATATCGGGGATCGAGCCCGTACCCGCAACAACAACACCAAGGACCCGGACTGGGCCTGAGCGGTCCAGATGTGCCCGCACTGTCGTTCCCAGTACCGATGCCCGCACCCACGGCTGCTCCTGCGGCAGACCCGATATACGATAGTAACTACAACTATGTTGGTTCTCCGCCTCCGGTGCAAGGCGCCACAGGCGCATATGGCTCAGGATACCACCATTCCACACCCTCGCCTGCCCCTCCAAATCGCTACAACTACGCTTCCCCTCCACCCGCGGCTTCCAACGGTTATCACCCGCCTGCGCCATCTCCCGCTGGCTATCACCACACTTCTCCCGCGCCTGCGCCGACCAATGCCTACCCTGCGCGGTCGCGGCCTCCTTTGCGGGAAGACGACTACGGGTCCGCGGTAGCGACCCCCCGTGCGGAAGTGCAGCCGCAGCACCAACCGCTATTCCCACAGCACCTGCGGCAAGAGCAGCATCCTCCCCCTCCTGCGCATCCGACAACGCAGCCTTTGCAGCCCCGCCGGCAGCAGCAGCAGCAGCAGCAGCAGCCTGCCGCATCATCGTCTTCCACTTTTCGCCAGCAACCACCGGTGGTTGACCGCGACGCGCAGGCGGCGGCGGAAATACAGCGCATGGAGGAGGAACAGGAGAGGGCGAGGAGGGAGCAGGAGGAGAGGGATATGAAGCTTGCGTTGGAATTGGATAGGGAGTTCAATGCTCCGCCGGAGGGGCAGGGGAATGCCAGCGGGCTAGATGGGAAAGCGCATATGCCTGGGCAGTGGTGACCATGCACGTACTCATGAGGAAGGTGGAAGATGATTATCTATGGCCGGAACACGCTTTGTATTGATAAAGAATGAAGAAGGGTGCGAGCTCTGAAACACACGTCTAGCACGCTCACTATACGAGGATGAGTAGGTACCGTATGTATTCTACATCCGTGCCGCCCGATATCGATGCGGAGGATCAGTGTTTCGGGCACGTGCTACCGTGATAGCGGGCACGAAGGCGGCAGTTCAGCTTCTTACTTAGTCTCTCTTGGTCCTCGACCATGATCATCTGTGAGTGTTGTCCAAATCTTCCAGCTTCCATCGCTCAAATTTGCTGTGAACCTAGCCGCCTATTGAACTCCAGATAAGCCTCTGTTATCTCCTTGAAATATCCGCGGTAGAAATTCGAGGCATGATCGACACCCTCGCCTCCTTACGTCTTCGCGTACCTGGCTGTCTGGATGACTATGAAATAACGTTCTGCTACTGTCAGCACGATGAAAGGTCTCCGGAATCACTCACGATCGATAGGCTCCTTATCCGCACGCCTCCTCAGGTTCTACGAACCCGTCTCGTTCAGCTAAGACTATGAGTGACCAAGACTTGATTACTCGCTCTTGCATACCAGGTTGCCTCGGGCGCTACGGGATCGTCGGTTAGCTCTGTCTGCCAGGCTTAATTAAATACTCACCAGTGACGGCCCTCACGTACCATGTCGCGTCCGGGGCTACGGGTTTAGCTCGAAATGAATTCTTTGAGGCAACATACAGGCGACACACCATCGACGGTCCACGCGTACCTGGAGGGCCTCGGGCGCTGCGGGGTACTGTTAGGCTCGACTTATGGTTCAGGGACGGAATCGACCTAAACTCACTTTCAACAACTTTCACGTACTAGGTCGCGTGTGGAGCTCATCCGTCGACGGCGAACGCAGCGCCGTACATGGTCGTTGTCTAGTGACTTCCGGGCCGTGCGAGCAGACTCTATTGATCTCGCTCCTAATACCATCCGTGGATTGCCCGAGCGAGATCAAAGCTCTCAGACCTGCACTGAAGCTTCTTACCACCTTGCTTCCAAGTTTGCACGCACAGCAATAGCCTCTCGATGGACCGCGTCCCCGGCGCGCTCTGCTGAGCGTCGCCTGCGGTTTATGAGATCGAACTGATGTAGGCGATGGGGTCGCATGCCGACATCGCGATGATGATACCCAACTGTACTTCTACATAAGTGTCTGAACCCAGGTTTCCGTCGCGTGCGAGTGTGCTTCAATGGCGCCATAGTAATGCAGCTGTGCCGTTCCTATACGCAAGCTGTTTAGAAGGCTGCAACGATTAGCATATCTCGTCGGTTGAAGCTATCACCTCTCTGGATCCCCCTGTTGCTTATTGCTCTCCGCGTTTTGACCATCGACCGGACCTTGGAATCCGACATGGCGATGTCGTCACCATATGAACGTCCACCTTCAATCGATCCAATAATGGGGTCCGTAGACTCGGACCCCGGGTTCAATCGCAGCACACGAATTTGTCCTAATTCAAAAACAAAGCACGGACTTAATATGACGTGAATCAACGCGGCTTTTATCAGATAAACTCCAGGTGCCTTATACCAGAATCAAACTTTAGCGAATCGCATCAGCAGCCCAGACCTGGACGAGCAGTGCACAATTGCAAGCTGACGCGCGGATGGACCGAACGCCTGCAGCCCTGCACGCTTACGCACTTTCCTTATTACTTAGTCACATACACTGATCGCCTGCGCATGGATTGCGGTCAACATACATCTTGCCTTATCCCAGCGTTCGTTCACGCCGGCGATGCCTGCCCCTCTTGAAGTTGTCACGATCCATACAACGTTCCCGAGTCCTCCGCGCTTCGCTTGCCGATGCGTTGCCGACTTATCGCTCTCGCTCCCTCCCAGGCCTTCCCCACATGCGGCGTAGGGTCAAAATTAGGACGTGCCATTCCGGCAGGCCCTTTAAAAGTCAGATGGGGATGAACGTACTGATGTCAGTGATCGCGCTTGTCGCATTCCCTGTCGGTCTCTTAAACATCCACTTTCCTCGGTGGACGCGGTCAGACGACGGATAAGATGTTTGGAAAAGGGAAGGACAAGGGCCAGACGACGACGAGCGACGAGAAGTTGAGGGAGGTGGATTCGCAGGAGAAGGATGGGGGCCGCGACGCATCGTTGGACACCAAGCACACCAGAGTCGATGAGGGGAAGAACACGCAGACGCCCGGGAACATGAAGACCAACGTCTTCCTCGACACGGGCGACGTCCGTTTGAAAGTGCGGGAGCACTGGTGGCAGATTTGGTGAGTCATGTTATGGCCTATGCGGTTGGGACTGCTAATGTATCTGGTACAGGCGTCCTGCCGATCCTCCCCCACCCCCTCCAGCTTCGTTGGATGATGCCTCCGTGAGTTGCTATCACACGACTCCTTGACATTCTGTCGCTCAAATATGGATTCGCGTGATTAGATCATTCCACTCGCAAATGCCTCATTCCTCTCGAAAATCACCTACGCATGGATATCACCTATGATGGTGCTCGGGTACCAACGCACCCTACAAGCCACGGACCTCTGGCGCATCGACGACGAGCGCTCTGCCGAGGTCCTCTCGCGAAAATTGGACCAGTCCTGGGCACGACGCAAGAAGGTCGCCGCCGAGTACAATTCCAAGCTCGCGGCGGGCGAGATCAAGCCGTCGGCGTGGAAGCGGGTGACATGGAGCGTGAAGGCGTTGAAAGGCGGAAAGGGCAGCTACGGGGACAGAAGGAAGGCGTTGGAGATCAAATGGCAGGAGGTCGATGGTAGGAAGGACCCGAGCTTGGCGTATGCGTTGAACGACGTGTTCGGGCTGAGTTTCTGGCTTGCCGGAGTGTTCAAGGTTCGATTTCGTTGCATATATGCGGTCAATGACGCAGCTTTGACTGATGTTTGTGTACAGGTCTTTGGGGATACCTCTCAACTCATGTCCCCTTTGCTGATCAGGGTATGCAAAGCCGCTCAAAGGGTTCCAGCGACTTCTGATGTGTTATTGCGCAGGCTATCATTAACTTCGGGAAAGCTCGTATCATGGCTCGCGATGGCGACGGACCGCCGCCGAGCGTTGGTCGTGGTGTCGGTATGGCCCTCGGCCTCTGGATATTGACGATATGCGCGAGTATCGGGCAGCATCAGGTAAGTACCTTCAGGAGCGCATCGGCTTCAGACGAAAACGATATGACTATATTGTGCATGTTATAGTTCTTCTGGAGATCGATGATGACGGGCGTTCTGGCTCGCTCGGCTCTGATCGCGTCCATATACAGGCGTGGCGTCAACTTGACGGGCAAGGCCAGGACAAAGCTGCCGAATGCGGCCTTGGTCAATCATATCTCAACAGATGTGTGTACCGCGTCTCGCTGCCTGTCGTGGATACCTCTGAATGCCTTCAATAGGTCAGCCGCATAGATGCCGCTGCACAATGGTTTGTGAGTGACCTGTCGATGTCCGCTGAGGAGGAGCTGGAAATGAATCTGTTTTCCCTCTAGCATGCCGGTTGGACGGCACCCGTTCAAGTCAGTATCTGTCTTATCATCCTATGTGTTCAGGTACGTCTCGAATATGCCTCTTGTAGAGTCGTGGAATAATTTCGGTCCGTGATAATCACTAGCTCGGTCCGTCGGCGTTGGCGGGTTTCGCACTTTTCGCACTCGTAGCACCTATGCAGACGCACATCATGTCAATGCAGTTCAAAATCCGACGCAAGACGAACGTCTGGACTGACCAGCGTGCTAAGCTCTTGCTGGAAGTTCTGAGCTCCATGCGAATCGTCAAGTATTTCACGTATGAAGTGCCCTTCCTGAATCGTGAGTGCGAGCGGCATCTTCACAAATACGCACTTCCTAACGAATGTGGAACGCCACGCTCAGGCATCTTCAGTATCCGCCACAACGAGCTGAAGGGCGTGCGGAGGATTCAATTCCTCCGATCCCTGAAGTGAGCTGTTCACCCATTGAAATCATAATCGGTGTTACTGATGAGCTCATGTGATATAGCATCGCAACCGCGTTCTCGGTTCCAGCTTTAGCGGCGACACTGGCCTTCCTGACCTACACCCTGACCGCGCACAACTTCAACGAAGCGATCATCTTCTCCTCGCTCTCGCTATTCAACCTGCTCCGTCAGCCGCTCATGCTCATGCCCCGCGCGCTCTCCGCCATCAGTGACGCCCGCAACGCGCTCGGGCGGCTACGCGTCGTATTCGACGCCGAGATCCTGAGCGACGATCCAATCGTCATAGACCCGAATATGGCTGCCGCGCTCGAGGTCGTCGACGCTACGTTCGAGTGGGAGGAGAGCATGGCGGTGAAGGAGGCGAAGGAGAAGAGCGCGAAGGAGAAGGGGAAGGGAAAGAGGGGAGGCGGTGGAGACAAGTCGGGCGCGGCGACGCCGGCGGCGGTGACAGGCAACAAGCCGTTCCAGATGAGGGACGTGAATATGTCGGTGCCGAGGGGGAGCTTGGTGGCGATCGTCGGGCCCGTCGGGAGCGGCAAGTCGAGTTTGCTCCAGGGGTTGATCGGGGAGATGAGGAAGTTGAAGGGGGATGTGAAGTTTGGCGGACGAGTGGGTTATTGCCCGCAGACGGCTTGGATCCAGAATGCAACTCTGGTTCGTGAAGCTCGTTGTCGATCTTTGGCTGCTGGTGTTGACGTTGGTTCTCTCCGTTGTAGCGTGATAACATTGTCTTCGGTCAAGCATGGGACGAAGATCGTTATTGGGAAGCGATCGAGAACGCGTCGTTGGTCGCGGATCTCCAGGTTCTACCTGACGGCGACCTCACTGAGATCGGCGAGAAGGGCATCAATTTGTCTGGGGGTCAGAAACAACGGTTCGTCTTCGATAGGGGATCGCTGGAGGTGTATGTGTGCTTACGAAGACCGCAGCGTTAATATCGCTCGTGCTCTGTACTTTGACGCGGATGTCGTCGTCTTTGACGATCCTCTCAGTGCAGGTACACCGGGCTCTGTCGTTTCGAATATGGCCACGCTCATACATAAATCTCACAGTCGATGCTCATGTCGGTCGTGCGCTATTCAATGACGCTATTATCGGCTCACTGCGAGCACGGGGCAAGAGCGTCATCCTAGTCACTCACGCCCTTCATTTCATGTCACAATGTTCGTCATGGTTACACTGAACTTCATCCCATTGACTTCTGGAATAGGCGACTACATTTATACCGTTGCAAATGGCACGATTGTCGAACAAGGCACCTATGACGAGCTAATTGCGGCGGACGGCGAATTCGCGCGCCTGGACAAAGAATTCGGTGGCGCGGAGCACGACGCGGAAGAGGCTGGTGACGAAGAGGCCGCTATCGAGGGCGACGCAAAGAACACGGGCAACGGCTATGCGCTCGAGCAAGCCAAGCAGAAGTCGCAGAAGCGGAGTGGAGCGGGCAGCGGCAAGTTAGAAGGCCGGCTTATTGTAGCCGAAAAACGTGTCACCGGATCGGTACCGTGGCGGGGTAAGAGATTCGTTCCATGGCCGCTCTCTTACACTTCTGATGTGTTCGCAGTTTACTGGGAGTACTTCAAGGCTGGCCAAGGATACTGGACGGGACCTTTCATCCTATTTTGCATGATCATAATGCAAGGCAGTCAGGTTCGTTAGCGGCTCAGCGTCTGCGCTCTATACTGAAGCAACCACTAGATCATGAACTCGTACACCTTGGTTTGGTGGCAAGCGAAGTGGGTGGCTCTGTATCCATCGCGGATTACCCGGTTTTAATCATTTCCACAGTACCTTCAATCGCCCCATCTCGTTCTACCAGATTATCTATGGCTGTCTTGCCATCTCACAGGCTACATTCACATTCCTTCTGGGCGTCTTCATGGACGTCATGTCCTTCCACGTCTCGCAAAACCTCCACCACCATGCCTTGCAAAACCTGGTTCGTCGGAGCATTGCCCCTAGGGACAGCTTCTGACTGTTTCTTCTTCTACAGTTCTATGCGCCAATGTCGTTGTTTGATACTACGGTACGTCTGTGCTACTTGTTAATCGTCTCGGTTTGACCGAACGTGCTAGCCCCTCGGCCGTATCTTGAGCGTCTTCGGGAAGGATATCGATAGTGAGTAATGCATTCATAGGCGTACATACGGGCTTCTGCTAACGAACATAAAGCTGTCGATGATCAGCTAGCCGGTGAGTAAACGTGTGGTCTTTCATTGTGCCATCGCTGAGGCTGTCCAAATCAGTGTCTATGCGAATGAGTAAGCGATCCGCGTTTCAAGGTTGGTCAGAATATTGACGCATTCACAGCTGTCATTACAATCACTAGCGCTATAGGAGCTATCGTCATCATATCAATTCTCGAACATTACTTCCGTGCGTTCGATCTTACGTCATATTTCGACTGACCTCACGTCGCCTGATTGTCAGTTATCGCCGCTGCTTTCATCGCTTTCGGGTATAACTACTTCGCGAGCTTCTACAGGGCCAGTGCCCGCGAGATGAAGCGCTTGGGTGAGTAACCTTCCACTCCTTACACCCGGGATTATCTCTAAAATGAAACAGATTCGATGTTACGTAGTTTGCTTTACGGACACTTCTCCGAATCCTTGACGGGTATGTCGTGCAAAGTCCCTTCACCGACAGCATTTGATGCAATCGTCAGGTATTCCGACGATACGAAGCTACAAGGAGATACCTCGCTTCATTCGCGAGAACACTTACTACATCGACCTGGAGAATCGTGCCCTGTTCTTGACAGTCACCAATCAGAGGTGAGGGGTGTTGTTTTGAATGTTGTAGATTGCCACTCATAAATGATAGATGGCTTGCCATTCGACTCGACTTGTACGTGCTTGACATGGATTGCGGCTCGTGATACTCAGATTTCTTTCTAGCTGTGGTGGTATGATGATCTTCGTGGTATGTAAATATAGCAAATCGCGTTGTACTCTGCGTAACGAAGTTTGCAGATCGCCATGCTCGTTGTGAATGCCGTTAATGGCATCAACGCTGCGCAAATTGGTCTTGTGTTAACGTACACGAGTGCGTATCAGCAAATGCTCCAAACACAGCTTCCTCACGTCATATCCAGCACAATTGACTCAAATCTTCGGCATGGTGACTCGTCAGTCCGCTGAGGTCGAGGTACGATTGTTCGGTCTCCCATAATTGTCCTGTTCACGCGTACTTCCAGAACTACATGAACTCCGTGGAACGAGGCAAATACTGTTCTCTCGCATGCGGGATTGTGCTAACCCAAAAGACATAGTTGTTGGCTACAGTCGCAGCGATCTCATCGAACAAGAGGCCCCACATGAAAAGCCGGACGTCAAACCACCGCCTGAGTGGCCTACGGAAGGCTCCATCGAGTTCAAGGATATCCGTATGAGTTACCGAAAAGGCTTGCCGGATGTCCTGAAAGGAATCACGATGAAGATAAACGGAGGCGAGAAGATCGGCGTCGTCGGTCGAACAGGCGCGGGCAAATCTTCTCTAGTGAGTGATACGAATTCCGATGGATAGACTTGTTTTAATCATGACATCAACAGATGCTCGCTTTGTTCCGAATTGTGGAGCTGAACACCGGCTCCATCACCCTAGATGGAATCGACATCTCAGCCATCGGTCTCAATGACCTGCGTAGAAAGGTGGGATACTGAAAAACGCACACATGTCATGTTTACTGATAACATTCACTGTAGATTGCCATCATCCCGCAGGATGTACGTGTCGTCTGCCACTCGTCAAAGCATCTCGCTGATCGTCTCTATAGCCTCTGTTATTCAGTGGAACGATACGATCAAACCTAGACCCCTTCAATCTTTATGATGACGGTGAGTCTCGTTGTAATCGCCGTCGAAGAATGCACTCTGATATCGTGTGTTATAGCACACTTGTGGGATGCACTCCGACGTTCCTACCTGATTGAGACCCCGACACTGCCCGAGTCAGAAAAAGCCGCCCTATTGGATGAAGATGCAGGCGTTCGTACACCGCAGTCACGTCGCTTCAACCTTGAGACTGTCGTGGAAAGTGAAGGAGCCAATCTCTCTGTTGGCGAACGTTCGCTTCTCAGCTTGGCCCGCGCTCTCGTGAAGGACAGCAAAGTAGTAGTTCTCGATGAAGCGACGTGAGTCCAGACCAGCTATACTTCCAAGGACCATGCTGAGTATCGGTGTAGGGCGTCCGTCGATCTTGAGACCGACGCCAAGATCCAGAAGACAATTTCCACCGAATTCAGCGACCGCACCCTGCTTTGCATCGCACACAGACTCCGAACCATCATCCACTATGATCGTATTCTTGTCATGGATCAAGGCCAGATTGCTGTGAGTTCTTTCGTTCGTTATCGCGATCTTTCTAGTTGTTGACTCCAGTCCCGCTAGGAACTTGATACACCAATGAACCTTTTCCTCAAGAAGGACAGTATATTCAGGGGCATGTGCGATGGCAGCAACATCACTATGGAGGAGATGGAACGAGCCGAGGCCCAACGACCACATGAACGACTTCATGCGTATGTATACGGGAGCGTAGATAACTCGTGAGATACCTAGACATCATAATATTACGGATCATACAGTGTTTGGATTCCTTGATGGAATCCGCGATTTCAGTTAGAGGGCAGCCTTCACAAACTCCCGTAATTCCTCGTCCGAGATCGTCGTAATCCCAAGCAACTCATTGTCTGGCTTCTGGAACACGGTGTCGAAACGTTCGTTGAACTGCCAGTGTTTGAGCTGCCAGACAAACACTTGAATGTCGTGTATGCCCTGCGCAATCTTCTTGTCCGCCCTTTTCTTCAGGTCCTCGGACTTGCTGTGTGTAACGGACCATTCAGCGCCTGGCGTCAACTCCTTTGCGATGTTCAGAAGCTGGTTCTGGGTGACGACCGCGTCTTGGATGAGCACGGTCCGGTTCTTCGTATCCTCTGGATGATGAAGAACGGACGCGACGGCCTTCGCGAAAGTGGGCATCAACGTCGAGCTAAACCGTTTCACCCCTCCATCAACGATCTCCACCTTGCGATCCTTCAAGGAGCCGAGCAGAAAGCCGAGCAGAAGGCCTCGGTCGAGGAACGGCCCGGTCTGGACGAGGGAGTAAGTAAGGCTCGATCCAGAGGTGACCTTCTTCAGGTAGTCCTGTACTGCCACTTTCGAAGCGAAGACGGGAAGCACTCGAGTAGCGGTATCGTCCACGTTGCTCCCGTATTCGGCAGGGAGGAAGCGTTGGACGCCGGCGATGACCGCGGCGTCGACGAGCTTGGTCTGAGCGGGGACTGCAGCGGCGGCTACAGTGGAGACCACCGCATCCACACCTTGGAGAGCAGCGGCGAGCGATTCTACGGAGTCGTAGTCGACATTCCGGACAATGACGCCGCCCGGGAGGTTGGTAGGCTTATCCGATCGGGACAGTACGATCACGGTAAATCTGGCTGCAAGCAAGGATTTGACAATGGGAATGCCGATGTTGCCAGTTGCCTGCGGCGCGAGGATCAGCGATCAATGACATGCGATGAGTGGGAATGTACGCTTACTCCTGCTACCGCGACTTGCTTGATCGTGTTCATTATAGGCTCGTGTATATGCACAATGCGATGGATCAAGATAACGCTTATGAAGTTGGTGCTCCAAGTTGAAAGCCTGCGAGTGGTCCAGGACGAATCCTTCGGTCTTGAAGTGCAAAGTCAAAGATTTCCCCGCAGTCACCGTATGTACGTAGCGTGAATGGCGTCATCGAAACCTCCGTTTTTCGCCCATTCGCTGATCAAGCTCTTGTTAACACTTGCTTGACTCGTCGATGGGAGAGCAAGACCTCGCACGATACAACAGCATAACGCCGCGCCGTCAAGGATCTCGTCCCGGTCGGTGCCTCCAAAAGCATACATTTGTGAGAGGATCGGCACAGTGTGGTTCGGGTGGGTCATGATGGGTTCTTCCTCGCTGAGTGAGCAAGTATGTAGGATGAGCCAGTCCCGTTGATCGCTGTTGGAAGCGTTATGAACGCCGTGATTTTGTATGCGTTGCAGGAAAGCAACTATATTGAGCCAAGGAATGGCCGGGAAGACGGTCAACCTACAGCCAGGAGTTGAAAGGACCGAACGCAGCGAAGTCGCCGTACGATGCTAGATGAACAGCCGTGACTCGCTCGAGCGATTTCGAGCCTAGGCAAGGTGCAGCTCCCATTTTGCGAAATGATATGATATAGCCGGTCCTGTTTCTGGGGTGACAGCAAACTTTCAATGTAGTGGGGCTCCGAGCCTCAACCTTTCCTAACGTAAATCGCTGGCGATATGGGTTATTGAAGCGGAGGAGCAGGTCAAATGTCTGCATTGTAGGCTGTGATTGCTTTGAGTCCGTGAATAGAGCCGAACTGAGCAACTGACTCATTGTGATAGTTCGCACAGCTGATCATGACACGTTGAAACCCCCGTAAGCGGAAGGTGAGACCAACATTCCACTCAGAATCAGCAACACGACTGCGTGGCGTTTGCCTCTGCATGATTAACCCGGAGTTCCACATTTCCCGGCATCGCACAGTTACGTGTTGCGAGCTCGATCCCGTATCCAGGAACGAGATGGACGGAGGGATTGGGCGCCAAAGGTGTGCGAACGGCGGCTGTAGCTAGTGGCGCGAGCGCTATACATCACGTCCTGACGGGTAGGTACATCCTGAGAGGATGACGGATCGATGATAGATCTCTCGCGAGGACCTCGCGCGCTGAATCCGCGAAGAAATGGAGACGGAGATAGTGACCATGAGGTTTGCAATTGAGTTTTTTCATACATGATATACAGTGCTCGTTGAAAGTCTACGGAGCAGAGCATAGGTAGTCAATAAACATGACAAAGTCACAAGCAAGCAGATACCTGCTACGTCAAACGCTGCGGCGCCGAAGTTGGTTATCACTTTGTAAAGCTCATGAGAGGCCAAATTGCGATCCTAGAGTCCTTTCCGCCGCTGACCAACCACTGCCCGCGCCTGCGCTTCTCGGCGTCGTCTATCTCGTCGTCGTCATCGGCCTCGTCTTGTACACCTTGAGAATATCGGGTCCTCGCGAAATGTACAGTTTGACAACTTCCTTTATGATAGCTCAATGTGCCCAGAGGTTTTAGACTTTTCGTGCTGAACAATCGAACCCTGTGCTCTATGGCATGAACGGGATTTCTGGAACTGAAAGATTCGAGCATAGCGTACCTGCCATCCCAGCCCGCGATGGCACAGATCCGGCCGTCATCGCGGATCGCGACGGCGGCGTTTCCGACCTGCTTGATCGGATAGGCTTTACAGCCTGCTTCCACAGAAGATTCTGCACCCTACTCATACGACATAAAACGTCAAGCCTACGGACAGTATTTCAGTGCTGCCTACCTCTACATCGTATCGTCCCACAAGATGATCGGCAGAAACCGTGAACGCAGTCCTGCGATCCGGCGTGACCGCCATTGACATAACTGCATCCGTGTGAGGTTAGATCTCTGGAATGTATGTATGGGGAGGAGGAACGCAGACGTGCCGGACTCGACGTGCAATTTAGCCGTCCACCGGCTCTCCCATCCCATGCCTTCGATGGACTTCTGATGCCAATCGCGAGTGTAGCTCCACAGTGTGACGGCACCGCTTTCGTATCCGAGTAGGAGTCGTAGATCGCGCTGAGTGGACGTGGCGGGGTGCTGATATTCGAAGAGGTGCATGGACATGATGATCCCTGCGCAAATGCGTCAGTTGTCGTCTCAGAGATGGGGAGGTGAGAGGACGTCATACCGTATTCGCCTCGTCCATCAATGGCAGGCGTCGAGCCTCCCTTCTTGCCTATGGCCGCGTGAAGACGATCTCGAGCGGGTAATGACCAGACATCGGCCTTCGAGTTCGGTGAGCAAGAATGTAGATCGACAGGCCTAACGGATTACACACCATTGACGACTCAACGAGGTTCGGAAGAGCAACAAGGGCTTGAGGTTCCTCGTCGTCGTTTGATGGTAAGGACCACAGAGAGAATCGGCAGTAGTTCAATGCATTCACGTCCATCGAGTACAGCAGATCGGGTTTCGTATCTTCATGCACCGCAGCGGAATCCCCCACCGATATTGAAGGCGCCAGGACGCGCTTCCATACATGCAACTTGTTATCTCGGCCGTGTCTATCTGACGATCCAACGCTCAGGTCGGTCTACGGCGTCTCGGGTCGAGCGAAGGACGGAACAGACGTGATGACGGAGTTCCCCCATTCTTGGACGCCCAGTATGCCGTCTGTATGCGCGTTCCAGGCGGCCAGGGGGCGCATCGTACGCGTCGAGGTGATCACCACTCGACCAGAGGTGTCGCCCGAGTACAATCGCTCATTGTCGTTTGAGAAGGCGAGAGTGCTGATCTCGTCTCCGTGTATCCGGAGGATGCGGAGAGGAGATGGTGGTGGTGGTGGCTGAGACATAGATCATCGTGCAGTCGGGATACTGTATGTCACTTCGTTCAACGGTTGAACGGCCCACTCATGTATTGGTATTGAGATTTCTGGAACAGGTCACAGAGCTACATAGTGCATGTCAGAGAATACATTTATATACTACGTGTCCGGCCTGTGTACGAAAATTTTTGAACGTGGACGTAGGCAAGCTAAACATGTCAACATAGCAGTACCGGTCTCATTCCTGACTCGCGGTCGCCTCTCCCTTCCATGACGGGTGTCCCGCGACTTTGCAAAATTTCTTGTGTGATGGCCAGTCCTGACGCTGACAGGACACCCTATATATCATCAGACCATGGTTCGCCCCTTCGGGTCCTCATGAAAGACAGCCACGAAGATCGTACCCGCAATAACGGGTCAGCTTGCACCCGGAGCAACGCATGAGGCCTTCATTGTTCCACGGCGCCACGTCGGCGGTGCTATCTTTCTTGCATCCGGCGCAGCTCGCGAGGAGCGGGTATGGCCGGGCGGGATCGTTCAAGGGTGGGTACGGCGAAGGAGCGTAGTTCGGGTAGCCGGCGCGCTCTGCCGCCTCGCGTTCCTTTGTGTTGTAGGCGGTCCTACACGGCCCTGGATCAGCACTGCACAAGGCGTGCAACTGTCAGAAGAGCGGGAGTACGGCAGTCAGCGTTCGACGAGGGCTCTGAATGAAGCTACGGGTGAGACGGACATAGACGTAGACCTCTGGGCGGTCTCGGTATGAGGCAACCGAGGAAAGTGTGACGCGGGCTGGTTTGCCTGTCTCGAGTGGCGTAAGCTACGTCGAGGATGGGGGACGGCACCCACCGCAGAATTCGCAGTCCCACGGGCCGCTGTGCTGGATGTTCTTCGAGATGGATTCAAGGTAGACGTACTTCCACTCGGCCTCTTCCGTATTGGACATACCAGAGCGAGGGTATCGAGGGCGTATCTTCAGGTCAAGTTGCCTGTCGCCGCTGAGTGCATGGCAGAGTGCGACATTAGCGGCGCGGGGACTATGAAAGATGGCGTAAACGCACTGGCCAAATACGCAAACACTGACGTCCAGCTCTTCACCAGACATGATCGCAGGGGTACGTTGTTGTATGATCCAGTCGAGTTGGAGAATGAATGCCTTTTATCGATAGCATGGTAGCTTCGCACAGCTTCTTTTATTCAAACATCGCCTTCAAGTGAAGGTAAAGGACAAAACGGGAGAACAAAGGCGGACAAGCACACCCAGCCGGGCAAGATCCTCGATGCAGAGCACCAGTGATTATCATGAGCAGATCTTCTGCTGTACACCATTGCATGAAGGGGTGATAAGAGATGGCGCAAGGATACATGAGACTCCGCGTTTGAGGGAAATGTCTATGAAGGCAAACTAGAGAAAAGCACTAATGTCCATGAACGGAAATTCACCTCATCTATACACATAAAGACCTTCATAATGTTAAGGCACTTTGGCTGAGTGGTTAAAGCGAGAGATTCGAATGGTGACAACCGTGCGAAACATCTCTTCCTCTCTGAGGGCGCAGGTTCGAATCCTGCAGGTGTCGACATATTTTGACGTGGGGGTATGGCGCCGCACCAGGGTGCGCGCCGGTCCGACTCCCCCCATTACTTTTCTCACCATCAAATTTTCTTGACAAATGTAAAATACATGCAGACAGGCACTCGCAAACATTATTCAACGATTTCAGGGGCGCAGCAAGACGGTGATGGAAAGGAGGCTCAGAGAGACACAATCCACACCGTTCTTATCGGTGTACATGTTCGTCGAAAACTCAATCAGAGCAGTAGATTCATGAAGGTCACCGTTGTATGGTGGCAGTGACAATGGTTGAAAGCCTGGCTCGTTTGGAGTAACCTTCGACATCTTCGTGCCATCAAAAATCGGGACTACATATTTCATGAGAAAGTATGCAAGGCACCAATGAAACCATGCTTACTAGATTCTGAGAACTGAAGGGATGTCTTCCCTGACCTTTGGAACTTCGCAAATTTGGACGGGCTCTTTGCTGTGCTCTGTCCTGTGTATCCGCCCTGTAACTTGCCCGCACGTGTGTTGTACTCCAATGCACTGTCATATAACTGGATGTTTACTATGCAAATACACAAGATCAGATACGTGGTGTGAACTGGAATATAGATTAGCATACACTGGCTTTTGTGGATCATACAACATCCCGAGTAACACGACAAACCTATTGAACTTGAATGCGAGACCCAATCCCCTGACACCACGGATATGGGAAGCAGTGTCTCCCAGCTGGCATCTGTCAGTGCCCGTGTAGTCCTCGATGATGGGTGCAACAATCCAGAACACAGCTGTATCTGAAGTACCGCGGTGATTGACATATTTGCTCATTTTTGCCTCTTTCACTGTAAACCAGGTAGGGTCGCATTGCGCTGCAAACAATTGATGTACACAGTGGGCAGTCTAGATAGACGCAGGCGACAGTCATGTGAGACGGGGCCGATAGGGGTCAATAATGTGATAAAGTTGTTCAAGGCATGTGGCTGTAATAGCACAGCAAGCACGGCAACAATCAGCATCAGCGAGAGTCGGAGATAAACGGGGGCAGGAATTGGGCATCACCACATGTGACAGTATATCACGCCAAAATCATGATTTCATCACGTTTTGGCAGGGGTCACTTGACAGTCATATCACAGTCACAGTCTACCACACACCTACCAGATCCCAGATGATAACCAACTCCAACTGCCGCAAGCTCTGGGGAGTCAGAACCAGACTATATGGATGTTTTGAATGCGTGGTAATACAGTATACACACGTTCTGGCAATTATTGTTGGGACAACTGTACACTAATACATGTCCGAGTTGATCAGCTGGGTATCCTCTGTGACAGTCATGCAGCCAACCGTGTTGTGGTCTGCATCACGGGCAAGATGCTGAATGAAACACAAAAAGACAAAGACATTTTGCAACACCATGGATACTTGAAGATTTCCATCTCTATCATAGATCTGGTCAAGTGGGCGTAAGCACTCGTTGTAGAGGAAGGTTAGATGATTGTTTGGGATGGACATCAGTTCACTGTAAGACTCATCATTTTCAGTGAGACTTGACTCTGTGCAAGTCGGCCCAGAGCTGAGCGCATTTGCGCAAGCAGATTGGTGCATACTACCATGCAACAGTGGTGCAGATTCACAGATGGCATCTGCCTTGACCTTCTCACTGTATAGCCACTACAAGGATGCCCATATCAGACCACTCCTTGGTCATCGAGCGTCTATGCTGGTAGCACAAGCATGGCTCAGCATTGTCACCGCCCTGCTGTCCATTGACTTCAATGTGGGCCACCGAACCCAGGCACCCCCTATGTCAATGATCACATGCCCCATTCTGATAACGTGTAAACACTCTTCACTGTGCTTTGCCTTTGTTTCAGGCCATCACATTTGTTGTTCTTGAGACCACGCATGGCCACAGAACATACATGGAGAGTGAGCAAAAAAGCAACATATATCCACTGATAAATCCTCATTGTTCCCATTTGATTCCCTTGGTAGTTGTCACACCAATCTGCTCCCCGCCGATCTTCTTTGCCGACACCGATCCTGCCTTTCCTGTTTCGGCTGAGAGCAGGATACATTTATCATATGCACCGGGCCACCGGTGGCTCAACACCCCGGTGATTCTGAATCTCTGAACGGATTCAACTCTGACTTTCCTGATTCCTGTTCCCTTTGATCTGACATCATAGTTTCCCTTTGTAGACTTTAGTTTCCCGTTGCTTGCAATGGATCTTTTGGACTGTTACTTCCACCCCTTCTCTCAATATGTTCCCTTTGTATTCCATGTACCTTTCATCTCCATATGTGTCCTTTGTGTGTCAAGTGGTGCCTCTGAACTCCGCATCTATGACTTCACCATTGTTCCATTTTATGTATTTAAAACATCAAACTGTACTGTAGAACTTCAGTTCGAATATTGACTAAGCTTTATACTCTCTCTCCCTGCAGACTCAGAGCGCGTAGCAGCCTAGCGCATGAGCTTAGGCTTGGTCCGCATCCGTACTCGATTCCACCGACCTCTCCAACTTACCGACCCGATGCTGACACGTCTCCAGCTTTTCTCGCCTGCATGTTTTTGGCACGATAATACTATCAGCGCTCGATACCTCCAAGCTGCCTCTTCCTGATGCCTCCTGTTGGCCTAGCAAGGATCTGATCAATTTCCTGATGAGTCAAGGATCAAAACGTAATACATAGGCCCACCTAGGTATCTTTAGGGGAAGTATCGAGTAGGAGGTGTTTGCTTGCTACAACCTCCCGACATTTCTGCAGGAATGGCTCGTCGATGGACGTGCTGTCAAATGCAAAGGGAAATTAGAAGAGTAATGCTCCATTAAGATGACGCGTATGTACTTAGCCAATTCTTGGAACCGATGTTCGTCCTTGAGGGCAGAGGAGGTGATCTCCCGGGGGTCGTGTAGACTATCTTTGAGTCAAAAGCCTTGATCTTCTCTTTGGCCCCATGTAAATACTCAAAGTAGAGTGGGACTTTTGCTGTGTCCTTGCTGCCTAAGATAATCGCTAATGCCAACGGTGTGTGTCCCTCCTATTAGAAATTAGCAACTCCTCTCATGGAGAGCTGCCAAAGAACATACCGGCTTGGACAGCACCCAATGGGAAAGAGCAATCATTAATAGCCACCACGTCGGGGGTGAGGAGAGTGAGGCTGTCTTCCGATGAAAGAGGGAGGGGTATTGCTTCTTATAGTCTTGAATATGGACCAGTGTCTTGTGCAAAGCCCCTTCCACCATGAGGTCAGAGGCAATGCATTCTGTGTACTGGTAATCTGCACAAACAAGGAAGGCGGGGGCGTCATCTGGTTTGAGATGCAAGACCGAGGGGAAATCTTCAGGGAGGCTTTTCACCGTGTACTGGATAATTGATCTGTGGGATGTGGGAGCCTTTGAAAGGGCGGCCTCCTTGGCTTGAAGAGCAGCTTGTCTGGCTGCCTGAACTGCAAGATCGACGTTTCAGATAGCGGCAGCATTATTAGCATAGTTGGAGGGGAGGGTGGCAGCGGCAGCGGCAGCAGTCATGCCCATGGGAGGAGCACCTTCAGCGGAGGCCAGAGGGGCAGCAGGAGCACGGGCAGCAGGAGCGTCAGCGGCAGGGGGAGGGGCATTGACAGTAGGCGGCACCGCCGCCGGCGCCCGAACTTCAGTCCAGGGGCCAGAAATACGTTCGACAGCGGCAAGGCTGAACGGACTGGCCAGTTCTGGACGTGCACGATTGGAAACTACAAGTGGGTAAGAAGGGATCCCGGTGAGGAGATGGATGACGTCGGTAAGAAGATCACTGGCATGCCACTTCGGAGGAAGCATAGGTCCGTGTCAAAGACCTTTGAACGAAGCTAGGTCCAGTGGGATGATGATCTCGTCTGACCTGGATCCTTCGACGAAAACCACACCGAATGCATCATTCTCTGGTGGGGTGCGATTGTATGGAAGCCACATCTGCATGATAGCTCCGATGAGTTGCAATATATTGTGGTGATATACGGCGCCACATACAAAAACAAACGGTTTGATCAAAGGTGATATCTTCTCCTGCATGTGCTGAGGAATGGGATGATCACTTTGAGTCTGGGAATATAAAATCATCCTCCCCTCCCTCCTCGAAAGAGCCCCAAAGCAGTCAAGGCTTCCCAGCCATGTGTAGGATCCCTTCTGTCCTGGTGATGACGAGTTTAGTGGTTGAAGATCACAGACCATGCATGGAAAAGGATGGGATCAATGGTTTGCATAGCCTTGACAAAGGTATTCTCGAGTACAGCTGCATGAGGCAGCTTCTTGTGAGCATGGTAGTGAGCAGGATCTAGGGCATTGAGTACATAGGTGATGCCCTCTGAGTACAACTGGAGTGCCAACACTAGATTGGAGGAGCTGCCAACTGCTGGCTGGTCTTGCACATGTCTTGGGAAGGCTTGGCAGCCTCATGCTGAAGTACTGGGTAAGGATACCAGTGGTTAGTGACAGAAGTACAAACACACCATATGGCCTATCGCATGCCATGCAGGACAGAGATTGATGCAACTGCACACCTCATCAGTGCCAGCCAAATGGTAACTAGCCCTGCTTCTACAATCATTCCTTTTGGCACCTTGCAAAGTCTCCATTGTCATTCCAGATGAGTGGCCAAATTGGAGCAGTGCTGTGTATGTTTCAATCTAGAATAACAAATGGAGTCAGTGGTGTGGCAAAAACAACTACTGGAAACATACCCAGATCTTCCGTGTGCCAAAATTGTTGATTTGCATGAAGAGAGGCACATCAGTCTTGTCAACTCCAATACACAATTCTTCTGGGGCAAGTTCCCAATCATCGATATCCAGAGTGTCAATCAAGTTTGATGATGAATACTTCTTCTTGGTGAGGATGCAAACTTCCTTCTTGAAATCAATCCAAGGAAAGTGTTCTACATGGGCGATGAGGTGTACATTGCCGGAGCAGGTATTAATCAGTCATACTAGGAGCTTGGAATGCATTGTGACACTTTTTGGTGAGAGTACGCTGAAGGTCATGGATTGCATGGTTGAGTTGCCCATCTGGTGATCTAATGTTGCATCAGTAATGCCATTGTACATCATAATTTGTTGACAGGCTATACCTTACTGGTACATGTAGGGGAACTTTGTCTTCAGATAAGGGCATTAAATCTGACTTGCTATCTGTGGTGGCATCTTCTGGAACTGTGGCATTGACAAGACACTCCAACTCCTCACAGAGTTCCTGAGGAACATCAGCAACTTTCTATCATCTGAAAAAATCTAGATCACTATATGGCACTACATAGTCCCATATAGCCTCCATAGGTCCATAGCGATGTCCTTTGCTACCCGTGCTAAATATCTGCCAGCCAATGCTATCATAGTGCTATAGGTGCTATAGTGGGTACTGTCATGGCTATAGTAGCTATGTAGGGCATACCTCAGTGCTATATAGCTCACACCTTAGTGCTACTGAAACTGTATATCCTATGTAAGCTCTACAGCAATCATATGCTCGATAGATACTGTAGTCATCTGAATAAAATCACTTTTATTTATTTATTATATATCACTGGTAATCATTCAAATTCTAGTAGAGTTATTATTTGTCATCATATTTTATATAAGTGACAAAATTGTATCGAGTACTACTAGTGAATGTATTGATTACGTAAGCAGCATAGACATTCCGCCCGTAGGCATAGGGGGAGTGGGGGAGGGTGCTGGCGCGGTGATATCGTCGCAGATGAGGAAAGCGAGAGTGGCACTGGCGACAGGCTCCGTGGTGACAGATCGGCGCACCACGGGATGAGGGACAGAGGACGCCGCGTGCGGCTCCGAGCGAGAGAGCATGCCAGCAGCGGCCGCTTGAGAGCCTGTGAGCTGTACGCTGCCGCTGCGATGTGGCATGGCGATAGGGTGAGCCGAAGCAGAGGGCATCGAAGGGGGCAAAGGAGCCTCCGCTTGGCAACGACGAGCGAGCTTGCCGCTTGGGCAAGTGACCTTCGGCACCATGTGGACGACGATTGACTTCTGCTCCTCCGTGTCATGGCACGCCTCCAGTACTCGTCTTTCCCTGTTTTCCCGCATTCCCCACACGCTCTTTTTACCCTTTCAGGTTTCCTAGGAGCTCCCAGATACTCTTTCTATTCTTTCGGGGCTTCCTAGGAGGTCCATACATTCTTCTATCCTTTCGGGTCTCCTAGGGCCTCCGCACCTTGCGCGGCCTTCCTAGGCCATTCCACTGGTCACGTGCCGGGCACCCAAGGAGCCTCCCTCTCTCTCATTGGACCATCCCTCATGTTGCTGATGGATCACTCAGCTACTATATAGTCGCCTGTCGCACCAGGGAGCAACTCAGACTTGTTCTCTCAGTTGCTTCCCTGCCTTGTGCGACAGGTATGTGTATTCATCTCATATCTTTGTATATATTCTCAGTTGCTTCCCTGCCTTGTGCAACAGCATCTCCACCGCCGTCCTGGGGGATCCGCGCCGCTCCTAGGAGCTCCAGCGCGTACTCTGACAGAGACATGCTCGGTGGGGCAGCCTTCAGATGGAAACAGTGCGCCATGGTCATAAATCCGGCAACCTGCAACATAACGCCACGGTGAAGCATCTGGTTGGTGGCAGGATGGAAGCGAAGGGTGTAGAAGTCACCATGTTGCGTCCAATGATATTCTTCAATGACCATTAGCTGGCATTCATGTCTCCAGACTGCCGCTTCAGGGGCTTGCCCAATACCCTGGCCACTGTGAATCAAAGCAGGCGATGGGTATGTGGTTGCTTCTAGATGAGCAGGACTTACACAACAAAGGTTCGTGTTGGTCCAAGAAGAGCGTTCAAGGGGACAAATTTGACCTGGACGTTATCTTCCAGAAAATGTTGCCATAACATCTGTTGCCACAGTACGTTGGTCTGCTTCTTGCCAGGAAAGAGCTGATAAGCAATGAATAAGATGAACACTTGTGCAAGAATATCGACCGTTGGTCCAAAAAAGTATGGGAAATCAGAGTATGCAATATGAGGCATGTTGTCCCTGATCTGCTTGGTCCAGATGACAGGGGTGTTGATATCAGGACCTGTGAATGGAACAAATGACTTGACCCTCGAGTGTACAAAACCCAATGGCCAGCGTTGGCGTTCCTATCAGGTTGTAAGCTCAAACTCTCAGAGCTCATATATATAACACTTACAGGAGATGGGTATACAGTGATTGTAGTATTGCTCAGGGGGTTGGTGCTGGGAACAAATACTGCTGAAGGTGCTACATGATGGCGAGTATGACACTGCTATAGGTTTCAAGAGAATAAGCAAGGTCATGTTTACATACCTGAGGCGACGGCGACCATGAATGAACAACAATTGGGCTAACGGTGCGGCCAGAATGTTGTATTGACATCCGTTCCAGCTGCTCAGGAGAGGACAGATGGATACTATCAGGAAGAGTTGGAAGCTGGTTAGCCTGATCTGTGCTGGTAAGGGCTGGTGTTGGAGGCAGATTGGGGGAAGCTGGAAATGTATACGTAGAGGTTGGGATGCTCGATATCTGGTCAAGAGCATGGAGCAAACCCCTTGACCCCACAGGTTCGGTAGTAGCCGTTTGGGTGAAAAGATGTAGCATTTCGTGAACGGAATTAGGAAACTATAATACAGTCAGTAATGCAATCTGAGATTATGCTACTGATATTGGATACGTACATGATCATCCTCAACAACAGATGAAGGAGAGGGCAGCTCAGCGTGTGGCCTGTCACCAGGCTCAGGACTACCTTGAGGCTCCAGGACACAATTGGGTAAGCATACCACTGGCATGCCCATGATACGGTGAGGCCAGCAGCTGTGAGTCTTATCGGGATGAAGAATATCATCGTGACCCTGAGCCAACGCTCCAAGAGGTCCCTTAAGATGTCCAAAACGTGGAGCTAGACAACAATGATCAACATCCGTGTGCGCTTATATTATAACAGACAAACCGATGATAAGGATAGGAAGACGGTCAAGGTGATTTTGTGTACTGGCATATGGCTTCTTGAGAAGCGTTGCAGTGGTGAAGGTGTCCGGAGTTAGTGATGCAGGCTTATACGATACGTTGCCGGTGGCACGCGATGTTGAACCAGGGGCTAACAAGAGAAACTCCATGGTCGTGACACTATATGTTATGTCAAAGGGACGGCAGGACACCACGACACCAAGTTCCTCGCAGCGTGCTAAGACCAAGTCATTAAGCTGTCGCCACACTGAATCGGTGCCGCTAAGCTCGAATGTCCAGGTGAGGTTCGTGTTCTGAGCACGGAGTTGCATTTGGCCAAATTGATTGTTGTTATATGTAACCTTTGGAGCAGCATAGATCCCAGCCAGGTCAGAACCTGTCTCACGAGGCTGAATTACATATAAGAGAACGGTATAGTCCATAGCGAAGACATGACTTACCACCCATGGAAACAACAGTCCGCGGAAGGTTGTAGTGGATGGTACACCAGATGGTGGGCCTATGGCTCTGGTGTTGGACAAGCCTTGAGGAAAGGGTCGGGGGTTGGTTAGCCGCTGGCCATCACTGCGGCGGATGATGAGCTCACGGTGGCGCTCAGCTGCAGTTCGACATCCTGCCTCGCCACCAATGGCTGCCCTGAGACCGATGAATGCTTGGATAGGGGAAGCCAAGGGGATACTGGCAAGGGCAGTGGTCACCCGAGCTGGTGCGGAGGGAGAGCTGGTGGCAACAGAAGGGAGCAAGTCGGGATCAGGCAATGTACTAATAACAAATGTAAGGTCAGGGCGGAATGATGTTGTTGACATACTCACATTGCACTTCCAGTATTCCGGAGATTGTGGACACCAATGGGCTGGCCACATATACATGCAGAGGTCAGCCTCCAGACAGGCTCCAGCTAGGTAACAGAGTCAATAGTGGAGAATACAGAACATGGGTAGGCAGGTGTACCAAGAAGAACCCCCCGCATTGCTGTGTTCCACCACGGGCCATAGAAGTGTTTAAACTTCCAAGGGGAAGGCCATTGAGTGTATGGCAGTAGTAAGGGCAATCACGGAAGGAGCAATGTTCCGAGCCATGGGTAGGGCACTGAATAACACTGCGTCAAAACAGGCATCCAACACGCAATAGTGTGAACATACATAGTGGACCATGGACGGACTGTGAGGGGTTTGAGGTCCATCAGACAGCACAAATCCAGCACATCTCCGGTCAGGAGGTTTGCTTGCTCTGCAGATGACACAAGCTCCACGTTCCTCCAGAACAGTTGACGACATGACAGAGGGGGAAGGGTTGGGGTGAGAACTTTGCATCAACAGATCGCTCACATTTAATACCATCTGATATCTGGGAAAGCGAATGAAAATGGATGAATTTGAGTGAAAGTGGATGAAAGTGGGTGAATCTAGGTGAATCCAAATGAATCCGAGTGAAAGTGAATGAATCTAGGTGAAAGTGCGTGAACCGAGTGCACTCACATGAATTTGCATGAAGATGCGTGAAAATGGATGAATATCCGGCATGAATCCGCATGAAAGTGTGTGAATCTGAATGAAAATGAAAAACTGAGTGAATGAATTTGGATGAAATTGGATGAACAGTGAACAGGTGTGGATTATGTGGCTGAATGAATTTGAATGAATTTGAATGAACTTGAGTGAAGGACAGATAAGAACTCGTGGCTGTGCTTGAGACAGATGAAAACGAGTGAAAGTGAATGAAAAATGAAAACGAGTGAAAAGGAATGAAAACAAGTGAACACAGATGAACTTGGGTGAAAACGAGTGAAAACGGATGAGTTTGAGTGAATCCGCATGATTTTGGATGAAAATGCGCGAATTCACATGAATTCTCAGACTGACTTTATTTTTGTCCGATACGGACCACCATAGGCAACGGCTGTCGACTGCACGAGTGGCGTACGTGCAGCGCAGCAACCGGCTGTTCCGCTACCGGGACCTCGTCGGCAATATACCTACCTACCCGGCGGCGAACGCGGCGATCGAGGCTGTGCGATTTCTACTCACGCCACCACGGCCCATGGCTCGTTGGCCTACGAGTGCCTCCATGCTATACATACATATCTTTGTCTTGATCTTTCCATAGTCTCTTCGGCTGGACGCGCATTGAAAGCACGGTAGCAGAGAATCTGGCTAAGGTTATGACAGCAAAAGGGTCTGTAGACTTGTCCGAGGTGATCCCGGACAGCGAGGACGAGGATTACGCATCGCCAACCGGACCGGGGATGGATAAGGCCATTGGTAAGCAAGCCCATGTCCAACATATGCGTGCAGGGATTTATCTCAGCTGTTGAAGACCAGGCGTCCTTCGTCGAAACCGCAGATACCACCTTTGCTTCAGCCCGACGTGACGCGACGATCTCGAGCATCACGTCTTTCACGCATAAACCGCCAGCGGTCGACTCTGTCGTCTCCACCATCGAAACGGCGTCGACGTCGAGCGCGAAGGCGCGTCCAAAACCGCGTCCGATCAAGACGTATAGCAAGGCGTCGCGGTCGCCCCCAGAAGCCGGCCCCAGCAACCTCGACTCGTCGCTGTATGCAGGAGCGGCTCCAGAACACGACAGCATCACTGCGCGTGTGCCGAACGCGACTGCAGGTGACGTGCCCTTCTCAAGTCTCGCGGACCGCGCCAAAATGCGTCGGCGGAAGGCGATGGTACCAATACCAGACGCCGACGTTATCGAGCTAGACTGGGACTCGGACGACGAAGCCATCCAGTCCGCGAACACGTCAAAGCTCAAAGCTCCCTTCAGCAAGTCCAAGTCCACAGCTACGGCCAAGGATCGCGACACAGCTCCACCCAAGAAGAAGACCAAGACGTCGAAGAACGTCAAACCCAATGTTCAGAATGACGATGACGACAACGCGTATTCTTCCTCCCTCTATCGCAGAGACCCTCCCGCGGAACCCGACCCATGCAAGAAAGCACTGCCCAAACCTCGCCCGCTTGGCCGTAAACGCGCATCCCCACCGCCACTCCCTCCTTTCCACGCGGAACCGCTGTTCATACCCTCCCAAACCGACCCCGAGCCCTTTGCGCCACCCCGCTCTCAGGAATCCCTGATCACCCTCCCCATCGCCACGAGCGACTTCGGCTTGCCGCCGTCCTCCATCCTCCCGAACTCCACGCCAGACTCGGTGCCAGCGCCACGACGCCAAGTCGAGGTCGTGATGCCGCTGCCCCCGCCCCGCATGCCCGAACCGAGCAACTTCTTCGCTCCCAGTTCGTCTGCTTCCGGTATACCAGGTCTCGGGAAGCCCGAGAGTTCCCGCGGCGATCAGGAAAGGCATCCTTCAGACTCGGGCGTCGACCTCGACGCCGACTTCGCTCTGGACAACCCAAAGCCGAAGAAGAAGAAGCGATCCAAGGTGGACGCGGAAGACGAGGCCGACTGGGACGGGGCCGAGCAATCCTCGACGAAGAAGAAGAAAAGCACGAAAAAGGAGAAGGAGAAGGGCACGAAGAGGAGGCCGACGAAGAGCTCGACACCTGCAAATGATGCAGGTGTCAAAAAATCGGCGAGGGCGAAGGCGAAAGGCAAGGAGACGCTGAAGGTCACCAGCGCCGAGTTCATCGTCGACTCGGAAGACGAGGATGGGCTCGGCATCGCTCCGAATCCGGCGCCAGCCCCGCAGCTACAAGGTTCTAACGCGGATCCGGTGTCAGACGGGGACGATCCCCTGGCCCTACCGCCGTTTGACGGTTCCAGGACCGACAAGCCTCCAGCCCGTTCACGCACCCAGCATATCATCAGCTCCGATGACGACGAGCCCGTCGAGCAACCTGCACTTCCAGCTAGCGAGAAGATATCTGCCAAGGCGAGCCGAACAGGAACACAAAAACGCAAAGCCAGGCCGAAGGACACGGACGACTTTGCGGACGGTGACGACGCTGAGTATGGGGCGATGCCGCCCCCGAAGCGCAAAGCCGGCAAATTGGGCTCTAAGGCGAAGAAAGACGCGAGCTCACTTGCTGATAGTAACGACGAGCATGGTCCTGCCCGCAAGCCGGCGAAACCGAGTACAAGCTCAAAGAAGAAGCAAAAAACCGTCGCGAACGAAGACGATGACCATGACGATGTCCGCCCAGACGTACCCAGAACCACGCATGCGCGCTCTGACCTGCCGGGTGACGACGAGGACGAGCTGACTCCCACATCGGATCCCGATCCAGTGCAACCTCTGGCCGGATCGAAGGAGAACATCCGTCCGTCCACGCCACCAAGATCGCAATCGTCGCGCTCCTCGGCCGTCGCTCTGCCGTCAAAGCCCCGGTCCACTTCGCCCGCCGCTCCTGTCACACCTGCTCCTCTACCGAGACCTGCGAACACGACTTTCTCGGCTGTCAGGCGCTCGAGCAGCATCGCCAGCACGAGATCAACGCCCATGTCAGAGCTCATCCGCCGAGCGTCCGCGAAGGCGGCAACGGCTGGCGCGCCATTTTCCTCCCCCGCACCCAACGGCAAGAGCTATTCGCCGTTCGCGAAGTCATCAAGGTAAGCGCAGCATTCATATGCCATGCAAGGCGATGCCTGACTTTCCCCAGATCCGCGTTATCACGGATTGCGCCCTTGCATCCCAACCGACGTACGCCACCTCCAGCCCCTCCTCCGCCACCGCCCAAGAAGAAGACGAAGAAGGAGCTCGAGATGGAGGAGCAGTGGGAGATGGAGCTAGGTACGCGATTACCCCTTGAAGTCATCTTCAAGCTAATGCTGCCGCCAGAGGATACCGTGGATGGTTGGCACGCAATGACCAATGAAGAACGTGCGTTGCTGAGGAGAGCTAAGCGGGATCGAGAACTCGGACTCTTAGAAGACTGAGCGCACTGGTGGATCGTATCGGACGCTGCTTGCCTTTATACCATCTCATAATCGTGTACTGTTATACTCGTTCGTTGGCGTTGAGCTCGTGCTCCGACTCACAAGATGTCGCTCGTCCTTTGCATCACTATTCGCTCTGTATTTTCGCTAGTACCCTCGCCTTACGCATCCTGCCTCGCAAGCGCGCCCGTTCTCTACGCTCATGCGCCTCCTCTGCCTCACGCTTCGCCTCCTTCAACATGGACACCACCATCCTGGTAGCCTCGCGATCGCCTCGACTCCGAAAGGCTCTGATAAACATCTTGTACATGGGCCGCAGATGTCTCGCGAAAGAAATCGGGCCGGAGACGCTTGGAGGTAGCGGTATGGTCCCCTGCTTCCCGCTCGGGTTGGTGCCGAAAGGCCTTGACTCCGGTGCGGATGGCGAGCGATAGCCACTCACTACCAGCTGGTCGAACAGCATCCGCAGCTTGACGCTGTCCGCCAGGCGCGGCCATAGCAGCGTCGCTTTAACGAGGATGTTGATCGTAACACGGTCGGGGATCGCGCCCTCGTTAGCGACGAGGCTGTCGAGCATCCGCAGGACGTGCTGGAAATGCTGCCTGTTTCGAGTGCGTCGGTCTAGGACGTGGCCGTGGAGCACTATGTTCCCGAGGACGCTGCGTTGTTGCATTGGTAAGGAGGGCGATCTCGATCGTAGATGCAGGTGTGCTGCGCGTAGGCGCCCAGCCCTGACCAGCGCGTTGAGTGCGACCCGCGTGTGTGGACGTTCGCGGGTCCCAACCCCGGACGGTCGGGTGAGGTGGAGGCTTGCGACGCGCGGAGGAAGAGTGGCGTAGGTCTGCAGGATGTGGCGCGGAGACCCAGGTGTGATATCCTGCATCTGTGGGAGGATACGAAGCGCCAGGCGAGCCGGGGCGCCATACTCGCGTCGAAGGAGCACGGCGCGGAAGACGAACTCATGCCAATGCCTTGCGTGTTCAGGGTTCATGAGCCCAACGTAGTTCGCAAGCCAAATAGCGCGCTTCCACTGAGTGTGGTGCATGAGCCGAAGGATCATCTTGCGCAGGAACGGCGTCCGAAAGTAGGATGGATCGCGGTAGTGTATGATCTGGATGAACGCCACGGCCGACTGGGAATAACCTGACGCGGGCATCATCAAGAGGAAGTATTCGACACATCCTCGCAATTGGATCGGCAATTCACGCGGAGGAAATCTGTTTGACCACGTATGGATCATCGCGGTGAGGATCAACCTAGATAGTTCTTTAGGCAGCCTGGTAACTCTGCTGGAGGACACCCGCCGTAAAATGCGACCCAGAACGGCTTCGGCGTCCTCATCACTGATTTGCCCCTCCTTCATGACTAAGGCAGCTTCGTGAGGATAATTCGGGGCCAGAGCAAGTCCGAGCGTCGAAACGACTTCGTCCGGGACCTTGATACGAGCAGCCCGTGCGGAAAGCCAGATCCGATATGCGACGAGCGGGTCCCAGTCCTTCGCAGAGGATACAGCCCGCACCGCCATAGCCTCAAGCGGTCTCCGATCTCTTCGACCCCCAACTAGACGGGCCATCTCCGAAATCTTCTGCGGAACCGACTCGGATGGCAGTAACGCCACCACCGCGATCCACCAGTCACTCCCGAGCCCGATGATCTGACGAGCACTGCGCACTGTGTCCGCATCCCACAACCCATGAGCTTCCAAGTATCGACCGCAACGCTTCATCAGCTCGCCGTCCTCAAGAACCGCAGAAAGGCGCAGAAAGGCGGCGAGGACGGCTCGCTGGACCATGCGAGGCCGATCTACGGCGGTTCTTGAGGAGCTCCACATTACCCACAACCTCCTGACGACCCCGCGCAGGTCCGTGATAGGTAGAGGGGCGGGCTGCTTATCTTCCAGAATGGATCCTCGTCGTACGCGAGCAAATCCGAAGGACCGGTCGAGGGCCGACAACATGCACACGATTTGAATGTCGAGGTACCTGCCGGAACCAGATATTTCCGCAATGGAAGGCGCGATAACACGACGCGAACTGGAAAGCGCCAGGCAGGCCAGAACAGACCATCCTTCCACGCCGTCTTCACGGGAAGCCTCCTCGGACGCTTGAACTGCCTGTGCGCGTGCCCACTCCCAAAGTTCTCCCATCGCATCATTTTCTTCCTCGTCGCGTGGCAAACCTCGAAGGAGGCGATCGAGAGTGTCGACCAAATGCCGCACGTCGATGACCTCGTCCACTGATACCCGTCCCTGCGCCATCGAGAAAACCGCGGGCCCAGGAGTCGACGAGCCCATGCGCTGTATCCCGTCCATGCGCCGGCGAAAAACATCCAACACGGCCTGCTTGTCGGAGAGGGCCAACGACGCGCCGTGCTCGAGTACTAGCTCCCAGAGAACATTGAATACGCTTCGAGAGGCTCGCTCGAAGTCCAGCATGTAGCTGCACCACCATCTCGCCGCTTCCGGCGCCTTCCCGGTCCCGATGAGAACACGGAGGAAGGGTATATGCGCGTCCGCATGTCGGAAATGGCGTCGGATCTGCCGATAGTGCATGCGAATCCGGTCAAGAGCCCTCGCGTCATCCTTTGCGGAGCCTGCAATTAGACTACATTTAGTTTCATGGGGAAGGAGACAAAAGAGGCTACGACTCACGCGTCGCAACGTTGTCCACGTCGCGTCGAAGTCGCGCAATCTTCAGAAGCATGAGCCAGTAATGATCCGAATCACTGAGCTCGTGGTATTGGCGCTTGTCCGCGGCGACTTCTCTAGCGAAGTTGAGCTGGAAGGTAAAGGAGGATGGATCCATGGATAGCGCTGGGCGATGAAGGAAGATGTTGGGCTGTGATGGGTTGGATGATAGGGTCGGCGAGGAGGTAGCAGGATTGGAGGGATTGGAGATGGACAACGTTCCCAAGATGCTGATGAGGACGGAGAACTCCGAGGATCGTAGACGAGGGAGGAGCTGCGCTCGTTTGCAAGAGGCATAGAGGGTCTTGAGGCGTTGAACAGTGAGGTTCTCTGGGAGTGCAGTAAACTTGAGGATATCACGGAGTTCATGGAGTGAGGTTGCTGTGTGATGGCGCTTGCGAGGGGACCGTGCTTGCTGAGGTTGAGTCGCGGCCAAAGGAGACAATTCACGACCATGGAGTTCTCTGGGTAATACGGCTTGAACATCGACGGATAGCTTTAGAGGGACGGGGGAGGCGGAAGGCGAAAGCATAGCAGGGTTTGGATCCTTCGGTGAGAGGGACGGGACTTCAGCAGGAGAGCCTGGGATTAGCGAGGAAGTGACCTCATCTTCCGACTCCCTGACCAAGCTTTCCGGAGTGATATCCCGGGATGTTGTACAGATATCGTACACTGGAGTCACGGATGGTTTGGCCCTAGTGCACTGGCGACGCGCCATACACGAATTGGGACCGGGATGACTTGCAACAATCACTGCGTGAACAGGATGCAGATATGGGCCATTTGTGGTGTTATGGCTGGCCGCATATAGTTTGCTGGCAATCACTCCTTAGAGATAGCGGGGACAAAACGCGTAGCATTAGCGTACCTTTTCGACACGCTGCCTCCGCCTCGACGGACGGTAAACAGCCCACATCGCAACATTCCATTGCATGAACTGATTTTGTTTCCGTACGCGTCCTCGCGCGGCTAAGCGAGAGCCGTAGACCAACTAACACTTGCACCCGAGAAAAGCCAACAATTCGCGAGGAAAGGTGTGCGTGGTGAGCGCGTGAACATAAGCGCTCGTGTGTCCGCGCGGCGTCTTCCGAGGCGGGCATAAGCGCCCGCTTGCTGTCATGTGCCATCGTGAGAATTGTGGTCAATAACTAACAAAGCCTCCGCCCACGGTCTTCCATCCACAACCAGTCGCCTTGAAAAATCCATTGGCACGGCTGGTGAGCATGCTCGCTGGGTCAAAGAACATGCATGCTAATCGGATCGTAGAGCTCGAGGTCAATCGGGAGGCACTAGTTACTCGTTAAAAAAACCCCACCTCACAAACAGTCACAATGGGAGCGTCCAAGACTCAGAAGGAGGCATACTTCGTCAAGCTCAAGGAGCTCATCTCGTCCCACCGTACGATCTTTCCCCAGCTCTGGATCACCCCTCTATCCTGACGAACGCGCCTTTGTCCAGCCTCCATCTTCCTGGTCAATGTCGACAACGTCGGCTCGAACCAGATGCACCAGATCCGTGTCGCCCTCCGCGGCAAGGGTGTCGTACTCATGGGCAAGAACACGATGGTCCGCCGCGCTCTGCGCTCCATCCTCGCCGAGTTCCCTCAGTTCGAGCGCCTGCTCCCGCACGTCAAGGGCAACATCGGCTTCGTCTTCACTTCGGGCGAATTGAAGGAGATCCGTGACATCATCACCGCCAACAAGGTCGCCGCACCCGCCCGCGCGGGTGCGCTCGCGCCCAAGGACGTGTTTGTCGCCGCCGGCAACACCGGTATGGAGCCCGGCAAGACCTCCTTCTTCCAGGCGCTCGGTATCCCGACCAAGATCGCGCGTGGTACGATCGAAATCGTCAACGACATCAAGGTCGTCACCGCCGGCACGCGTGTCGGAACCTCCGAGGCGACGCTGCTCAACATGCTCAACATCTCGCCGTTCACGTATGGCATGACCGTTGTCCAGATCTTCGACGCCGGCAACTCGTTCTCGCCCGACGTGCTCGACATCGACGACGACGAGCTTGTGGGACGCTTCCTGTCCGGCATCAAGACCATCGCCGCCATCTCGCTCGCACTCAACTACCCCACCATCGTCTCCGTGGTGCACTCCCTCGTCAACTCTTACAAGAACCTCATCGCCATCTCGCTCGCCACTGACTACACCTTCGAGGGTGCTGAGAAGGCGAGTATTTCGTATTCTTGACTCCCGGTGATCCGCATGATAGTTTCACATACACTGAAAATACTGAGTCCCACGGACACTGCTGCTTCTTCGTTTTCCGTTGACGGACCACTGCCTTTGGTTGAACTCTATGCTGACTCGTGGCTCTTACAGGCTAAGGAATACCTCGCCAACCCCGAGGCGTTCGCTGCCGCTGCTCCGGTTGCGGCTGCTGAGGCTGCTCCGGCTGGCGGTGCTCCCGCTGAGGAGGAGAAGGTCGAGGAGGCCGAGGAGTCGGATGACGACATGGTACGTTTGTCCGTGCTTATATTCTTGCATCGCTTCTCACCTGCGCTCTTCAGGGCTTCGGTCTCTTCGACTAAACTCTCGGGTTGTATCGCTAGTCTACCTCGTGTATCTCTGCTACAATGACATCGACGCTGTGCACATGTTGGAGTGACAGAATCGTGTTCTGACTGGCAGCTACTCTTCGTACAGCTCATGGACCTGGCAGCGTTCGAGCGCAACGTCGACAACCTCTCGATGTTGACGGCATTCGAAACGAGATGCTCCAGGAATGTTCCAGGATCGTCTCGTGCAGCCGGGCTGACAACGACCAGCCTAAAACGGAGCAAGACGCCGACGCCGGACACGTATGACCGTCGACGGATATCGCAACAAATTCAAGTTATGAGTGAAAGGTGACGGGCAGCCATCGCCATCTTGCCGTGAAGATGAAGGTGAGTTTTGGGAACGTTCTGACAATTGCGCTACCAGCCGTACGTTGTTAGGCAATAGAGCACAGTTTTGCCTCGAAGTTCCCTTCGGTCAGTCCCGTTGGAGCAAAACAACGCCGTGGCGCGGACAACGACCTGACCCCCAGAATGTCACTCAGTGTGTTCTTCGCTTTCAAAGCCAAGAACTCACCCGACGGTGCACCTTAATGCGTCTCGAGGAGCACAGGACGGTCGGGAGGCACAAACCAGAGTACTATGCGTGTGTGCTCATGCTCATTTTGGCTTCTTCAGGGAGCTCCGCCTGCTTACATTGCTCCTGGTAACCCCGAAGTGTGCCCACAGCGGAGTGTGGCCGCACGCATGGGGAGATGCGACATAAACTTCGTACAGGATAGTCCTTCCGAGGCCCTAGAAGAGCATGTCCTTCATCCGCTGAAGGATCGAACCCGCTTTAACGTTTCGAAACGTCTGGCAAAGCGCAACTCGTCGGGCAGTTCACGCGAGTCTCTCCATCATGCGACAGCAGCGCGTCAGTGAATGGGCAGCGGAGCACAATGTCGACGTCGCTCTCGTTTTCGTATGAATAGTAAGACGCGCCGCAAGCTTGCTTTAAGTCATCTCAGGTCATCTCGTCGGAGAAGTGGCAGCCTTTTCCATACATGTTGTATTCATCATGTTCGATCCTGTAGGAGGCTTCAATGTAGCTCACGAAGATTGGTGCACGTAGGGGGTACGGAAAGGGATGTGCAAGCGGGTTGTTTACATTGTCGGTGCATCTTCTATTGCAACGACTTTGCCACAGAGCAAGAAGTAGCCCTTCGGCATCGCATCACGTTGTAGTCTGTTCATATACTTAGCGGTGCCTTGCGATAATCAGCAATACAAATATTTGCTCGTCACGGTGCTACAGCGTCACGAGCAAACACCTGGATCACCTGCAATGTAGCATGCCCTCGCTTTGCTCAGTGAATGATCTCGAATGCCCTCTTCTGCAAATCAGTAGATCTGCCTGAGAAGATACTTGAGGAGGAGCCCTGCCTTCGCCTGCTTTTTTGGAAATATTTTGCCGGTGCGTATCGAGTACTGTGCGAGTTGGTGCATGTTCCTATGAAGACGAACTTGCTCTCCCCTCGCCCTGGCATCCAGAAGGTCTACTATGTTCACATGGATCCTCTTGACCGCCTGTACGTAGAAAGTCATTCGTGATGTTCGGGATAGGCGATACCTTTGATGCGTACCTGCTTGCACTGGGAGACTGAATCTGGAACGGGTTCAACACGAAGCTCGCGGGATAGAGTTTGCCATTGGATGAGGTCATTGTCAAGGGTGCCGTATGCGGCGTTGAACTCCTCCGCGATGAATCCGTTGAGCTTGCGTCGGGCTGTTTGGCGCCGCTTCTTGCCCCAGCTCCGTTCCGAGCACAGCCGGTCAAACTCCGGTATGATGCCGCGAGTAGCGTCGAACTCAAACCCCTCGAATTGGGCGAAGTACGCCGCCACCCCAGATACCGGTGTGTGCGACATCTGCGTCGAATGGTGTTGGTTCTGAACGCGATCGTGTCAGAAAACGGTTGATATGCCTCTTTGACTATTGACTACCGGACTGTGGCGGACGTGGGCAGAGCGCACTCAGGGGGCGGTGGGGGGAGGGGTGGGGTGGTGGGATGAAGTGCGTTCTGTATTCTGAATCTATGGGAATGGACGGTCCGTCTTTTATATCCCTCTGGACAGGCTTGATTCCGCGAAGCTGTCCATATGTGGAGATTGTAAGGCAGTTCACGAAGCTTGACACGCACACGAGGCATTCGGAAATGGAAGAGCATGTATGCCACGGCTGATGTGAAGCTGCAACGCGGCTATTGTACCTTCCCACCGCGAAGTTCAGCGACAGCATGATCGCAAACGGCAGTGAAGATGCTGACAAATGTGTTATAGCAACGAAGATGTTGGGAACACTTCTGCAAGTTACCATTTGACAGCTACATATTTGCTCAATATGATGGAACCGGCTGTTGCGAGTAAGCTACTGAGTATTCAAAGTACAGAATGTCGGGAAAAGATCGGTCTCAAAAGGAATTTCAGCAAGAGCCCCGCCTTCGCTTGATTTATAGGGAATATCCTTTCGGTACGTCGCGTATATTCAGCAAGCTCCTCCGCATTCTCGAAGATGCGAAGTTGAGTGTCGTTCGACCGCGCGTCTAAAAGGTCGAAAATGTTGACATGCCTTTGCTTGACGGCCTACCGGTGCAAGCGTCAGATTCATGACCGCGTTGACGTCAGTTACAACAACCACGTACAACTTTGCATTGCGCAACTGACTCCGGCAAAGGACTGATGCAAAGATCATGGCAGAGTGCGTGCCACGCTCCGAGGTCGTCGAGACGGGTCCCGTAGGTTTTGTTGAACGCCCCGGAGGTGAAGTCGTTCAATTGGCGACGTGCTTGACGACGACGAGCTTTTTCCCATTTCTGCTCGGAGCTGAGACGGTTAAATTCCGGGATGATGCCCCGGCTCCGGTCGAATACAAAGTTGGTGTATCGAGCAAAAAAAGGCGGCCATGCCCGTCGCTCTTGCCAGCTTCGGTGAGCAATGTCAGTCCGAATTACGAAAGAGATAGATTGACAAACCTTATCTTTCATGATGACCTATCTCAAGGAGCGCGGGAGAACAGTCTCATACAGATAGGTTGTTTGTGTGGACGACTGGGTGGTTCAAAGTTTGAACGACGGGAGAACGCTTGTCTTGTCTTTATAAGACACCAGTGGGAATTCGTGTTAGGTCCGGGTAGGAATGAGATCCCCCGCATAAGAGCCATAACCTTGCCAATACAGCATTTCATCGTCGATGGCAAAGCAAATCGTAAGATAGATGATCCCAGCTCATGCCGTAAATTGAGATCGTGCAACGTGCCCGGTCAAGAATAGAAGTGATTCCGCCCCTTACAGCAGTGTACCAACTGGACCGGGTCCGTTTTCGAATTTGTCCACCCCAGCGCGATCCGTATCGTACACGACACGTCCTCGCAAGATCGTCTTCTCTACCTTGCCATGCAAGTGAAGGCCCTCGTACGGGGAGAGCTTGTTCTTGAAGTTCAGGGACGTCTTCGTTACCTAAGCGTCCGAATATAGTAAGGCGATGGCAACATGACGGAAGCAAAGACGCGCCTCGACTTCAGCGTTCGGGTCCCAGATAACAAGATCGCCGTCGGATCCCACGGCAATTCGACCTTTGCGGCCGTCAAGACTTGCGTGTTTCGCGGTCATGGTAGAGAGCCAGCGGATGAGTTTCCGCACGTTCGCGGAATTCTCGCCTTGGCCAGCAGACGTGCGTTTCTGGAGTTCGGTCCACAGAACGCTCATCCCGAGTCCTAGCGTGCTGATGCCGCCCCATGCGCCCATGATGTCGCCTGTGCCCGGTTCGGGCCCTGATCAGAGACTGATAAGCATCCCGTAGAGAGAATGAAGGAGACGATCAAACAATATGCCCACCTAGCTTCTTCAGTTCTGCGACGCATGGACTGTGGTCGGATACCACGAAGTCGATGGTGCCGTCTTCGAGCGCAGCCCAGAGCGCCTCCCGGTTTTCGGCTGTGCGAATCGGCGGACAACACTGGCACGTATAGATGTTATCAAAAGTGCGAAACGAGAACGCTGCCGCACGCGTACCTTGAACTCGGGATGTCCATCGGGTATGGACTGTGATGTAAACGCAAGGTAGTGGAAACACGTCTCCACTGTGAGCTTGAGACCTTTCGCCTGGAAGACCAATCGATGGTGAGCATTTGCGTCGGAAGAATATAGTATGCCCTAGTACCTTTGCATCCTTGATTAATGGAATCGCATCGGCTGCGCTCAGGTGAACTATATGTGCCCGAAGGGACGGATATGATGCCAAAAGCCGAGTAATGAGCGATATCGCCGATAGTTCGAGTGAGGGGGGACGAGAATTTAGGAACGTAGAGTAAAGAGTCGGGTTTGCTGGCGCAGGCTCGGGTAGAGGGGGAGAATGAGCATGATGGGTTTCAAGTTCAGCGTGAAACTGCAGCACAGTGGGGGTGTTCTGACTAAGGAATGAGATGTCGGTCACACGACGAGATAGTAATAAGAGTCACCTGCAGCTCTTCCATAGCGAGCTTCAAATCATCCTCGGAGACACATGGAAATTCCTGCTGATGATGTTAGCGACCGCGAGCTGGGATGAGAATCAACATACGTCGACGCCGCTCTCGATCAGGAAACACTTGAAGCCCTTCACACCTGCTTCTATAAGAGGCTTCAGGTCTCCCTTTTGACGAATCAATTGGATAGTTATTCGTATGCAGTCCAAGTTCGCTCACCTGGTTTCCCGGGATAACCCCGCCCCAAAAACCGACGTCCGTCCAGCACTGGCCGTTCGCCGCCTTCCTCTTCTCTTCGAGATTCTCCACTGTAGTCGTGGGGGGGATCGAGTTCAAAGGCATATCGACGACCGTCGTCACTCCTCCCGAAGCAGCTGCCCGCGTGCCGGTATAGAAACCCTCCCAGTCGGTCCGTCCAGGTTCGTTCAGATGAACATGGGCACTTCACGTCGCGTAGCAGAGGTCCAACGATCAACCAAGTCGTTCTTGTTCAGAGACCACCGCACATACTCGACGATTCCTGGCATAACGATATGATCGCCCGCATCGATCCATTCTGCATCCGGGTAACGCGCCGCATCAGGCTGCTCCGGGTGAATCTCGACGACTTTACCGGATGAATTGTCTACAACGATGGTAGCAAATATGGCGTCAGTGTTGTCGGATAGGAAGACGCGAGATCCAGTCACGACAGTCGTAGGATGCATTATCGCCGGAGATATATGAGATGAAGTCGCGTTCTTCGCATTGTTATCTCCTGCTTCACGGGCGCTTATTCGCGACTGGGTGCCGGAAACCAGCGCTTGCTCGTGACGGCTTACGCGGTGTTGCTCCAGGACCGGTGCGAATACCGCCAGAGCTCCGATCCACACAGCCACCAAAATCCCCGAAAAACGCCCGTTTACGGGCGCGAGCTCCGATACCAAAACCCCGAAAGTATGGGGGTAGAGGGCAAAATGTTACATCCAGGTCTGCTCCGAAAAAAGGCTATTGGGAGCGGGGTTCGATCCAAGATCCCTGAAATTGGAGCCCAGACGTGACAACCGCTACGCTATGAGACACTGGCTGGGTATCCAGCCAGAAAAATATATCTTGTTTGGCATGCGCAAATTCGAGTCCCCACTGCGCTCATCTACTCACTATACTTTTAGAACTCGCTATGTCCCGAATTGCTTCCACCACCATTCTCTCCACCAATAGGCAGAATCAGGCAGGCTTCAAGTGCTTGGCGTACGTACAAGGATCTTGTGCGCTGCATCCAGGACGTGCTAATAAAGAACATGGAAGAATTTCTGAGAGCTGTGAAGTCCCCGAACAGGCAAACAATGGGAGCAAGCAATGAGAATGGTGGGAACATGGACAAATCGAGCACGGAGACAGAGACGGGGATGTGAACATAGTCGGGATCTGGACCTGATTGAGACGACAAGGAGTGCTCTGGTGCACAACTAGGTACACTGAAGTGTATTAGGCGACGGTGAGCTGTGAAGCGTCTCGGAGAGCTCCGATCCCATTTTTGCCCCGAAAATCGTCAATTCGGGGCCATGTCTGATGTCAAATCCCCGAAATTCGGCCTCTTGGGACCTTCACCGGAACCCCGAAAATGGCCGAAATCGCCTCTTTGAGGGATCGGAGCTCTGGTGGGGTTCGCACCGGTCCTGTTGCTCCCCATCGGCTTGGTCACCCTCTGGTGCACCGGCTCTGAATTGAACTGCATTCTGCAGTTCACCTACAAACACCATGGCATCCTCATCCTCAAGACCCAGGAATAATCAAGGATCGCTGCTATGTTCAGCTTGCTCTTCGTCGCTGCTTCCAACGGAGGTGGAAAACGTATTCACGACACAATGCTGCAAACGGCCTATCTGCTCGAAGTGCCTCAAATCAACTCCCAGGCTGGCTCGATACCATCCTTGCTTGTCTTGCTTGGGAGGTGTGAATGCTGTCGATACAAACATGGCATCCCAGAAGGCTTCTTCAGCAGAAAGATCCATCCCCGTGAACATGGACGGTGCCGTTAGGGATAGCGACCTTTTCGTTCTCGGAGATGAGGATGACGACGACAATGCCGCTCTCGATTTGATTCCGCCTCCATACACGGAGAACGTTAGCGGAGACGCGAACTCCGACCTGACCGCCAACCCATGGCGGGAGCCAAGCGAGCGATGGCAGCTGCAGGATGCTGGCACTTCTGGCCCACCGAGCGGATCCAACGTAATCAAGCAGTCGCCTTCATCTCCCGGGCCCGGTAACGTTTCCAGCGATCCCTCTCGATACTACCTCAGTCCAGGAGATACTCTTCTCGGCGTCGCTTTACGCTTTGGCGTGGACGTGAGTACTTCCACCCCTGAAGCGCACCGCAGTACCTGATCGAAGATACGGTGATTCAGGGTCGCGAACTCTGTCGCCTTAACAAACTACCTCCATCCACGCTGAGCACAACACCCCACCTTCTGCATACCCGCCGCTTCATCACCCTCCCTTCCTCGGCCCGTACCCCACCTCCACTATCCGAAGAAGAACGTCGCGCACGCGAAGCCGCTGCAGAAGAACATCGCTCGCGACGCCTCCGCGAGCAAGCCGAGAAGCGGTTTCAGACGCTGACTAAGGAGGTCGACTGGCGCGTCGCCAGGGCGTACGTCGCGATCGCCGACGACCCGGAGGAGTCGCGAGCGCACGGTCTCAAAGGAAAAGAGATGGGAAGGGGCTCTACTATGCCCGGGACGGCCGACGGGCTCGGGGATAGGGCGGTAGACTGGTACATGGACGACGAGGAATGGGAACGACGGCAGTTGAGGGGAGGTAAACAGCCAGGTCCAGTCCCAGGGCCTCCCGCTGCGTTTCGTCCCAGCGATAAGGCTCAGACGTTAGCTGGATGGCCAAGGTAACGATGGGTTGTTCACCTTTCCATTTCAGTAGGTTAGCAACTTTGTATCAACTGCCTGCGAGTTCTTGACGAGATTAGCTGAAATTTTGTTCTCAGATTGAGTTCTTGCTTGATCATGTATCATTGCTGTTGTACGCACATCGTGAATCTGCGCGGACCTCCCATCTGTGCGACGTCGATCTCTTGCTATGTGAGCGCTTACAGTCTACAGCACGGCAGTGCGGCGAGGCACCGATTGTATCATCATGGTCGCTTCCGGATTCGCCCACGCGTATAGCCAGATCATCAGCATGTATCGCGAAGACCCGCTTTGTCTCATATGCGTACATACGTACGCAATTCGATGGCTGTGGAAGAAGCCCTCTAGCTCACATCGAAATCCCGAACCCAAACCATACGTTACATGACGGCCGTTGTATGGTTTTGGATTACGTGGAGACGGCACCGGTAATCGACCGTGCGGACCAATATCCGCTCCATCGCACGGAGGTAAGCAAGTTTTATAACTTAGGTGTCGGGGTCTGAGTTCTGAGCGATGGCGTGGCTTCTCCAGGGAAACGGTTACCTCGGTTTTCTCGCAGTACGACTCCTTTAGCTCATCTTCATCTCTTTTCTTGAATAGATGTACATGGTGGATTCATGGACGCGGGACACCGACAACTGAGCGCAGCCTGCGAACGTTCGTCTGATACGAGGACGCCCTCATATCATACTATCGCTCCCGGCTTGAGCGGGCGTCATGTAGGTAATTTGTTTGATGAGCCAAACTTAAGCATGTTGATTGTTGTTGCTGCATTTCTCGACAGCCCTGGTGTTGCCCCTCAGATCTTACGAGGAGCCATAGGGATATCGCCATGCATGCGGCGTATCGTCAAGGAGCATCGGGCGGTAGAATCAAATGCTGTCGAAACTTCTGGGTCAATCCGTCAGCTATCGCAGGGACAATATAGAGGTCGATCTACTGCGCCAACCTCTCAAGGTGCCACAGGATCGAGGGTGCCACCTAGTAGGATCGGTGTGCCTCAACTTAACCTTGCCGCCCCTCGAGGCTCGCACTCGCGATCGGTGCCGCTCGCGAGTCCCACTCGTTACGAAGGATGCGCTGTCGCTAATATGTGCTCCGGGTCGACTCGAGCTTCAAAGAACAACGCCCGGCCTCCGTCTCCTGGGGTTTCCCTTCCCATGAAGCTACGTACGGATGGAGCGCTGCGTCGCCTGAGCCTTGAGCAGTGCTCCTTCTGTTATATCGTGGCCCTGTCAAGCTGTGCACAAGCTATACACCTGTGCCGCGCGGCGCGGGTGGCGGTACAGCTTACGATTGGCCCGGATCACACACGTGACCAACAGAAGAGGCCCGGGGTTTCACAGCACTGCGGATTGCCCATGGGCCATAGCTTCCGTCAGCAGAACACAAATACGGGATGATGGCTTTATCCGGTTCAACAGCCATCTCGGTGCGGAAGAGCCTGTTCCGCTGTATTCGTGGGTGGCCTCTGCTGTCGCCACAATCGGTGATCGTCTGTCCGGGAAACAATGCCTCGCACTGCCTTGAAAATGTTATAAAACTCCCAAACGACGAGTGGGACACTACACCGAACCCCTCCTCTCGTTATACCTTATGAGCACCCAGACAAATCCGACATCACCTGTCACTCCTGCGGGATCTCCGACCAGGTCGAACTCCAAGGATATGTCCTCCCCCGGCCCAACAACCGCATTGTCCCTTCGATGTATGTTTTCTCACGAACTTGGATTCCTGGTTCCTTTTTTGACACGCTCCAAAGGGCATCGACTAGTGAATTTCGTCGCTCCGCCGTCAAGTTCGACAAAACGGGCCAAATTGCCACAACCATCCACACAAGATAGCTTAAAAGCTATCGCCAAGGCGTCGTGTAAGTAACGTTCGAAGATCCGCACGATTCACGCTGATGCCCTGTATCAGGGTTGAATTTACTTCTTGCCTTCATTCCGGTATCGTGGGCACTACATTTCGCGAAACCGGACGAAAGCACGATCATCTTCATATGTGAGTTCTGGTTAATCTTCATGAGTTTCCCCGATTACTTACACCCGGTTGTCAGTCTCCTTCCTCGCAATCATACCTCTAGCTAGCCTCATGGGCTTTGCCACAGAGGACTTGTCCTTGCGCGTAGGTCAAACGCTTGCGGGTCTCCTTAACGCGACATTAGGCAATGCGTAAGCAGTTTCTCGACCCTTGTGTTGCGCATCATTGAGTTGATTCACAGGGTGGAACTCATCGTGGCAATCATCGCTTTGCTCAAATGCGAGCTGCGCGTCGTGCAGGCTTCTCGTACGCGGATCCCTCGCTCACGTTCGCCATCTTACTAACCTTATTTCAGTGGTCGGCTCCGTCCTCAGTAACCTGCTTCTTGTCCTCGGAATGTGCTTCTTTGCAGGTGGCATGCGATATTCGGAGCAAGGCTTCAGCTTGGCAGCTGCGCAGATCAACTCGTCTCTGCTGATCATCAGCGTGGTCTCGGTGCTCATTCCTGGCGTGCTCTACTTCTCTATCGACGCTCTCACGTCTGCTTCTCCGGAGTCTGAAGGCAAGACGATCCTCAAGATCAGCCATGGGGTCGCCATCATGCTTTTGCTCGTTTACTGCTGTTATATCGTCTTCCAACTGCGGACACATAACCAACTCTTCGACGACGAACATCCATCGTCGATGATCGAGTCTATCCGGTATCAAAAGGACATCAAAAACGAGTCTCCCCGCTCTTCCATGCATTCAGATGCTTCGCCTGATAGTCCGCTCGTGGCAAGTCACGTAGACGCTGAAGCCGCGAAAGAACACGATGAAGACGATGAATCACCAAAGATGAGTACTTGGGTCGCCATCGGGCTCCTCACTGTCATCACTGTCCTCGTGGCCGTAACCGCGGAATTCCTCGTCGGCTCCATCAATGGCCTCATAGACGGAACCGGGATCAGCAAGGAGTTCGTCGGCTTGATTCTGCTTCCGATTGTTGGGAATGCGGCGGAACATGTTACGGCAGTCACTGTCTCGGTCAAGGATAAGCTCACTCTCAGCATCTCCGTGGCCGTTGGCTCGAGCATACAGATCGCTCTCTTCGTCCTCCCCTTCATCGTTACCCTTGGTTGGATACTGGGGAAACCTATGACGTTATTGCTTGACCCTTTCGAATCAGCCGTCCTATTACTCTCCGGTATGTCGCTTCCCTAAGTGAAGGTTGACATGTTCTAACAGTGTCCACAGTGATGACCGTCAACTACACCATCCAGGACGGGAAGTCCAACTGGTTAGAAGGCGTCGTTCTCATGACATTATTCATCATCATCGGCATCGTGACCTGGTTTTACACTGGTGAGACTCTATTTCTTCTGGACGTTTCGTGTTCTCTTGCTGATTATGTTGCAGGTACCGATCCGTCAGGAATGCTCGCGACTTGCACATAACTATTATGATTAACGTATTCGACGGGCTTTCCGTCACATCACGCTCCTTGCACGTTTCTGCTTCTCGTTTCCGGTCATGACTCTTGCGACACCCGGCTTTCTACATTATGTCCTTATACCACCATTTTTCCATACCCACGACAGATTGCGCATACTTGAAGGAACGGACTTGTTAGTTAGAGAGGCAATCACGTCGTTTTTACTATCATCGGTGACCAACTACCGATTCTCCTAGATGTACATTGTTGGTCAGATGAATATATCTCTTTGACCAACTATCATCGACCGAAGCTCGCATCATCTGATGAGTGTGACATACGTCATCATCCGATATCCTCAAGGTTGCTCCATTACAGATTTCATGATGTACAACCGGTATACACAATTGTCCGGCCTCCGACTTAGGTCGCGCTGCCAAAGATTTGGTATCGCCTGCAGATGCTGGGGCCGACCTCATCGTATTGTGCCTTGGTGTGGCATGACGTGTAAAACTCGGGCTACACGACGAAGGAGCGTCAGCCAATGTCCCTTGAACGATCTGCGATAATCTCACCAAAGACGCAAGCAGAGATCCACCAAACCACACGGCATATCTACGATCGAGGCACGGTCAAGAGTTGCAAAACCGCAGGGAGTTATGGACGAAACCGACCTTTGGCGCTTGTGCGAAATGACCTCGACTTCCACGCCAGACGACTGAAGCGACGCCCATTAGTCAAAACGGTTCGAGTTCTAACCACAGCGACGAGCGTACTTTCATTGCGCTTCCGCTGCTTGCGGCACTGGCTTCGAGGCGGCGGTCGACGAGTTGCTTGAGGTCGCGCTTCAGACGCTGCCCGAAGTGCTGGAACATCGTCGAACCTCCGGATAGTACGATGTTCTGAGCATGCCATATCAACACCTCGAAATCTTCACGACCACATTCTATCTCGAAACGCACCTTGTAGAGGCCACGACGGACGTCGATTGGGGACTGTTGTATTACACCATCGACAATATCAGGAAGAGGAGTAAGGAAGTCGGACGAGTAAATCTCCGGGTTGAAAAAGATCTCCGGCGCGAGGAACCGCTCGTAGCCGACGTCGAGAGAGTATTTCTAATCACCAGCATCGTCAACGCCAGTGGTGATCGAGAGAACGTCGACTTACTCGGCCAGTAACGCTAGCCTCGCCCTCATACCGCTCGAAGTACTTGTACGGCTCCGCATCATACTTCCTGAACTCCTTCACAATGTCCTGACAGACGTAGCTGTAGTTCTCCTTGACCTTGCCAGCGACGCGCAGCTGGTCTTCAGGAGGCACGCTCGACATCTCCCCGCGCTCGCGCATGAGGTTGAGCACGAACTGCGAGATGTCGCGGCCGGCGATCGGTATGTGCTTGATGGCGGAGCCGATAACGTAGCCCTCGGCGCAGGGGATGACGTGCGTGACACCGTCGCCAGAATCAATGACGGTTCCGGTCAGCGTCCTGTCCGTGACGCGATTCGAGGACCACGACGCGGCGAGCGCGAGGACGGCTTGGACAGCGATGTAGAGACCTTTGATGTTGAATGATTCGAAGAAGATCTCGGCGGTTTGTTCACGGTTCTCAGGAGGGTTGAGGGGTGGTTCAGTCTGCGAGTCATTAGCGGTAAACGAAGTGTAATGAGTTTGTGGGGCGTACCAGGAGAAAGTAGTGGTCCTCAGGTTCCGCCCGTAAGTACTTGAAGATCGTCTGCTCCCAGTAACGTTCCATGTAGTCCCAGTTGTCGATCATGCCGTGTCGGATGGGGTAGTGGACGCCATAACCGGGCGTCTTTGCGTTTGCGAGGGCCTCATCTCCAATGAAGAAGTCGAGATCCTCGACGCCGCGCTTGGTCGCTAGATGTCCGGGCTTTGATGGTACGGACGGTCCTCGGGACGCTTGCGTTGCTGGACCGCGCGTGGCGATCGCAGTAGGGAATACGCTGCACGTTTGGTGGATTAGTTTCCTTAACTTGTACTTCGTGAATGCACTGACAATGACGGATCGGAGTTGCCTGCGAAACTGAACGACCGTTAAATGCTGATCTACCTGATATTCCTGAGCCAACGCCGTACCCAATTTTCGAGAAACCTGTTCCATTATCGCAGATAATGGGGGCGAGGGTAGACATGATGTCTGTCCTCTGATCGTGGCGGCAGCAGGTAAGCTCAGATATAGGCAGAGGTGAGCTGCTGCTCTGCTGCCTCGCCGCGGCGTGCGTGACTACACCACTACGTCACACCCAAGTAACACTATTGACGCGGACGCAGCCATCCTCCAAGGAATGCTCGGACATCAAGGAACTGTGGGTGAGTACACTAATACACTGGATAGGTACAGGACAAGAAGAGCAAGGCGATGCCAAGCTTCATGCACGTATTTTATTTTCGATCTGCAGCATTGCGCAGAATGCTGCCGTCTGAGGGTTCGAGATGAAGGACGCTAAAGCTAGCCATCAGCCTCCACGCCACACCCTGCAGTCAGATCAAATCCTTACGTTGTCCATGCTTGGGACCGTCCGATCCCCCAGTCGCCGTCTGGCAGAACACTTGACAGTCGCTGAGTTCCTTGCCCTGTGATGCGCCCGGGACGTGCTGCGCAACCCAAGTCTGCTCTGTCGCAAGTATCTCCCGCACCTTCGCTTCGTCGGGATATGTACTTTGTTGCCGGCTCATTGACATGTAAGGATGGAAGGCGCGTGTGATGGCCAACCATTCGGGGTCAAAAGTTATTTTTGGAGGCGCGGAGGATGATGGGGCAGGAATATCCACAACCTGTATCATTGAGGTCAGTTTGTTATCCACCTGAATGAGAAAAGCCGTGCAACTGACCTCAAGGTATTGTCGAGTAGGCATTCCATTCCTTGCCGGCAAACACTTGTCGAGCGCCAGGAACTTCGTTTCCCCCCTTCCCGAGGGCTGCGCCGGTTTCACAGCCGGCGCGACTTCCTCTTCTTCAGAGAGCACGATTTCGTCGGGGTTTGCTGGGGCTGACTCGGCTGGCAAATCTTGAATTGATGGATTGGCGGGCTGCACTTCGTCGTCATCGTCATCGATGTTGATCTCGTCAGGGTTCTCTCCAGCCTTCAGTGGGGCGGTACTCGCAGGCACATTGTTCGACGTCGATGGGCCAGCAGGCCCATGCCGCACAATTGCCTCGAACTTAACGTGCAAATGCGCAGAGAACCACCATGCAGGCTTCAGAGTTCGCAGAAGTCCCATCATGGGCGGCGAGCCCAGTGCACCCTGAGACACTGGATGGTGAGATCGACTCGAAGACGCGCCGGGAGTATGGGAGAAACCCTACCTTATCGATGTCCGTCTTGAAGAATCGCTTCCTCCTGAGCAAGTTCCCGAGGTCACCATGATGCTCGATCCCGGCAGGCCAATCATGCGAGAGGAAGATATCCGGAGACGAAAGCTGCTCATCCGATGTGATCAAGAAGCCTGTGGTGGGTGAACCGAGGTGGATCGGATGAGCTTGATGAACGAACCAGGGATAACTTCCTCACGTTGAACTCGCGGATGTGATAGATACTTCGCTGTTCAGGGCCACGGAACGGCACGCGCTCATAAAAGCCTGGTTGTTATGCGTCAGTTCCAGTTAAAGCGGGCAGAAGGATGAATGTATGCGCCTTTGGTGAAGTCGTGGTCCTTGAAGATGCCGGAGGCGCCTGCTATGCGTAATCCATTGACCTGGACGCACCCCGCCGTTCCGAGATAGTAGATATTCGGAGCTAGCCATCCTCCATGATACCTAGAAATGTCCTCGTGAACATCAGGCACGAGTGTGAAGTAGAGAAATGGAACATGGCTAGTATTCACAGTTCCCATAGATAGTTGGATGCTTCGTGGTTACCGCCGATGACGATCGTTAGAACTGGCGCCTCAGTTTCTCCAGTATAATACCTATCATGAGACGTGAGTCAACGCTGTCCAGAGAGAGGAGATGAATGACGGACTTGTAAAACCCGCCAAGCTGCCTGTACTTATCCGGGACGGCCATGCATTGCAGGTCTTGGTGGTTCCGTATAGCTTGAAAGTCACCGCAGATCAATAGAAGGTCTACCTGCAGGGATTCAGCTCCTATTTTATGAGTATGTATCAAGAACGGCTTACCTTGTAGTTGTTTTGCTCCTCCAGTACGGCGATTTGTCTATAGATCGCGTCGAGCTCGCCATGGCAGCATCCTTCAACGGCTATCTGGGACTCGGTTAGATGTGGAAAATGAGCAGAACGAGGACATTGGAATCACCTTCATCGTGCCTTCCCGAGAGGGAGAGACAGGATGAGATAGACGCGTAGAACACGCCTTAGTTTGGGTGCGGTGAATCGTACGGGAACAGAGAGATCTAAGCCTGAAGTTCGGAACGGCTATAAGTCGAATGTGTGAGTTTCGTTGCAGCAGCCCTAGTGCAGGAGCAAGTATTGTGGAGGTATTCGAGAGTGCCACTATGCAGTAGAGTGAAATGCTCGAACCAAGACTGGGTCAAGCAGGAGGAGAGATGAACGAGCTCGACGGACTTTGAACACCGACCACCTCCTTCGCTCCGCCAAATGGCTCTCAAAACGGCGCTCTCGACTGTGCATCGTGGTGTTGCCTTCGAAGAGCGGTCACTGAAGCTACTACGGGACAACCTCTCCATGTCATTGCGTCGCGTAGGCGGCAAGTCGGACGGAGGTGTAGACCTGCAAGGCTGGTGGTGGCTTCCCGTTCTCGCCGACACATCGTCGAGTGCACGACATGCCCTAACGGATCCAAAACATAGGCTACGTCTTCGCGTACTAGGACAGTGCAAAGCCGAGAAGAAGAAATTGGGTCCTAATTACGTACGGGAGATGGAAGGGGTTCTCCATCGTCAAATGTCCTTGACCATCCAGCAACGTACGCCAGTGGAGGATCGCGTAGCCCCGCTAGTGGCTCTCATCATATCGGAGTCCCCATTCACGAAGGCTGCATTGCAGCACGCGCTGTCGTCTCCCGTACCCATGTTCCTTCTGCACTTGCCTTCTATAGCCATCACGGAAGCCGTTGGCCAGGAGGTAGAACACAACTCTGCATCAAGCGTATCCCACGATATTGGCTCCGCATATTGGAATCCTACTCTTGCCGGAAAGAGGGGCCTGTTACAAGGACAAATTGATATCCGATGGGAGCGCTCGCCAGGAGGCATAGGGCGTCCGGGGCTTTGGAGGGATAGGTCGAAGATTCCGAATTGGACTCCGGATGCTGAGAAGTAGGACACGACGATAACTGGTCCGAATGGCAGTCTATCTATACAGTACTGCGCCAGACGAAGACAATTATACCCCAGCTCTCAGCACGAACTCACGGCGCGGGATGCATGGTCATCATCCCTCCGATATTCGCAAAGGTCTTCTTACTGGCCGACCCGGATTCCAAGCTTTGTCAGTCGGCGCTGTGGATTGCATGAAGCGAATCCCATGGTGCCCTCTGACTCCCATGTGAGACATTGGTCTGATTCGCCGTTCGTGCAGTGCTTATTATACTCATATCGCTTCCGACACATTCCAGCAATCCCTTGCGTTCGACGCCCTCACATGCACGCTCCACACATCCACCGGAACGGTCGTTTCTTCGATGAACTCGCTCACTCAACCTTGAGACTCATTCGGCTGACGCAATACCGGTTAGCTCTTGACGTGGCCTGCTCGTATGTACTCGAGGTCGCGACCGCTTGCTGAGGTCGTTGCCCCTCGGCCCGAGGGGCAACCATAGTGGCCGGAGAAGTTCGATGACGCTATTTGGGGTCTGCGAAAATCACGCGGACCTCAACATAACTTATTAATAACCAAAATCATGCGGACCTCAACCTCCGCACTTCATATTAATAACGAAGGATCGTCCTGAAAACATACGAAGCTCATCCCCCGTCATTACCAATTATCTGCAAACCCGTCTTTCGGCTGCCAGACTCACGCACTATAATAATTCACCATGTCCACGATACACAAGGTCGCGGTCGCAGGAGTAAGCGCACAGGCCGACATCGTTAACGTTAATGCAGCCATCACTGATGCGTAGTCCGCAGGCGTCCGGAAACATCGGGTCTCCCGTTGTCGAACAACTGCTCGCTGCCAAGTTCGAGGTGATCGCGCTGTCTCGCTCGGGCGATTCCTCCAAGCTTCCGTCGGGCGTCACCGTCCGCAAGGTCGATTACGATTCCGTCGAGTCTCTCGTCGCTGCTCTGAAGGATGTCAACGCGGTCGTCTCGACTGTAGGAGCGGCCGCCGTCCCTAGTCAAACGACGCTCATCGACGCCGCATCAATCGCCGGCGTCAAGCGCTTCATCCCGTCCGAATACGGCGGCGAAATGGAGGACCCCGCCTACCGAGCGATCTTCGCACCCAAGGTGGCGGTGCAAGACCACCTGGAGAAGGTCAGCGCCGAGTCGGGCTTGACCTGGACCATCGTCCTGAACGGACCGTTCCTCGACAGGGGCCTGCGATCCGGCTTCCTGCTCGACCCTCTCAATGAGCGTAAAGCAGAAATCTTTGACGGAGGAGACAAACCCTTCAGCTCGACCACGATGGCGACCATCGGGAAAGCGGTCGCATCGATCCTGCTCCACCCCGAGGAGACGAAGAATCGTTACGTGCGCATCCACGACGCGGTCGTCACCCAGAGCAAGCTCCTGAACATCGCAAAGGAGTTGACGCCCGGTACCGAATGGTCCGTGACGCACAGCAAGGCGGTGGATCTACAGAGTAGGGCCGATGGCTTGATCGCTCAGGGCATATCCGACATGCGTCTATGGGCCTTGCAGATCAAGTACTGGTTGTCCGCCCAGCACACCAAAACGGTGTTCAAGGAGCTGGACAACGAGCTGCTGGGCGTTGGATCGATATCAGAAGAGGAACTGCGGGAGATCGTCAAGTCTGCCCTGTGACTTTCCGGTCAGAACCCCGGACCATCGTACCGATAATCGTATTATCTCTCTTGCATAGCTGAGTGCAATATATCCGGTCGATGATGCGATCCATTCAAGTGGTCTAGAACGGGATAGAGACGCCTCGGGTGCGTGGCAACGAATTACAAGCCTAGCCTGTATCGGCTTACTCATGCATTGGCCTCTTCGGATGTCGTGCTCGCAATTACTACTATACTAGTACTTCAGTATCGGCGGGCCACCGTCTGAACCCCGCTCAGTGCTGACCAACATTCGCAATTTCAGGTGTCCTGTCTTGAGTCCCGCCCCATCAGCCGTGATGCCGACCCGCTTCGCAGATTCACACCCAGTCTCCCTTCGTCAGCCGATCGTGAAGGATCTGATCCAGTGCCTACGCTTGCGGGTCGCATGACGATATCGAGCTTCACGATGGTGTACGTCTACGCGATGAAGGCGTCGCGATCGGCGGTATAAAAGATGTACAGGAGTGGTATGGGGAGCCATCCAAGAACCGAGGCATTCATCCCCCTTCGTACATCCTCATCACCACATAGCAATAATGGTCTCCAAGGTCGCAGTCGCAGGTGTAAGCAGATCAATCGCAACTCGTGTCGTACATTAGGTCTAACGTCCAGACACCATATTACAGGCAACCGGCAACATCGGTCTGCCCATCGTGCAGCAGCTCGTCGCGGCCAAGTTCGACGTCGTCGTCCTCTCGCGCTCCGAGAACCCGTCCGGTCTGCCCGCAGGCGTCACCATTCGCAAGGTCGACTACGAGTCGATCGAGTCGCTCACCGCTGCGCTCCAGGGAGTCGATGCCGTCGTGTCCGCCGTCGGCTCCGCCGCTCTCGCCGGGCAGATCAAGATCATCGACGCCGCCGTCGCCGCGGGCGTCAAGCGCTTCCTTCCCTCCGAATTCGGTAACGACACCGAGCACCCCGCCGTACGCGCGCTGCCGGTGTTCGGGCCCAAGATCGCGGTGCAGGAGCACCTGAAGAAGGTCGCCGCCGAGTCGAGCTTGACATACACATTCGTCGTCACCGCGGGTTTCCTCGATTGGGGTTTGCAAGCGGGCTTCCTGCTCGGCCCGCTGAAGGAGCGCAAGGCGGAGATCTACGACGACGGTAGCCAGGAGTTCAGCGCGACGACGATCGCGACGATCGGTCGCGGAATCGCCAGCGTGCTGCAGCACCTGGACGAGACAAAGAACCGGACGGTTTACTTCCACGAGGCGGTCGTGAGCCAGGCGAAGATCCTGAGCATCGCAAAGGAGCTTACACCTGGGGAGACGTGGGCGGTCACCGAGAGCAAGTCGGCGGCCCTGAAGGCGAGGGCGGATGAGAAGCTGGCGAAGGGCATCTTCGACGCTGAGGTGGCGGTTTCGCTCATCAAGTACTCCATCTTCGGCCCTGGCTTCGACCCTGTGTTGAGGAAGCTAGATAACGAGTTGCTCGGGATCAAGACGATCTCTGACGACGAGCTGCGGGCGATCGTGAAGTCCGCGTTGTGATTTATAGCACAGATTTGTCTGGTTTTCTGTAACTCGCGGATGAAATGAACTTCAAGGACTACATATAATCGGATTCGCGCGAAGAAAAGCTTCGCGAGTGCGCTGGGAGTCATAAAGCTTGTATTGGGTACGTTATATCGGATAACGCGGAACGATGGCATGACGTGTCCACAACGAACCGTAGTCTACGCAACGGGATCGTGAATTTCGGGGACGCGTCCGGAAAAAAGAGCAGCTCGCAGGGAATGCTGAGTGCGTATCGCGGCGGTAGAAAGAGGGAACGGGTGAGGCGGGTACACGATCACAAAGGACCCGCTATGCGAAGCCTGTGATCGGGCGCTGTGAGTATGCGACGCGATATCGCGATGCCCGGACGTTCGACACAGCGGAGAGAAGCATGAACCTGCGTTGTGCAGGACGCTGCAGTCTCCTATCGTACGAGGTCTAATGTGTCGCTATCAGGATCTGCAGGAGCTGCGGATCAACCTGGAAGGACGTACCATGGGTAAGAAAATGCTGGTCGAGTTGCAAATTTGCGTCTGTTTACGCAAGGCCACTACGCCAATGCCCCTGCGGGACGGCGGCAGAGCCAGCGGGAAACCCATGCGAAGCCGACATCTTCCCGAACGCGGCGCCGTAGTCCTTCTTCTCCTTCTTAATCAACGACTTCTTTATAGGCGCGTTAGATTCGGGTTGGCAGGACGATCGAAGTCCGAGCACGGCGCGCAGAGATCGCTTCGATGGCTTGGTCTTGGGGGTGGGTGCGGCTGCCATTCCGGCGAAGCCGTAGGTGGACTGCATGACGCCGAGCGCGACGAAGTAATCTTTCTTCGCGGGAGCGGAGTTAGACGAGGAGGAAAGGAGGGTCGCAGTGGAAGATGCAGGCGACGCGGGACTAGTCGAGTGGTTCTGAGAGAAGACCGAAAGCGTCGAAGCGGGGTAGAGGACGGTGGTGTGCATCGGCATTACTGCTGAGATGTGGTATTTGATCGTATTTGAGCTGGTAGATTGCTGAGAAGCTGCTAAGAGGACGACGCGGGTGGTTGTCGGTTGTCGACATGTCATCCACTGCATATTTTATAGGAGCGTCCAGCGTGGTACGCAGTTCTGCTCTCGAGAGCGCACAGCAGGGGCGCAGTGAGCGAGTCTTGATGATGAACGGCACCGACCACATCGGTAATCCGCAGTGACTGGTGCGGACAGCGGAGAGGCACATTATGTTCTCCGGGGGCGCCTAGACCCATGGCTGCCCCTGATGGAACGTCTTCGGATGTCTGCAGTCATTATTTTGAACTTTCGCGACAAGGAGATCGTCCGCAGCGCAGGATGATGAAGCCTATCAAGGCGCGCAGTGGCTGCGCACACACTTTCTTGCGCTCCTCGTCGATCAATCCAGCTGGTAACACTCAGGGTGCACTTCTTATGACTTTGTCGTCTAAGCAAGGTCCTGTCCCTTGGAATGTGTTTGCGGGCTGCAACGTCGTAACACGTAAGGACTACTCGTAGCCATTTCCGTCCGGTGGCTACAGACTTTTCGACATAACGCGAAAATACAGTGTATGTCCATCAAGAAGGATCGATATCTGCATCCCATATATGCACCGAATCATCGTCAGCGCGTTTTGGTATCCCATACCCGTATTGTGCCGTCATAGGAGCCCGAGACGATATGCTTGCCATCCGGAGAGAAGGCCACGGAGGTTACTGCAAGCGAATGGCCTTGCAAGGGCTTCAGCGGCATCCTACGGGACCGCGCATTCCAGATGCGGATCGTCTTATCCGCCCATCCGGAGACGATCCGTTTTCCCCTGGGCGGCCACGCTACTGAAGACACGCCCGAAGCGTGGCCTCGCAGTGGCTCGTCGGCGGGCCTGACCGTCTTTGTATTCAAGGTCCATATGAGGGTTGTCCTGTCCTGTGATCCGCAGACGATGCGAGTCCCGTCGGGAGAGAAGGCGACGGAGTAGATCTTGTCGTTGTGTCCGTTTGTGGGAGACCCAACTCAGAGCATCTCACCCTTCTCCGTGTCCCACACTCGGATTTTATGGTCGGTTCCCTCTGCGACGATGTACCTACCGGAGGGTGAGCAAGCAATAGATACAGTAACATGCTGTGCATGCGCCCTGCAAGTCGCTCCCCGAGTTGGTGACCGTCCTGGACCGACCAAAAGCAAATCGTGCCCTCCTCAGAGCCCGAGGCGAGGCGTGCTCCATCGGGAGAGAAGGCGACGGATCTAACCCGCTCATGCCCATCGATTGGAGGGAGTGCTGCCTTCCCGGTTTCGGCATGCAAGATATGGATCGATCGCCAGTAGGAAACGGCGGCGATACGTGAGCCCTCGTGGTCGAACGCAACGGAGGACACTGCGAAGGCGGTCCGAAAAACCGGCGCGGTTTACCCTATGATACTCTAGTTAGTTTTCATGAAACATATGATGACCGTTCACGTACGATCGCAGAAAACGTTCAAGGCTTGCAACGGATCAGTCATGGCGTCGAGCGATCGGCACAAAGAAAAGGGAAGGGGCTCATATAAACAGATTATTTTGAATCAACCGAAGCTGGGAATCAGAGCAATGGCGCAGAGCTTGGTCGGCGTTGTGGAGCAAAACGAACGCCGCGCAAACAGGCACAAATACCAGAGCGTATGCTCACTGCGCTCTTTACTCGGCTTGCAAGTGAATATGTCATTTCGCCCTCTCGGAGTCAGTGAAAATGGATGAATACCGCGATGATCAAGTGTGGCGGCTCTGCTGGAAGATATATCGCGAACACCTACGAAGATGTTTGCGGGCTGAAACGAGACGGTATTCGACGGTGAGCTCAGCAACTCGTGGAGTTTGCTTCCTGGGTAACTTAATCATGGGCCGCATGCAGGATCTGCGCAATTCTATCAAGGAAGCCATCCTCGCTCACTCGTCTGTTTGATACATGGCTCCGAGTCGCCAGCAGGAGTACGCTCCTTCAGTCGAACTGCCAAATTGTCGCAGGTTTCTTGCGGGATGGTTTCAAGGCAAGCACCTCGCCGGCAATATCGCACCATGCCGAACCTGACAGCAGCCTCAGATCAGGATAAGTACTCCAACTTCACTGCTTTAGGCTTTCAGCCCCCCGTTCGACCAGAAACCGCGCGGGTTAACACGTGTCTAGGAAGCTAGTGGGTCAGACGTGCTGAAGCTGACTGAGCTGAGTACGCGTACGCGTTCCGCGACGCAAAAGCGATTCCTGTGGTGAACGGGGATCGTCCGACGGAATACTCCCAAAGGCTCCAAACATATCTCGAACGCGTACTGTACTATCTGAGAGCTTCATGGCGACAGTCTTCACGGTCGCGGTCGCGGGCGTAGGCACTTTCTGCTCAGCCGTTATGTCAACGTGGACTGAACATCCTGTTTGATATATAGGCAACCGGTAACCTCGGCGTACCCGTCGTCGAGCAGTTGGTCGCGGCCCGTTTCGAGGTCATCATACTTTCGCGCTCCGACAAGCCCGGCAACCTCCCCTTTGGCGTCACCGTTCGCAAGGTCGACTACGACTCTGTCGCATCCCTAACCGCAGCGCTCCAGGGCGTCGACGCCGTCGTCTCTACAGTCGCGTACGCCGCGCTCGCAGGGCAGACGAAGATCATCGACGCCGCCGTCGCCGCGGGCGTGAAGCGCTTCCTGCCTTCTGAGTTCGGCAACGACCTTCACCCGCCGCTCGAGCGCGCACTGCCCGTCTTCGCGCCCAAGGTCGCGGTGCAGGAGTACCTCGCGAAGGTGGCCGCGGAGACGAGCTTGACGTTCACGATCGTCAGCACCGGGCCGTGGCTGGACTGGGGCGTTCGCTCGGGTTTCCTACTGGGCCCGCTGAGGGAGCGCAAGGCACAGATCTTTGACGGGGGAGAGAAGGAGTTCAGTGCGACGAGGTTGGCGACGATTGGCCGCGGGGTGGTGGGCGTTTTACGGCACTTGGAGGAGACGAAGAACCGGACAGTGTATTTTTGTGAGACGGTCGTGAGCCAGAGCAAGATCCTGTCCATTGCGAAGACGCTCACGCCTGGGGAGGGGTGGACGATCACAGAGAGCAAGGCGGAGACGGATCTGAAGGCGAAAGCGGATGAGAAGCTGGCGAAGGGCTTGTTCGACGTCCAGGCAGCCGTTTGGCTGATCAAATACTCGGTGTTCGGCGAGGGGTTCAGCACGCTGTTGAAGAACCTGGACAACGAGTTGCTTGGGATTAAGATGATGACGGACGAAGAGTTACGGGAGATTGTCCAGTCTGCATTATGATCGCGATCCTCTAAGGCGGATTCGGTGTGTATGGAGAAGTACAAGTATTCGGGGCATGTACCGTAAAGTCGCAAAAAGGCGTATGCTACTGGTGTTTGCTGCAACGAGGGAGATACGGGACGGCTACTGAGGACCCCCATAGCAATCAAAATCGACTGAGCATCGGGCGCGTGTGCGTTCGCGTCCGCGGTATTCGCAGCCGATGCAGCGAGGCAAGATCAAGCATGCGCCGAGCTATTGCCCAACAGCGGCTGCGTGAGCGATCGGACTAAAGGCGGCGAGTTCCTGCCGTGCGCGAGACGGCTACTCGGGTCCATGCAAAAAACTGGCGACTGCTGGTTAGCATAGATGCAAGATAGAATTAAACGACACGAAACATACTGTAAGCGGAGATTTCGCTACTGAAACACCATTATGCGAGTGTCTATGCCAGACCGCTGCGGCAATGAGGAGCGGCGGCAGAGAATCCGTAGGACGCCGACATTTTCCCGTACGCCGCGTTGTACTCTTTCTCCTCGCCGTGTGCCACCGTCATGGCGTGTGGACTGACATCGCTCTCGGTGCTGTTGCGAGATCGAAGGCCGAGCGCAGTGCGCAAAGACCGCTTGAACTTCAGCCTCGACGAGTCGGGCAAGGGCGTAGGGGCTGTACCCATTACGGAAAATCCGTAGGTGGATTGCATCGTGCCAAGCGCAGCGAAGTGGTTTTTCTCCAAAGACGAGGAGGAGAGGGAGATGGCGGGGCGGCTCGAGGCATCAGCTTGGTGCCGGGTGATGGCCGAGGCGGTGGATGCGAGGACGACGGCGGTATGCATCGACATAGTTGATCGCATGGAGTGGGTTTCGAGTAGATGAAAGCTGAGCTGGAAGGCTGTTGAGGCGGAGAGAACTAGCTGAAAGATTTCTGTTACTCGATGTATTGAGCATAGCACAATTTATACGCCCGTCCCGAGTGGTGCGTAGTCTCGCTGTCTGGAGCGCGCACAGCAGGACGCAGCAATACGCCCATAAGACTTTGACCTGTATCGATTGCTGCGGTTGCACAGTGAGATATAACGCGTTCAAGAAAGGGACGACTCATATGTCTGAAGAAACGTTTCACGATTGTGTCCGAATATCCGCAGTGCTCGATGTTTGATCCGTGCCCAGCAACTGCGCGCGCTCGCTCGCTCGCATTCGCTCGCAAGTTTGGGAGCTATTACTGACGTGACTCGCTGTATTAGTGAGTGCTGAAGTGATGCGAGAAGTTTTCGCCATTGTGCCGAGAAACGAGCAAGTTGGAAACCCGGTGGAGGCATTCACCATCAATGACAATGTCGCTGCGGGGAGTATGTGTGTCGACGACCATGGTATAGGTGCATGCATGTGACAATCGCAATCTATGCCTGAAGACTTGCAATGCCATTATTTCTCATGACCCCGCGAGAGATCAGCTGTGTCGCCGTGGTCAACGAGAAACCTGGATTTTCGACGATAGTGTAACACGTGATCGAACCTGTTTCGCGGGCGGCGCTCGAGCCTCCGACCGCAACACATTATTGAGGCCTGTTCAACGTTCAGGTTAGCTGTCCCTGTCCCTTGGGGATCGTCCGACGCGATGGCATCGAAGAACAAGGCGAGGGCGGCAGGCGTTAGCGCGAGCTCATTCACGGATCTTCAAGCGGAGCTCGCCAGAAAGAAAGAGGCGTTCGCCAAAGCCAAAGCTGCAGGTCAGACTGCTACTGCGTCCTCGCCTATCTTCGGAGGAGAGAAGAAGGCGAGTGACAGTGCCTGTTAGCGTCTGTATTTGCTCGAGTCTGACGAAACCGCACAGAAGCCGACGGTATGGGCGCGACAGAACAAGGGCGTCAAGAACCGTGCCGCGCGGGACCTGGAGATCGAGGCGGTCAGCAAGCCGACGCTAAAGTCTGCACGAGCCGTCCTCGAGCGCAAGGCAAAGATATACGAGAAGCTGCAGAAGGGAAAGACGGGCGGGCTCACGGAGGCGCAGTACAACTCGCTGCTGGTTGACGTGCGTATCTGCGCCGGCATCATCCTTGATCTCTCATATCGGCTGACGTTTTTCCTCTTCTTTTCGCAGTTCGACTCTAAGGTTCAAGACGTATACGAATCTGATAGCGACGACGTGGACGAATCGGTTACGGTACCGCGACCACCTCCTGGAGCGGAAGGTGACTCCCTCGTAGAGCACGAAGACGAATTTGAACGAACGCGGATGATACCGCGGTCTGAGCTACCCTCCACTTCTCGATCTTCAGGCCTCAACGACACGGAAGACCCGCTCGTTGAATACGAAGACGAGTTCGGCCGCATGCGGACGGCGCGCCGGTCAGAAGTTCCACGAGATCTGCTCCCGAAGCCCAAACCCGAAGAAATACCCGACGACGACTCAGTCCTATGTACGTCTGCCCGTCCCCTCTAGCCGGCCTCCTTTTCTGACGCGTTCATGCGCACACAGACAACCCGACGCATCACTTCCCCGTCTACCAGCCCGATCCCGACCGCGTCGCCGCGATTGAGAAAGAGCTCGCCGAAGCGAACGCGCCGCTCAATGTGCACTACGACGCCGCGCGCGAGGTCCGCGCTAAGGGCGCCGGATTCTACCAGTTCTCGGCCGACGAGGAGACTCGCCGGCGGCAGATGGAGGAACTCAAGCAGACCCGGCTCGAGACGGAGCGCGCGCGCCGGGAGGCGGGCGCTGTCGATCTGAAGCCTGGCGAGACTGAGGGTCTGCGAGACGAAGAAGGCGAAGGCGAGGGATTGAAGCGGAGCCGGGCGATGGAGAAGCGTAAACGAGAACTTGAGGAACGAAGACGGTTGCTGGATGCGAAGAGGCGGAAGGTCAAGAGTGGGCCCGCGGTGGGCGACGAGCCGGTCATGGCGTCTATGCCTTCGGAATCATCTACCCAGCAGCCAGTCGCCCTTGCTCAGGCGCAGATAGACCCGTTCGCAGCGCTTGAGGCGCAAGTATCCTCCACACAACCGCGCCCGGTCAGCGCGGCCGATGACTTCTTGGCGCAGCTTGAACGGGACGTCCTCGGAGGGAAAACTTGATTGTCAGTCTTCCTTGATCGGAGTGTTATACCGTGTATTCATGCTATGGTCACAGAATACAGCGCGTTTTGCACTGCCTCGACGATCAACCTTCTAGGGCACTGCAGCGCGTATCAGGCGCCTCTTCTTGCATACTCTACGCGAGTTTCGTTGCGCTTCTGTTGTTGCCTCTCGACGGGCTTTGTCCCCGACACGAGGTCTGATATGACGCCCCTTGGTAGCTGTCACCATCTCCATCGCCGACGCCCCCCTCCCCGTCGTCTGTTGCCCCGGTCTGATCCGTCTCGCACACCAACACAATCAGGTCGTCCGCACGTTCGTGCCAACGTATAATTGATGAGCACCCGCTCTCGCAGCTTATCACCGACGAGAGCATGCGCTCTTCTTCGTGCCATAACTCGAGCTCGTCTGGAGGCCCGAGTCCAAGGGGAGCGGGTTCAAGGACGTACTGAACCGTAGCGCAAGGCCAGAGGTGACGATTCCGCGAGTCGTAGACAGTTTTCCCGACACGACATGCACAACGACGACTTTTATACAACGCGGCGCGGGAGTGCTACCATGCGGGTTTTCCGACAGACATAGAATCTTGCGAACTCAAGAGATCGTCTACTCTCCGCCGCCACGGACTTGAAACCCGCGAGTTCCCTTCGACATTCACGACCGCTGCAGGCTCGCTCGCCAACCAGAATCACCCACACTCAAAAATTCTGCCATGTTCTGGGTTGGCTTGTCGCAAGCTTCGCATACGCACGGAAGGATGTGATATGCTATAGCGTTTTTGGCAGGCAACTACAATTACCATACATAGTACGAGGACATCTAGGAACACAATCCGTAGTCACTGTCCCGTGCGTACACTTTAAGAGTCCTGTTGACATGAACGAAGGACCATGCAAGACGTCTTGGCTGCGCTGTAGAAACGCAGCGCATTCAATACGTAGCGCAAGGGTGAATATCGATTTGCAGCGGTACCGGCAGCGACCTTGTCGCTTACCACAACAGGGCGAGTTGTACTCGCCATCGCAACTCATGCACCTACATGACGAAGGTCAGCGGCAGATGGACGTCGCAAGCAATGTAACGTACCCTGGAATCATGGATCCTATTCAGGAGATGTGAGCAGTGATACGCATTGCCCTCTTGTCCGATTTCCATGAGAAGTGGCTGAGCGATTGTGACGTGTTCGACTGCCTCGGTGTAATGACGCTGATCGCGATTGAGTTCGCCCATATGCATTCGACACGGAGCAGTCTCAGTGATCTCCGGTGCTTGAACAAGGTCGACAGCGCCCTAGTTTCTCTGCAGCATGACCATATCGCTCCTGGACATGGTCGATGTTGGCGAGGCTTTGAAGGCACTGCACTGCGCCAAGCCGATCTCCGATATGGACTTTGGTCATCGCAAGAAAGGACGGAATGGTGTGTGCCCGGTGCCGCATTGTATACACGTTGCGACCCGAGCATATGTCATTATCGATAACGTGCCCTGCCAAAGCTTCGAGGCTTTCCACACACGCACCATCTTGATCCCGTATATCGCAGTGGCATCCACTTGCCCATTCTTCGTCGATCACTGCTCAACGCAAACGATACGCCAGTGTTCCGCTCGTCCGCCGCCGAATGTCGTCGCGTCGAACATCCATCGAGCTATGCACAGTCGAGGAAGGTCGCAGGGTCAAGGGGAGTTACGTTAAGGTAGGAAGATCGCACGTTGGTCGCAAAGCGAAAATTGTTCAACCGATCATCATAGCGCGACCTGGCAGAGGACCCTAGACCCTCGACGTCTTCGAGTCGAGAAGAGCAGGGCATAGATTCACACGCTCAGACGGCAAAGGTTACTGATGATCAGCTCGAAGAAAAAGTATTGGAAGATGAGCTAAAGGTGAGCGCAACACATTCTCCTTCAAATTGCAATACCGACGGCTCACCTAGTCTCAGCCTCAAGATATATTCGCCACCGCGACGTCGGCCGCGACAGCAGTGACAGGATGGGACTACGTTTATGGACGATTGGAAAAGTACGATCGGGAAATGATTAAGGGGTACTCGGAAGACATCGACAATCTCCTTATCTTTGTATGACATTTCCTCACCTGTCCTAACGTTTCTGACAGGATACATGTTATAGGCAGGTTTGTTCTCTGCGGTCCTCACCGCGTTCCTCGTCGAGGTATATACACAACTTCAGCCCGATGACACCCAACTGTCGATCCAACTGCTTTATAACATTTCGCTTCAACTCCAACATATCTCCATGAACCAGGCCGCTCCTGTGTCTTCCAACGGCCCGCTCACCATGCCCTTCTACCCTGGTCCGCGTGTGGTCGCCATCAACGCTCTGTGGTTCCTGAGCCTCGTCCTCGCCCTGGCCTCCGCTCTTCTCGGCATATTCGTCAAGCAATGGCTACGCGAATACATAAGCTGGACATCTGTATCTCCCATACAACACGCAATACAGCTCCGGAAGTTCCGCTTCGACGCTTTTCAGCGATGGAAGGTCCCCGGTATCGTTACGCTGGTGCCAGGCCTACTGCAGTTGGCGGTTGTGCTGTTCTTTGGAGGACTCGTCACCCTGCTCTGGCCAATCAATACGGTCGTATCTGCGGCATGTTGCGCCGCAGCTGGCACGACTATCATATCGGCCGTGCTCGTCGTGCTAATGCCGCTCGTATTTGACTCGTGTCCCTACAAAACCCCTTTCGCGTGGATGATTTTGCCATCCATTCGCCCATGCTACCGGCTTTTTCGACGCTGTATGAAGTCCATATACAGGAAAGTGGGGAACTATGATTGGAATCCCTGTCTCTACCCCATTGATGACTTCTTCGACCGTCGTCGGCAGTCTCACGCCGACTTGTATACATTCAACGGGTGGGCACATCGGGATATGGCCCTAAAATGCTTCGCACGCGACCCTTTGAACAGTGTCGCGGCTCATTGCTACTCCCTGCTGTGGCTTACCTTGCACGAGGATCCCGGTGATGGCGTTACCTCGCAATGCATTTCCGATTTACCAGGTCCGCCTGTGCGCACCCGCTCCGCCATCGAGAGGGATAGTAGATGGTATGACAAGCGTAACATGCCAAAATGGCCTGAAACCCTGACGAGCCGTGTGTGTGGCTACTGGCTGGCGATTTCTGAGCTTCTCGGGCTATTGTCCTTCCGGTCTATTCCAGTGCTGGATATACTTGACAATTCTTGTGAAGTTCCCTTCACCGACGATCGCAATGATTGCCCCGAACGACCGCGAGCCATTTGTGATACACTGGAAACGCTCAATGACGCACAAGTACGCCTGATGTTTAAACTACTTGCATCCGGCCTCGATGCACTCTTCACCTCCTCACTAAAAGACTGCGAGGATCATTTATTTCCGCGGCGGAGTTTACCTAACCTTCATATCAATGCGCTGAAGATGATGCACTTAATCTCAGCAGAACACAAAATCTTCTATGCTTCGTGCGAAGTCTATATCTTGCGGACCCTCTCAGGCATGGACCAGCTCTCCTTTTCGGTCGACGATAGAAATCGGACTTTCAACATGATCCATACATGTTGCGAGTCCGGGTTAAACCGAGGATGTGATGCGCGTGCGTGTACACCTCTGTTATGGCTTTGAGTACAATTAATCGAATTATTTTAGCGGCAGAGGATACCGCACATTGTCTTGAACTAGCAACTTCGTGTTACGACAGCGGGGCTTTTCGGGAGCACGAGGAGCATCGGGATCGCTTCTGGGCTGCCGTAAAGTGTGTCACCTCCCTTTGCCAAGACTCAGACCTTCTCGACCGTTCGTCGGAATCCTTTAGACGCTTGTGCACGGCGATGATTAGGTTCGACGACAGCTTGATCGATGCGCTGTCGTTGTGGGCCGAGTTCAGTGACGGGCAACCCACCATGAAGGTCGACTGGTTGCAGCTGTTCCAGTTCCTGGTACGCCACAAAGAGCTGGCTGAAGAACGGACAACGGATGTTATGAAATGTGTCGTGGGTGCATATCGTCGCGGCTTCAACCCAGACGGGATGTTGTACGCTCTGTTCGTGTACAACTTATATTGGGATCACCTGTGTTGGGTCGACATGAATGACGCATACAAGTCCTTTGGGTTTCCCCCCATGCCTGGCAACGGAGGGATCACCAGATCCTCGCTGGGGAGCATTTTTACTTGGGACGATGGCCGGCCACATGTGATTTCTGCGCACGAGATGCCGGTGCCACCTCACAACGGATTGGTCACGACCGAAGCCATCATGGACGAGAATAATGCCAACGACTCAAATCTTGGCGAACATGGTGCAGATGCACTCGATGGAGTCTCGCTCTGCGGGATCATACCCGAGGGGCCGACTCGGGGAGGCGCGGGTTCTTGTGATGTAGATTCAGGGCCCGGAGGTCAGCATTCAGACGCCATCGAGACCAATCCACGCCCTGATAGCACACGAGAATCCCATTGGGGATTTCATTGTGGGAGCTGTACGTCGCAAGTGGCGGAGGGCGACCACCGCTGAGGGTGAGGCGGGATTATGCCCGTTGGTGTTGACCAGCTTCCCAGGAGCAGAGCCTATCGGTCTCGGAGTAGCTGCGAGCCCGATTTCTCCACCCTATCCGCAGGATTGTGAGATGGACAGGTCTTTCGTAGCACGTTAATCATGGTAATCTGTCGAAATTGCTGCAAATATATGAATAAACGACCGTGTACAATATTGTCGGTACGGCACAAACAATCTATGGTACATTCCGATTTCCACCTTCATCATGACCCTGAATATTACAAGGGCTTCGCCATGCTGTACAAACATAAGTATGTGGTACGCTGCACAGATGAGCGCAAAAGAACTGACGTAGCGTCAATCTGGGTGACCTGCGGGAGCGCGAGCATAATCTTCCGTCGGTAGTTTGCCCCCTCCGCCCGCTGGCAAGGGTTGCCCTCGAGGTAGATCGTCTCGAGGGTGGATATGTGGCGTAGCTCCGACTCCAGCGCGCGGAGGTCAGGTATCTTGTTGTTGTTCATCTGTTCCCGGTTTCGTTAGCCCTCGGCCCAAAGGAGAGGGATGAGGAAAAAACTCGCCCAGAGTTCTTCCAGCTGGTGCAGGTGGGAGAGCCCCTTCAGCTCTGCGACGAAATTGTTGGATACGTCGAGTGTCTGCAATTTGGACTGTACGGGACGTGGATGAATAACCCATGATGTGATTCGCAGACTCGAGTCGAGGCTTACGTTCGCCTCTAGCCCTTCTAGTGATTGGATACCGTTATGGCTGAGATATAGCTGTTCTAGGTCTGGTAAGTTCTCTAGGTTCTCGATCTTGGTGATACGGTTCGACTGGATACTAAGGATCTTCAGCTTCTTCAAGGAGGCCAATCCCTACGCAACGGTCGCAGACGAACAGTCAGCATCAGCGTACATGACGCGAGCAATAATCGTTTCGAGATTCACCTCCAGCTTCGTGATCTTGTTCTTGCCGAGCCACAGTTCCTCCAGGTTGCTGAGGGCATCGAGCCCTTCGATTTTCTGCACGCGACGGAGGATCAGCTACGGGAAAACGAATTGATGAACGGAGATTTACCCGTATCCTGTTGCCTCCGAGCTCCAGGCTGCGAAGGTTTGCACCGAGGGCCTCCAAACCCTCGATTTTCGTGATCCTGTTTTGGACGAAGTACACGGTATGCAGCGTCCGCAGGTTCTTCAGCCCTTCAGGTATAGCACGAAGGTTGTTGAAAGACAGATCGAGGACGCTGGGGTCATACTTCAGCAAGATGAAGATGGTGGGGATTTCAAAGGCCGAGTGCGTACGACAGGTCGGAGAGATTGTCCAGCGCGTTTCCGAGCGTCTTGATCTGGTTGTCGTACAGGTCCAGCTCTTCCAGTTTCGTGAGGACGCTAAACACGTCCGGGTCGAGCTTGTTGATGAAGTTTTGCCGCAGACACAGCCGCTTCAGGCTCGATGCGAAGCGTTGTAAACGGAGCTTGTCCAAGGTCGCGAGTCGCGCATGCACGAGCTCTAGCTCCTGGACGTGAAGTTGATGTTGAGATGCAGCCCGGCGGAGTTGAGGCGTGTGGCGTACCTCCGTGTCATCCGGATAACTCTCTAGGAGATCTTCCAACGCTCCCTCCTGCTCCTCTTCACTGTCCGACTCGGACTCGGACTCCGGATCCGGGAGCGCTACTCGTGCAGTCCTGAATACGCAAAGGATGTACTCAGTCGTGTAGTTGGATCGATGATGCGGAAAGCATAACATACTTCGGCTGCGAATATTCCACTTCCACCGACTTCTTCACCACGGGAGATATGATCGCGTCCGACATTGCTCACTTCACGTGCGATGTGTGAGACGATTCTACTTTTCCTGATGTTGATATAGCTTTGATATATAAGCCGTTGGATGGTGTTCTAGCACAACTTAGCAGGCCTGTGGCGAGTTTGTGGCAGCGCGAAGTCTCAATAGTAACTCGCGAAACTCGTTCGGGGATGACGTCGTCGGATGACTCGGCGAGGTGTATTCTCACGCTCACCATGACCACAATTATTGCAACCCACAGTGGGGGTCAGCAGAAAGCATAGGCGAACAAAAACGGGTACAAAAGAAATACACGGTATCAACAATAATCATGAGTCGGAATAAGCAAGGCTGGCCGCACGCGTGTATGGAATACCGCTCCGAGATAAGCCTGGTATGGATTGAGGTGATGCACAAGTCTTCAGCATCGCTGGAACAAAGCTAGCGTACTGGCGACGGGGGATAAACGGGATCTGAAAGTTATTTAGCCGACGGTACACCAATCCGCTACGACTACTCGCCTCTTATCTGCAGGGCGAAGGGCCTTTCGTACTCGGGATCCATGAAGGATTTGTGCGTACCCATGACACAACCCGGACCTAGCCTTGCGACGGCGTCTGCGGAAGAAGAGACGTAGTATAAGCCAGTCTCGTTCGCGCAACGAACGGGTGGTATCACGCACATTTCGAATCGTCGTCCACCAGGTAATACAACTTGAGCTTCGTCCACAGCTCGTTGACGGATTGCTCCGAGATCTCGCCCGCCGTTACCTTCCTGAACAGCTCCTCCCAGTTCTCCACCCACAACCGCCGTTGCGCGAGCGGCCGATCCTTGATAATGATCGGTTGCGCGAACCGAGCCTCCTTGGAGAGACACCGGAGCGAGACGATGTTCACCCCGACCCCGCCGTTCGCCTTGATCTCTTCCGACAGCCGGTGGAGGTCCGCTAGGCCCGGTTCGGAAAATTCCCAGTAGCGGTATTCGGGCGGGGCGTCGCACACGGTACACTTTTTGATGATAAATTGCTGCTGCCGCTTGGGTAGCCGACCGCGGGCGTCGGGAGGCGCGTAGTCGACGTCGATGAGGATGCATTGGTCAGGCCGATCGAGGGGTTTGACGATGTCCACCTTGAGCGCTTGGCAGATCACAAAGTCGAACATCTCGCTGTGCGACTGTGCGGGGACGTTGATCAAGTCGCCAGATAAAGGAAGGAAGGGAACATGAAGATCGACATACCAACATCCACCGTTTCATATCTGCGAGCACGTCTATCTCAGTCTTGCCTGTCTTCCCGGCTGCCGCAGCTTGCTGCTTGTCGTGTTCCATCTCTCTTATTCCCTGTACAACACGCGACGGCGTCCCATGTTCAACTGCCTCAACCTCGATGATAACCAGAGACATGCCTCCGCCACAATCTTGCACCATGGTTTGTGCGCTTGCCAGTGCGCTCGCTGGCAGTTTTTGCTCTGTTCACATAACCGTCAACCGGGAACTCGAAGGTGACTTTCAGGAGTAAGAGGAGAAGATGCGAACACAGTATGCAGCGTGACACGCTTCCACATGGTGTCAGTGGGCTTCAGGATATAGCAAGAAGAGGTCTGATCGACAACTACCGGCGCATTTGTACACTCGAGAGGGCCGTTTGGCGCAGAAGACACATTTCGCTCGTTCGCTCGTTAGAGATGGCATGGTTGCCAGCGCCAAAGGTAAGATGCAGACAAGAGCAGACTGGGAGTACTCCGCATGGATAAGGGCAGGTGCGGCAAGTCTGAGATCGCGGAGTCACGAAGTCACCTGCGTTTGACCGCATCCGACTGCAGCAGTACACGCCTACGTAGTACCACTGCAACTTCGACCGCACAGACATGCCAACCGCGTTGAAATACATGTTTACACAGCAACAGTTATATAAGTATGCAAGAACAGTCCAATTGGACTGATATCGCTAGGCGACAGGTGAGTATTATAGCTTCGCTTTCGTTGATCCTTCGGCAAGGGTTGCCGCAGCAGCGGAGAGTACCGTGGTACCTCGTTCCTTCACCTTGGTGACTATGCGTGGCGTTAATACAAGCATGTCGCACCACACATGGATGAGCACGAACCGAAGATGACCTTGTCGCCCTCTTTCCACATCTCCGTAACGAGCGTCTCGCCGGGGAACACGACACCCGCGAACCTGGCCACAACCCCGTCAACAACGGCTGATGACACAGAAACGAACACGCGCAGCCTCACCGAACTTTGATATCCTTAAATTGCCCAAAGCTCTTCAAGACGTGCTTGCCGGAGATACCCATGGTGCACAAGCCTAACATTGCGCGAGTAAGGCGTTTGTCACCGCAACGAGCGCGCCCGGACACGCGCATACTCACCGTGTAGTACCGGCTTGTCGAAACCACCAATGGCAGCAAATTCCGGTACCATCTGCACTCACAGGTTCAGCCCCGGTCACCACGAATTCATGAGACATCCGCTTACATGTAGGGGATTCAAATCACCACTCAACCTACAGATGTCCCGTCACTACCCCGATCATGGCACGAAGGACAGGGATGACGCGTACCGGTACAGCGCAGCCTGTGTCGGCAACGTCTTCTCTTCCAATGTAGCATCTGGCGCCCGCTTCGGAGGAACGTTCGGAGCGGTCGCTGGTCCACGGTCTAGCCGGTACAGCATTGGTGATTTGAGTGACAGTAACATATGGGGCGAAGGACCCACCCTTTCCATTGCGTTTGCCGCCAAAGCCACCGCACCCGCGGACGAACACGGTTGAGGTATTGTCGAAGAGGACAGCGCCGGTCTTCTTATCTTTCGTCTCGATGATGGACGTCACCGCAGCGGCCTTGCCCTTGTCGAGAACCTCCAGTATCCTACTCAGGGATCAGCTCAACATCTTCTCGAGATAGTAATGTTCACGCACCGCGCCTCGCTGACCAGCTCGCCACTAGTCGGGATCGGGCCCCGTATCTGCAGGTATTGCTCGCCATGCACAAGCTTGGCCTATTCAGACAATGAGTTTGTAACGAATGCACGACTGGCATTGCCCGTACCGGATTCCAATTCGGTAACCAGTCCATCGAGAGACTTCCGCTGGCCAGGAACTGCGGGATAACGCCGAAGGTTGGCAACGCTGAGAAGTTCTCATCGCCCTCGTACGTCCAATGTAGCTCTTGCTCCGTTGCTCCGACGCCGAGGTTGTAGAGGATGACGTCCCGCTCGGTGTAGGTGTAGTCGACTTTCTCGGTCACCTCCTTCTTCGCCTTGAGCACCAGCTCGGAGTCTTCAGGGTCGGCATAGGGGATATCCTCACTGCTTCCTGAATCACCCTCGGCGGTGTTCGAAAAGTTGTCGACGATCTGCTGGATGGCCTCTTGCGTCGACGTGGGGTACGTCGCCCTTCCGTCATCTAGTGCAATCGCGGATGATAAGGCGAAGTCTTGATCACAACATGAGCTGAGCTTACTGAAATTGGTAATGATACCCCACTTCGCAACGACGTCTTCCGGAGTCAACTCCTTGTTGACCGGGAAACCGTGACCGCCCGCGCGTTGCCACCTCGTCTGGGCGGCCCAGCCACCCATGATCTCGAATAAGGAGCCTGTGGTCTCCTCGTTTGCCTCACTCGAAAGGTAACCCACTATCGGGGCGATATAATCGGGCTGGATTACTGTCAACCCGGCACTACACCAGAAGCGCACAGGGACGGTTGCTCACCTTGAACGCGTCCACCATCTCCGGCGGCCAGATCGTGCTCGTCATCGCCGTTCCAGCAGAAGGCGCGATGATGTTCACCAAAATGCCGTACTTCCGCCCTTCTATCGCCAGCGTGCGCGACAGACCAAGGATAGCCGCCTTCGCTGTTGAGTACTACCATGAAGATAAAAGACTGAGGATTCGACTACTGAGGATATGCGCGACCCATAACTCACGTTCGCTTGGCCGAAGTTGCCATCTATACGGTCGGGCATGTCAGTAAGTCCTGAAAACGATAGAGGAAGGAACGACTTACAGATTCCCACTTGCGAGCAGGTTGTCACGATCCGTCCGTACTTCTGCTTTTGGAAGATAGGCCAAACAGCCTTGCAGCACTGCAAAGCGAGTCAACCACTGTCTCAGATCATTTCAGCCGACAGAGTGCACAAACCTTATATGTTCCCCTGTCAAACAGTCGTAAATGCCGTGAACGCAATGGCGAGCGACAATAGCGTACCTGAGATGCACAGCCATTACAGCGTCCCACTCCTGCTCGGTCATAGCAGCGAATGACTTGTCCCGCAGAATACCAGCGTTAGCAACCAAGATATGCACGCCCCCAAACTTCTCCAGAGCGGCCTTCACGATTGTCTCGCCATCCTCCGCGGAGCACGCCACGGCCGTAGCCTTTCCGCCAGCTGCACACAATCAGATGTCAGTTACATCACGTCCCAATTGAGCAAGACGAGACGCGCACTTTTCGTGATTTCCTCGACGACGGCGCTCGCTCCCTTCTCGCTCACGTCGTTGATCACGACGTTCGCGCCGAGCTTTGCGTACATCAACGCGTACGCACGACCCAAGCCAGCGCCCGCACCGGTGATGATCACGGTCTTGCCGTCGAACCGCACCTCCGGCGACGCCTGCGGGTTCGTGGGGAGTGACATCGCCTTCTTTAGCGTGCCCTAAAGCCGCATCACGGATCGATCTTCAATTGCAAACGCCAGCCATCGGAAGGGAGAGCAGCTTACCACGGCGTCAAACTCTTTGGCGAAGTCGACGATGTAGTCCGGGTTCGTAAAGTCGGTGATTTCGGACCACTTCTCCTTCACCTGCAAGCGGGTGTATAGTCAGCGATCACGCTGTCGTTGGAATGGTGACAACCTACAGCTGAAGGCGTGAAACTCGCATCGGTCTTGAACACCGCGCCCTTGCTTCGCTCCCACCGAATCTCGGCGACGTATCCCGCACCGACCTCGAACACCTTGCCGGACGCTTGAGGTCCGTCCGGATGTGTAACCGCGAGGACGAACGGCGATACAAACGAAGGCTAGATCAGAAATGAAGGCGGGAAGTTGAGTTAAGGTGCAAGGGATGCTCCCGGATTAGTTACGGTGGCCGTACCTTAAGGTTGGCCAGCATTTCGGGAGGCATGATCGTTTCGGTCATTTTGGACGCCGCCATCTGAATTCGAAGAGATAAGAAAAGATCTGGCCCGAAAAGGTGCGAATGTACGTACCGGAGCGATGCAGATGGCGGATACGCCGTACTTCGCGCCCTCTCGCGCGAGCGTTTTGGTGTACGCGATGAGGCCCGACTTGGCCGCGCTGTAATTCGCCTGGCCGAAGTTACCTGCCGCGTATACCGCTTCAGCGTTGCGCTGAGGGAAGTACGGTTCCATTGCGCACCGTAGAGTCCCGCCGCGCTAGCAGTGTTCACGACCCTCCCAAACTTCTGTTTCCGGAATAACGGCCAGACCGCCTTCGTACACGAGAACGCGCCCTTCAGATGTACGGCTTGCACGGCATCGAACTCGGCGTCGGACATGTTCTTGAATCTGTGAAGTAATGACGAGATTGGAGGGCTGTTCGATAGAACCTGCTCAGCACTGCGACTCACCCCTTGTCGCGGAGGATCCCGGCATTGTTGATGAGGATGGTGACACCGCCGAACGCATCGAGAGCGGTCTTGATCACGGCCTCTCCGTCCGTAACCGACGAGTTGTTAACCACAGCTTTCCCGCCGGCTGCACACCAGCTTCAGCGGGAGATTCTTCACAAGACGTCGCAGGTCTCACTACGCACCTTTGGTAATCTCGTCCACAACAGCCTGCGCCGCATCTTTGTTGAAGTCGTTCACGACGACATTCGCTCCCCGAGCCGCATACGCCAACGAGTAACTGAATGAAAATCGCGAGGCCGTAAAGATGATGATAGACGAGAGCGAGCGTGTGATCGACTCACGCTTTGCCCAGGCCGCCGCCCGCGCCGGTGATGACGACGGTATGGCCGCTGAACGATAATGGAGACATCCCGACTTTCAGTTCGAGACGATGAGGATGGAGGTCGGGAGAGGAGATGAGTGAGCACAGACCACTCGTGTTAACGCCCCCGACCAAATACGCCGTCCGGGGTGCAGCTGATTACCACCGTGTCCCGAGACATGTGATTGTACCCCGCTTTGTTCGCATCGTCATGTCCGAGCCGAAAGTAATGCATGGAAATCAATTGATGTACCTCGGACCCACCGCCTGGATACACAGAGCTACTAAGAAACCCTACTTGAACACTGGGCGATTATTCGTGTTTCCTGGTACGTACATCCGAGGCTTGGAGTTGCGCCATTTGGGTCGCCGACGCGACCGAGATACTACTCAAATAACACGAGGCACGATTCCGGTGAGGTCTGTCTAGGCATTGTCATCCAGATAGCAGCTATGGATTGCGCAAGTTGCAAAACCAGCGAGAAAGTGGAGGGCACTACCATAAGTATGTACACCTCGGAGGGGGTAGAGGGCGCCTATGGCGGCACAAATTCTCTGCGTGCCGGCGCCGACATCGCAGAGGCGACCGAATTGGCCATTCGATGGTTGGAGTGGGACTATGGGCGCGCATCGTGCCATTTCGTGGTGGTGTGAACCTCGGCAAGGCCGCGGGGGTATCGACCTGCACAGACAGACAACGGTCGGCCATAACGATGCCGATCGACGGCGCGTCGCACGGGCGCGAAGCAGGTGTTGCAAGTTAGACGTTTAAGAGCCGAACCCCGGACGCTGGAAATTTTCCCATCTTTTCCGTTTTCCGTCCTCCTTCCAGTCCCCGAAGGTCGGTGATGGCGCGGCGATCTGCTGCGCGGCTTGGATGCCGATGCCTGCTCTCCGCACGTTCGCGTTCACCTCGATGGGCTCGACCCGGTGCGTACTCGCCGCGTCTTCGCCTGGCAGACCGAGTGCCGTCCCAGGTGCCCATCCTTGCTTCATGAGTAGCTTGTGGCCGATGTTCGTAGACGGGAGGGGCGTCGCCGGAGCCGAAACGGGATCTGGTGCAGGTGGAGTGGGCGGTCTAGTAGGAACGGGCGATGATACGATAGCAGGTTTCGGTGAAGAAGTACCCGGCGCGTCCGCGGGCGAGTGCGGGTATAGCGCGCGTCGACGAGCAGAGCGATCGACGTAGCGCTTGCCCGTACCACGATCGGCCGAGGTGGGTTGTGCGTGGCGCGAGAGCATGTTGCGCTTCAGCGAGGCGAGCGCCTTCCGTGGATCAACAGTCTCGCCTGAAGTCACGGTAGGTGACGGTTCAACCTCGACTGTCGGTTTCACCTTCTTAGGCTTTGGAAAGAGGGGGATTTCGCCACCTGCGTGGAGGGAACACTCTTCGCAAGGTGGATCGCGACCGTGAAAATGAAGGCAGAAAGTTGTGCTGCCGATAGTAATGAGGTCGAGATGAGAGAGACGTCGAGGTACACTCGCCACGCGGGAAGGAGACAATCGGGCTCCCGTGGGTGACGCCAATGCCGCGTCGGAGGTAGATGCCTGCCCTGGTATATTCGACAGGACGAACGTTCCATGCATAGACCCCATGTCGACGACTGCCCATTCCTTCCTATATGTGTCCCAATAAACGGTTGCGTGTAATTTCGAGACCTCCATCTCCTTCAAGCGGATCCGGGGCTTCGTCACCCCCGCAGGCGCCGCGTCGCGACCGATTTGACACTCGTCGTAGGCGTCAATCACCGCAATGCCTTGGCCTTTGGCTAAAATACGGCTACGGAGAGCCACGAGCCGCATCGTGCGCACGGGTTGTCTGATAGGTAGGCCCAGTTCTTCCTCTTCTCCTGGCCATTCGTACTCCGGTCGATAATCTTCCTCTGAGATGTCATCACGAGTAATCTTTTCCATATCGCATGAGGTCACGGTCTATCAATTCCTGGTATCTGTATTCTGGCCCTAGTGGCCGCCGTCCGCGTCAAGGGTGGAGGTAAGTAGCAAAGGTGAACAGGGACCGGGGACCGACGCGAACAGGGAGAATGCGTTCAATGATGCACGTGATGATCTTCATCCCATCGCAACACAAATCCGTTTTACTTAGTAGTTTCTACGGCGTATTGCGGCCAGCGTTACTTATATCTTGATGAGCAAGCACCCTCGGTCCCATGGAAAAAGCTGCTCTCGTATGATTCTTACACTTTCGCCTCTGAAATCTTGCCTGTTACGGTCACGACGAAGTGTACACCGCGTGCACCTCCCACAGGAGTTCATCGTCGAGATCCTGACGTACGCGTATGGCACTGATCGCTTCCCTACCTCATGCCAAGAGCTTCCAACTGTATGTCTCCATCATACGAACCTCCTCAACATGCTCCTCGTCTGCAAGAGATGGCACAGCGCAGGCATTGCGCTGCATTACTCCACACCGTACCTTCCCTCCGTCCTCGCTCTTCAACACTTTGCCCGGACCCTTGCGCAGCGCCCCGAACTTGCTCAATTTGTGCGCAGGCTCATATTTGGCTACTGTGTGCACCACACGACCTCTTATCATGGAGTCGTACACCGGGAGCAAGCGAAGGTGCCCCACCAGCAGTCGCTGGACGCGATATTTGCAGCGTGCGAGAAGTTGGATGCAGTATGTTTGGTATCGCTTCACGCAGACGACGTACCCGGCGCGCTCAGTTTACAGAGTGGAAACCACGTCAACTCACCCCGTCGGCTGACATTGATGGCCGGGAACCGCATCGTCCTGTCCGGACCTTTGACCTTCCAGGGTATTGCACCAACTTTCTCGCATGATCCGAAGGCTATAATGGTCCTGGTTCCGAGCACCATCGAAGAACTTCGCCTCGACTCGTGCGTCATCCACGATCACGACGACACTCTGTCGCTCCCCTGCCTGCGCATTGTGCGGATCCGTGATACAACGATGGAGATCCCAAGACCCGTCATGGTCGTACCATTTAACGATCGGGCACAGGCGCTCGAAGTGATCGAGCTCCGGGAGAACTGCTGGCCTGGTTACCCATGGCCTACGCAGCATGCGGACTACATTCAATCACACGCAGAAACACTCCAAGAGCTCAATTTGTTCGGGGTATACGAGCTGCAATTGCTCCAATCCCTGAGACTTGCTGCATTCCGTCGCCTCTCGCGTCTCGCCATCGGCAATCTTCCGTTTGACCATCACTGCGTAAAGCTACTAGGCGATATCCCATCGTCATTGCAGCTGCTCTCGGTGAATTGGCAGACGCATCATGGCGTGTTATATTTTCGAGATCCGGAGTTCATGGAGCGATATCTCAGGGACGATGCAAAGATCGAAGACAGCCGACGGCACGGGAGGCGCATGTGGATCAGAGTGGTTGGCAGGGCCCCCGAAGCGCTCAAGAGCTTGTCTTGCAAGTGGAAGATCGACCTCTTGGAGCGGGAGAACGGAGGTGAGTTCGAATCTGGTATCGTGTTCTTTTGCTATTGATCGTACTTGACGGATGCTGGAAGGCGGGCTTGGGATTCTTGATGACGCGGGATGTCCGCCCTTGCCTTCGCAGGCCGTTGCATCTCTGCCCTTTGCTCTTGTCGTCGCGCAATACTGAGCGCCATGCGGTCTTCATTACGTCGTTTTGCGCAGATGCTGCGTGGAATGCCCTCGCTAGGTATTCGTGTCATATCCTCACGGCGTGTGGAAACGAAGTGTCGGGCAAGCTTACTAGCCCGTATGGACCAAAGTTCCTAAGGCGCGCACAGATGGAAGGCGGAGAAATACGCTGGGCTGAGCGAGCCGTTGCCATTTCTCGCTTACAGGTGGTCGGAAATATTCTGGGAGTCATAGTCACTATGAATGCATGTATAGCTATCGTATTATGAAGTTTCGGAGGATTTTAAGCAGAAATAAGTGTAACAGGACAGAAGTGCAACTGCTGTCTCATATCAGGTTGATGCATAGTGGTTTCGGTGGAGAAGTAGTACCCGGCGTGTTCACGGGTGAATGCGGGTACAGCGCGTGTCCGCGAGCAGAGCGATCGACGTAGCGCTAGCCTGTACCACGATCGGCCGGGGTGGGTTGTGCGTGGCGAGAAAGCATGTTACGTTGGAGAGACGCGAGCGCCTTCCGAGGGTCAGCCTCGGAAGCGATGGCTGCGGGAGGTAGGCCAACCTCTGCTGTCGGTTTGGCTTTCTTTGGCTTCAGAAAGAGGGGTATTTCAACGCCTGCGAGGAGCAATCGTCTCCTCCGTATGATGCTCTGGAGGGATTGTTCAGTCAGAATGCAGTGACCACCGCTCAGAAACGAGTACCCGGTATCGAACTTACCTTTACCTTTACGATACAATGTGAGATTTCATGTTAGTGACGTGGACTCGAAAAGGGTTTGCAGCCCCGATCTGCGTATAGCGCCGCATCAGATTACTGCCGTTTGCAAAACAGATGGCGCGTCGTGACTTCCGCGCGTTACTTGACCTCCCACTGCCACGCAGAGCGTATCGGCTGTAGCTCGACAACGGCGACGAATTTCAACATGATTTCTGAGACAAACTTGTAGCACTCATTGACCTGCAGGTGCAAGGATGTATACCTAACCATTTCTGATAAGTCAACCAGTTCGTGTGCCATGAAAGGGTTCCCAGAGCTCTATCACTTGCTGTTTCGTCATACAGAGTTCTTCCGTGCCCCAGTTGGTTCAGGAAGTTACTTATCGTGTATATTGAGGTGCATGTCATACTTCCATCAACAGATGGCCAGGAAATCTGCAACAGAAACGAGTGGAAGGATACACAGTAGAGGACTGGGTACTGTATCATCATCCACTGCCCCCTGTGTTGCTCTCCACCTTCAAAAACCACACATGCATGCTCAGGAGGTCTCCTCAAGGCCTTTTTCATAAGGACATGAGTCCATGCCCTCAATGCTTGAGTCACCATGAACGATACCCTGTCCTGGTTAGTGATATAGCACGACAACGGGCTCACTCACGAGCTCCACCTCAAAAATGTGCTATGCACCTGCATATTGACGATGGCTACATACTTGTCTCAGGGATCATGGTTAGATTCGTCGCCGTCGGCGAGCTACAGTTGATATGCCCGCACAACCGCGGGAGGTCAAACGACGCGCGAAAGTCACGACGCGCCATCTGTTTTGCAAACGGCAGTAACACGAACAGGCGCGATGAAACCACATGCGATGTATCGACCTCCCTCGCAACAGGAGCTTCGATGAGTTATGAACAAAAACCGATGTCCCGAAGCGGCCAGGGGACGCATTGAACAGATTGTGAGGCGAATCGATAGTGATTTGCAAGTGACAATATGCCGTTACATACTATATGATATCGTCTCTTCGGCCGGATGGTCAAATCGGCCAGTCACACACACGTCACACCTCCGCGCTCATGTCCCATCAAAGTATTTCGTACTCCGCTCGAGGTGGCCGATCCGTCGTATCAGGCCAAATTTTGTGGTCGATTACAAAGGATGTATGCTACAAGAACGAACAATATGTGCAAGTAACAGTGACGAACCAAGTTATTGTTATGATATGAACATGTACCGTAGTTATTAAGATTCAAACCTGTTAACAAGTCCGTTCGGATTAGACTACCCCGGGCAATCAGAGAAGGCTCTGTTTGATGTTGACTCGAGGGGTGCCCAATGTGGTGTGTAATCGGGGTGGGATCCATGGGCGGAGCGTCGGAGAGCTTGAAAAGGCCTGCAAAACATGGGTTCGAAGCAAGTCTTGGTGTGTATCGAGATGTTCACAAATCCTTGGCAGGATTGCCCGGACAGGACCCTTGTTGACGTGCAGTGCCTGCACCAGCCCAACAACATTGTCTCTGGTTTTGAAGGCACTCGATGGCTAGTCGAAGATCCTTGACAACGCGGCCTGTACAATACGAGCCTCACGCTCAGCTTTTGAACGCACCTTCTCCCGTGTCTCCCTCTCCTTTTCGGCAGCAATATGTTCTTCCTCCTCGAAGTGAGCCTTGAGCTCTGGCGCAATAACATTTGCGAGTCGAACCATTTCCTCCTCGAGTGCGAGGCGAGAGAGCGTGCAATGTGCACATACGGTCACCGAGAATACTGCGCTTAACCTAGATCCTTCCTTGTCAGCATCTTCACTACAGAATGCGGGATCACGTACGGCAACAGCAATAGCAGCGGCTCTTGCACTCTTGTATTTGCCGCTCAGCACTCCGTCTTTCAGCTTGCTTTCATGCCAATAATCTGTTTTGTTTTCATGTTGTCGTCCAAGCTGGGTACCGTTTGTGCTTCTACATCGTTGGTTCCGTGCACCCATCGACAGAGCAGCACTGATGCAGGAACGAGCGAAGACGTGTCTACGTCGCGACGCATTCAATATTGGAACTCCGCCCGGCCTGTCATCCGGCATTGTCGGCACCTCATCACGTAGCGTGACTTGGACAGTGTTGTCCACCGCACTGTCGAGCAATGTAACTCATGCTATTATGCCCAGGATATAACTGGGAGTACACTACATGACGACAGTGAGAGAATGGGGCCAAAAAACGCAGCGGAGCACGAGTTATAGCAGGGTGGCCGATTCGACGATGTGGCCGAAGTGATGATCTCATATAGTATCGGAAGACAAGTACCATTTCGGCCCATCCTCGTATCCTAAATCCTTCTGCAGCTCAATAATATCCCCCATATCTGGACGTTCGTCAGGCGGTTTCCAATTGTCATACAGCGACCAGATAAGCAGGTATGGATTATCAGGATCCTGGACCGCGTACGACTGTTCCAGCGAGACAACCTGCTCGAGGAACTCCTGCACATCGACGAGTGTCCAGGATTTGATGAACGCAGCGCGGCGTGGGTCGGATACGGTACTTGGGTCCTCCTCAATGAGTCCCTTTCGGCGAGCATAGTCGAGTGCTAACTCCCTATCCACGGCCCACCCGTAGTAAAATGTGGGTGGGGGGTATTTGAGCGGTTCCGACCAAGGATCAAATTCGGGTGGTAGCTCATCGAGAGGCTCAATGTTCTCGATCATCTTGGCATATTCCTGGAAGATGAAGTCATCAGGCCCAGCGTATGACTTCGGGGAAATTCTGTGCACGTCGCTCACCTCATAGTTACGGCACTGTCTCTCGGTCCACGGAAGGATCAAGAACTGGTACCAAGGATACTTCGCGTCATCCGGCTTGATGATCGTTTGGCCAGAAGCAGCATGAGGCAAAACGGTTCGAGGTTGTGACACAGACGTTGGCGACATGCTCGGTAAACTGATGTCGAAAGTTGAGACCGAGGCTTCTCGTGTTCACGGGATTCACACGTGTAGTCCAATATTGACCGCGTCGAGTCTGGCAGCCACATTGAACATTCACTCAAGTAATTCCAGCGCCTCGTCGCAGTATTGCGCCTGAAGTGATTGCACTGGCCAAGCTACACACGGATGCACTTGGTAAGGGCAGAGGAACTGAGAAAGCCAACGAACTCTCGGCCTTCTCCGGCTGACTATACACGAGCCACGTGATCTCGTCAGCCTGCCGCCCGCTGAAGCCCAGTGAAAACGACCAATTTTCACCTGGGATGTGCGGGAATGCGATGTCGGAAGCTTGTAAGCGGACGGATGAGGGTGGTCACCAGAGGATGTGCGCGACTTCCGTTGCCGAGGTGCAATTTGCGGATCGGATTCATGGGAACATGCTCACAGGCGCGGACACCATATTCTGTGATATCGTCTACCAATCTATGCCACGAATTCTACATATCCTGGCTCATACGTAGCGTCTTGGCACTCCACTTCACAGTTTCTCTGAGTCGTACTAGACATGTGACCATGTTGGTTGGAGGCGGCACTGAGCTAACTCAACCTCCTTCGCTGACGAGCCAGCCTAATGCCTTTCTTGATACGATCAATCCGTCCCAGCTGTCGTCAGCTGTTCTGCGCGCTCTCTGTAACATCAACCCACTGTAACATAAGCTGACTCGTCTTGCCACAACACCAAGCACAACACATCCCGTACAGATCAAGATGACGCGTCAGGCGAGATGCCGGGGTTCTTGGCCTTGCCTTCTCGGCCGCAACGGACGCAAACGATCCCCGTCCCAACCGATGCCTCTGCGCCCAAGCCACGCCCCAGAAAAGCGCGTTCTGCCACGCTACCCACCCCTTCCGTTCTGCACGAGCCCAAGAAGTACAAAGTGCACGGCAGGATGCTGCGCATGATGCGTGCGATGGGCAGACATGGCAAACCGGTACACGTCGCCGTACGCGATGCGTTGCGGAAGAACAAGGGGTACGAGCTCGTGCTGTGCGGGCACAGTCTCGGCGCCGGCGTCGCTGCGCTTCTCGGTCTCGTAAGTTTTTCACAACTTCCGCCTTCCGCGATCGAATCGTTAACGGAACACGCCCGCGTTAGTCCTGGGCAGACCCGAAGACTTGCCTCACAGTCCGCTCGAGCGGTCTCCCTGTCGGGAGAAGGGTGTCGGTCTACTGCTTCGCGCCGCCGTGCTTGACGGACGAGGCGCTCACGGTGCTCGCTGCGGACATGGTCACGTCCTTCGTGTACTCGACGTGGTATCGAGGCTGTCGCTGGGCTCGATCTGCGACATCCGGAACGCGGCGATGTGGTTGTGCGATGGGCAGAGTCGTGCTTCGTCCTCCAAGAAGGGTCGAGGAAAAGGGGACGAGCAAACAAACAACGTCGGGCAGAGGGACACGAAGGGAAAGGGCAGGGAGAAAGAAGTGGGAGTCTCGCGCCGGAGGTGAAGGAGAGCAAGG